AAGGCAGAGAATGTCAGCCCTCTACGTCAGTCAACTTACCGTCATATCGTACAGCTCATGCTCGTTTGTGCACCATACAGAGTAGTAGAGATTATAGCCCTCGCCGACTACTCTCAGCGCCTTGTACGTGTTGTTGAAGATGCGGTTCGTGTCACCGCCGTTGAAACCAAACTTGCTCTCGCTCATAGCCCAACCCCAATACTCAACATTGACGTGCTCGCGCGTGAGCGGGGACTCGGTCAAGTCTTTGGTCGAGAGCGGGATCGGAGCTCCGTCAAAGTCGGCCCTCAGCGGCGCACCCGCGAGCGACAGGATCGTGGGGACGAGGTCGACGTGCGCCGTGACGGCTTCGGTCACGCCTCCCTTGGGGACACCGGGTCCGCGAACGACGAGAGGGATGTTGATGTCCTCCTCGTACCCACACTCCTTCCCGGGCTGCAGCCGGTGCTGGCTAATGTGGAAGCCGTTATCCGTCGTGAAAATGATGTAGGTGTTGTCCAGGACACCGTGCTTTTCCAATCTCACCACGAGGCCATCGACGAGCTCGTCGACTGCCTGCAGGGCACGCAGACGTCCTTGGTAGAAGTTGTCGTTGTACGCCACGTTCTCTTCCGTCAGCTTGGGCTGGCGGCGAATCCAGTCGGCGCCGGAGGGCTTGTCGGGGTTAAAGTTTTCCGTTCTCGGGACCTTGGCGTCTTTGAAGAGGTGTTCATGTCTCTTGGCAGCCAACGGAATGCCGACCCTGAAGTTGTCAGAGATGGGGTCGTTGTCGTTTGGACCCTTGTCAGGAACAAGGATGCTGGAATTGACGTTGCTGTGCGGGGCGATTGGCGCAATGCCGATGAAGAAGGGCTTGCCAGCGTCGACGGCGTCATCCAGGAACCCGTAGGCCTTTTCTGCGACCAGGTCGGTAGAGTACTCGCCGAGATGGTTGACTGGCTTCTCATGGTCACGCTGGAAGGTGGCGTTGTAGTAGTCATATGTGTTTGGATCAAGGAGAAAGTCCTGAGACAAGTCAGCAGCGGAAGTTGATAAAGGTGCCATCAAGCCTCGGTGCATGCAAAAGTAGAACACTCACAGAAGAGTTCCAGCCTTTCAGATGGGGGCTGTCATAGTTCCAGATAGTGTGGGCATTGAACATTTTGCCCGTGTAATAAGTGCTATAGCCGGCTTTTTGTAGCCAAATGGGTAGGTAATTCTCATTGTGACCGTTCTTCACAAAGATGGGGAATCCGCCTGCAAGACCCAATTAGTTATATGCTCATAATATACACCGGGTATCCTCCGAGCAACTGAAACAGTGATAGAATCTTACCGTATGGTGGGTTAAGGTCGGTGACGTTGGTGTTGTGAGCCAGTTTGCCCGTCCACAAACTGGCGCGCGACGGGCAACAAACTGCCGTCGTGCAGAAATGCTTCTTGTACAAGGTCCCTTCTTCGATAAGCCTCTTCTGAATCAGCGGAATGTGCTCCAACGAGTTCATGTGAAGGTCCTGGTCGTCGGTCAAGACGAAAACTATGTTCGGCCTGGAGGATGACGATATCGCATCCCGGTCGGGGCCGACGAGGGGGGTCTGGGCATCGCCATGGGCCGCAACATTGCCGCAGAGATACAAGGCCGCCGAGGCCAATGCTGACGTCTTGAGTTGCATGGCGATAATTATCTCTCCGATTGAGATTTATCGTTTCCCGCTCAATTCAACTCATGGGTGCAAGAGAACCAACTATTGCGCAACCCTCGAGAATGAGACTTTAAAAGTTTGGCTATTAGATAAGCCGCGTTCCCGTCTTGCGGCGTTACAAACCCGGCTCGCCGGATGGGAGAAGCGCCCTCCGTGCGCGAGTTCCGATGGCGTGCTCCGGCCCTAGCATCGCAACAGCTCAAATTAAGGTATCCACATCCCTCACCGACAGCGGAGAAACAAAACCACGGCAACGCTGCTGAGCTCCTAACATCAGTGAATTGCATGCTACTATTGCACATCACCCAAGCTAGATCTGTGCTGGGATGTGATGGACGCACTTTCCTAAGCATACGTCACCCCATATACAAGTTCTAATTCCAGAGTAATTTGTGACATGTAGATAGTGTCTTCACCAGATAGACTTGAAGAATAATAGAAAACTTTGCTTCAAATTGATATTCCAGATTTGCGCAACTGCGAAACCTTTTGGCTGCAAAGGTGAGTGGGAACGCGTCAGGAAATCGACTTGGGACTCGTGTCAACAGCATCAGATACCACATCTGGTATCTCCTTCCACTACTGCAGTTCATTAAGTTTGCTAAAGACATTCGCTACTTTCACAACTTAGGTAGGAGTACTAACCTTTTTGACCTCTCTTCTTCTTCTTCTTCTTCTTCTTCTTCTTCTTCTTCCCATAATAATAATAACTAAACAACAAGATGACCACTGTTTTTGACGGTCAATGCTTTCAAGCTCCTTCGTCCCAGCCAGTATATCTAACCCCAGGCAGATAGGGCATCTCTTGCTCTTTGGCAGTTATCGCGGTAGTCATCACAGTAATTGGGGGGCAAGTTGATACAGGAGATTTGAAATTTGGGCTTGAGTTGTATAAACTTGCCGGCACATGTCGACATTTAAATTTCCATAACAGTAGTCCAAGACGTCTTTCACGAAGCTGAGATAAAATCCATAATCAAATGTCGATTTTGGAAACAGAAAATATAGAGAATATCTTCCAGAAGCAATGAGTGAATCCTCAGATAAGCCCATCAGTACAACACGAATATCATCCGCAACTACTGTTCTGCGAAAATAGATAAAGAATGCGTTGTTAAAGGATTCTTGCAATAATCTATACCTTCATTCTTCTACGCTAGACTCTACTCCTTTCCCAAGAGCCACCGCATCCCCTTCATCGTATTCGGCCCTAGCTCCGCAGGCGAATCCTTGGGAGCGAAAATAGTCCACCCCTGATGCCCCCAGTCCAGGTAGTTATCCACTCTCGCCTCGACCCCATTGTCCTTCAAAACCTTGGCATAAATCAACCCATCATCTCTCAGCGGGTCCCGGTCTCCAACCTGGATGTACGCCCTGGGCGATTTCGGGATAGCTCCGGGGTCGTTGAACGGCGAATACCACGGCGACGTAATCTCCGGTTCCAGACCCTTTGCCGCGTCCTTGATGACCGCGGTAGTAAACGTCGGGCTCCAGTCGGCGTTGGTCTCGCGAGACACCCACTCAGCGGCATATTTCTCGGGCACGATATCCTCGACGAGCAAGAACGGGATGCCCAGAAGCGTCCCGGTAATCCCCAGCCCCTCGACGCCGGACCTCTGGCTGACCACCGCGGCAATATTCGCACCGGCAGACCACCCGCCAACGACGAAGCCCTTGCCAATATCCGCGCCGAATCGGCCAGCATTCCTCGACAGCCAGACGGCCGTCTCCCAGCCGTCCTTGACCGACCTGGGGAACTTGTTCTCGGGTGCGAGACGGTAGGTCGCGCTGACTACCACGGCGCCGAACTCGAGCGCAAAGTCCCGCGCGGGACGGGTCGTCGGCTCGACGCCGGCGACGATGAACCCGCCGCCCGGCCACAGCAGGATGAGAGGCCGGTCCGGGTTAGACGCGCCCACGCCGCGCGGGCGGACGACTTGGAGATCAATCTCGTAGCCGTCGGGGAGAGCTGCGACGCTGCGGAACTCTTCGAGGGATTGGTCAAGGGGTGGCAGTGCTGCCAGTAGGCTTTGGAGGAGTTGAGGCCGCGTCTCTCGCGACTTTACAAATGCTTCCATGGTGGCAACTTGTAGCAGGTTTTTTATGAACAAGATGAATTTGAGCCGGAGAGCGAGAGGAGGAGTTTGTAGGGTACCAAAGTGAGGTTTTTCCAAAGAGGGCTTTGTTGGCTAATCCCAACGAATTCTAGGTATTCTGACCCCCAAGTCGTGCCACCCCCCCGCCCCCGTGGTTGTGGATCCTGGGCGAGGTTGAAAACGCGGGGTGTCGGGCCAAATCTGGCGGCAGCAATGCGACGTCGGAGATGTCTGAGGGCGCGTGAGTGGTTCAAATTGTCACGATGGGTCCGTCAACGGGATATTCTGCACCGACGCCAAAGTCTCTCGTCGTCACACTCACAGGTTGACACGGAAATTATCTCGGGAATGCGCCTTGCTGCAATAGCCTGCACTCGTCATTCTTCGGTGCCAGAGCGCTCCACTTCATCGGGTGGAAAAGAGTAACTATTTGAAATCTTGGGCATATTGGAAAGGACATGGAGATAAATATTCAGACTGACAAAAGCTTTGGCAAACTTCCTTTCAAGTCAAACTATAATACAGAAAGACATATCGACACACCAAGGAAAGGTATCTGCGCTAATTCAACCGCCCATCACAACACATGGAAGATACTCAGGTTGCCGAGCCAAGCGAATGCAGCACTTGAGGCAAGCTGAAATTTGAAGAATGCCAAGCTTGGGAGTTCTGCGCCAATCTGGATCCCTCGCCCACGCGGCCACCCTTTCACGCATCAGCCCGCAAATAATAAGCTGCTCAAGTTTGTTCCCACGTAAAGCGTACACCAAAACCTCGGCAGCGTTTCGCTGGCGAAGATTTGCCACGTGGAAACCATCCAAGACTACGTCCTGGTCGTTTTCCAGAGTATACGGCGCGTCTTTGCCATGATTGCACCTAGGAACGAACCAACCGTTAAAGAGCAGAAAGATGCAAGGTAGAAGGGACACTTCCACCGGCCTTGACGTCATTCCGGCCAAGCTCAGTTGGACAGAGATTCTGTTCTCGTGGACATCGACCTCCATTTTTATATTGGTTACTGGAGGTCTGTAGCAGGGCTTCAATAGGGTCCTGCTAGCCAGCGAGACAGGTTCCGTGGTCTCATTGATGCGATTCCAGCTCGCATCATTAACGACGAACCCCTCCACAATCCGATTGCGAAAACTTCCGGCCGCCGACGCCCTGCCAGACTGAATGCGTATTATTCGTCCACACTCGTCGAAACACGCCTTTTCCATTATATACGCGTAGTAGACGGTATAGGCTCTTCCTGAGATCGCTACAATTTGACCTCGTACTTCGTTTTCCGCAGCCGTATAGTCACAGCAGATGAGTTGACCAAGGTGATCAAGAGTGTCTCGATAAGTGTCTCGATACGTCGCATCTCTGTAGAACCCGCCCATGTCATTTTGACTCTCGCGGGCTTCTGTCATATGATCAGGGTATATGATGAGATTACGGCTCCAGTCTGTTATGATCTCTCCCGCAATAATTCTGTCCTGCACTCGAACATCTTCGATATCAAAGAAGCAAAACATGAGGGCCAAAGCTGTGACTGCAAAACCGTGTATCAGCCTCCCAACAGCCTGGCAAGGGCAGACGTAAAATATGATTTCCCACTGGTGCATGTACGCAAATTGCCCTCGTGGGTTAAGATCGCTTGCTCTCGAATGTACGGAACAACAATTAGCCAACGCGCTGCAACTAGCCGGATCGAGGAAACTGCGTCCTTGATTTGCAGCTTCATCGTCAAACAATTCGTCTGCGGTCGGTTCGATAAACTTTTCCTGACTCGGAACAACTTGGTCGTCAATGATGCACATGGAACTCAAGACGTTCTCTAGTGCTCTTACTCTATCGAATGGCCCGTTCAGACCACTGTAAGGGCCAGTCATTGAACCAGCAGACAGAATGTCCGCTCTTTCGAGAAGGAAGAATGATAGATTTCTTATCGCAATTCGGATAGACGCGGCAATTGCGGTGTCAATTTCGGGTAGTCGGAGGAACTGCGCCCCCAGGGCCTCTCCAAGTAGATGATCAATAAATAAAGAAGAGTCTCTGCTGACAGGGTGGCGACTCCTTGGAGCGTATCTATCTTTGGACTCCGTTAATTCGTCATGAGATCTGGGACTCACATGCCCCGGATGGAGAGTAGGCGTATCGATGGACTTGTCACCAATTTCGAGACGAACATGCTCCGGTTGGATAGCAGGATAAACGGTCGGCTCGTCACCAAGTTGGAAGAGAACATGCCCCTGATCACCACCACTGGCCCATATGACTGTTCGATTGAAACGAACCTCTACGGACATGCCAAGTATATGGCTCGCAAAAGCAGGGAGCCATGAGCCGCGCACCTTGAGCGCCATGTAGTCTCTCTGGCCCACCTGAGATGTGTGGATGAGTTGCTTGATAGAACTAGCGAGAAAAGCGGCGCCGCCCATATCTCGAAGTTGTCTGAGTAAAAATTGTGTTCTGTCGATGCGTCGGATGCTGCTCCCCATCGAGGTTTTGCAGTCATGCCTAATAACTCTTTCCGCAAGATTCGTAATATGCTGAAAAACTTTTGAAAAGCCCAATTCTTGGGTAAATGGAGCCAAATAGTTCACCAACCCCTTGAGCACATCGACACTCGGCAGCGCATCGGCTTCAAGGCCGTATATAGCCATTAACTCGGAGAGGCATTGGGCGGCAGCAAATGCCTGGCAACCTGTCGCAAGCGCACCGATAAGAATGATGGAGTTTGTCCCGGCAACCGTTCTGGCCAAGTCCGCCACCGGTGCTGAGTGACCCCAGCCGATGCTGAGGGCCTTTGACAGCACAGAATGGTAGGTCTTTCTCGACATGATGTGGGCGTACAGAGAGCTCTGATGCGAAGATTGAACGGGAATGCGTTTGCCCAACTGGATGGCAGCCCACATGGCGTAGGTATCGACGCCGCCATCGCTGAGGGCCTTGAGTAATCGTCCGGTCAAGACATGTCCCAGTGAGGCCGTGTTCACGACGTCGGCTTGGAAACTGAAGCCTACTTGGTCGGACATGGCTCGTCGTCGTCTGTTGCGTAGTTCTATTGCGTAGTCTTTGATCGCAGTCTTCGAAGCCTGTCGGAGGCTAGCTGCAGCAAAACAAGGAGGTTCGGAAACTTCTTGTGTAATAGAAGGTTCTTCCCTCGAAGGAATGGCGAGACGTTTATCGATGAGGTATCGTTGACGAAATCTGACTATGCAAGTTCCAGGTTCCCAGTGGCCGATGCGAGTGTTGGAAAGAGGGGTTAGATAAAGTAGAATCAGGCTGGGCTGGGCTGAGCTGGGCTGAGCAACGGCAGGAGGGTCTGCTCATCTATCAAGCTGCGTCTCGCGGACCTAAATGTAATTGGTTAGTGATACGCACAAGGGTATCATGGGGAGGTACCTTAGCTGCTAAGGTACATGTATAAGACGGCAGAAGGAAGGTAGGCGAGAACGTCCTCCGGACCAATATATTTGATAATACATTATACTATCAAGAGTTTTAGAATCTCAGCAAAATAATGAATCAAATCGAAAGAATATCCAGCGATTCTTATTGATCTCACAGAAGCAGGCGATGTGATGTATTTGAGAAGCGGCATAGCAGTCAAAGAGGTTGAGGTCACTCCCTAAAGTGCAAGCATCTCCCAGCCAATCAAAGCAAGTCTTTCCCATACCTGCCCGGCCATAATTGTTAGCAGCGACTTCACGGCCAGCCGCCCGCCACCATGGCCAAATCAATCCTCACCATCCACACTCATCGCGGCCCCAAACTCTCGCCATCAAAACTCACCCTTTCTTCTTCCATCAGCACGCCTCCCAAAACAATGGCCCGCACCGAAGAAGCCGAAGCTTTCTTCCACGCCGTCTACACCGCCGTCCAAGAGATCCCCGCCGGCAAGGTAACGACCTACGGACACATCGCCAAGCTCGTCGGGACCCGTGAGTCGTCGTCCATATGCCTCTCTTTTCCCTCATCCCCATCATCTACCGCTAGTTCATTTAAACCCCCCCCCCCCCTTCTTCCCTCCATCAGCCTTCACTCGTAACTCCTCATCTCAATTAGTACTCCTTCTTTTGTTCCCCAGAATTAAGAAGTAAAAGGCATGCGAGAAAATCCCAGCTAACGTTTAAACCCCCCCCACCTGCCAAAGCGGAACGCCCCCGTCAAGTCGGCATCTGCCTCAAACATCTCCCCACAGACCCAACATCCCGCTTCAACAATGCAAACGTCCCATGGCAGCGCGTCATCAATGCCAAAGGAACCATTTCGCCGCGGTACCATCTCCTTCCTGCCTTTCCTTGTCTCTTCCTCCGTCATCGTCCCCATACTCCTTCACCACCACCACCACCACCACCACCACCACCCAAGACCCTCCCTCATCTCTACTTTCTCTTCGCAGTCCTCAATTGGATAGTCACCTACAAGTACCTGACATCAAACGCTAGCTCCCAGCCCTCGGGCGCTCGAAACCAAGCCGAGGCCCTACAGGCCGAGGACGTAGAGGTCTCGCGGACAGCAATGGGCGAGTTCCAGGTGGACTTTAGCTCCTACGGCTGGTTCCCCGAGGTCCTCCCTTCTGAAGAAGACTAAAGGCAGGCCAGTCATGAGCAATGGAGCAGAGACACATCTCCACATCGAGAGACCAATAGGCCAAATGGACCTACATGCTTGAATGATTGCCAACGCAGCAGAAGAGATGAGGTGTCCCATCGTAAACCAGCAACCACGGCACAAGGAGCACAAGTGAACTTCCAAACCACTTTTTATTCAATCGACGGCAGTCCAGCGAGCACCAAACTAGCATTAGCCAAAGTGTCTAGTACGTCCTCGTCTCCCAGATCACCTCCTTCGAGTGCGCAGGTAGCCAATGGCAGTCAGTCTCGCGAATGCCTCAAAGGCTTCAGAGGGCCACCAAACAACCGCTCCGCCTCCAACCCATCACCAATCCCTCCCCATCCTTCTTCCCTCGTGCCGTCATTAGTGCACAACGTCGGTCTTGCTATTCGTGAACAAACGTCATGTAAGAAAAATAATTAGAATAGAAACAAAGAGAAGTGAAGGATCGGATGGTGCATATCGTGTGAGCGAAGTCGCGTAGTGGTGGTATTGAAAAAAGGGATAATCCATCGTCAACACCCAGCAGAATGACGCACGTGCGAGCCACCAGTATGAGAAACTCCTGCCCATTTTCCTGGGTTTCGCCATGCGTAAGGGGAATCATCTTCGGCCAGCAGAAAAATGCCGCAAACGCAAAATACAAACGGAGCGAGGGGTTGTGTCAAGGGTGAAAACGAAAATCAAAAGAACTCCCCCCATCTTGCTAGAACAGAAAATCAAGGACCCGGCCCCATCGGCGTCAAAGGTCACGAGGCAAATGAACCCAGTCGGACTCGTTCTCTTTGAGATGCGAAGCCCCAGCAACAAGGCCTCGACTAGAAGCAGTTGAGAGAGCCCTTCTTCTTCTTCTTGGACAATGCATTCATACGCTCCTCCAGAAGACGCTGTTGCGCCTCGGCAGCCTGGCGCTTCTTGCGTTCCTCTTCGACAGCGTGCAAGCTCCATCGGTTGTCGGGTTGGGGCGTGGGCGCGGGACGATCTTTGAGCTCCTTGACCTCGGACTCCAACTCCACGCAGCGCTTGCGCCAAGCGTCGCTGTCGGCCTTGACTTTGTTCGACTGGCGCTCGAGATCCGTGAGAGCCTCCTCCAGAGTCTGGGTGAGCTGCTTCTCGGCCTGGAGATGCTTCTCAATTGTGCGGATGCGAGCTTCCTGGTCTTCCTGGATTTGGTTGGTGGGGCCCATGTTGTCTTTGCTGCCTGGCCGGCCTGCTTGAGTAGGAGTGCTCGGCACCGTGCCGTTGGGACCGGACGAAGCTCCGGGCAGCGGTGGCAAGGGGATAGCCGGCGGCGGGGAGGGAAGAGAAGCAACCGAAGCACTCTTCCGCAGCGGTGAGCTAACCGAGTTGGATCGTTGGATTTGGCCAGACGCAGACGCCTCGTCAATCTTGGCCTGTAACACATTAGCATTTGAGGTAGGTCGAGCTGCGTCAAAGACACGTACCTGGAGAGCCGCATATTCGGCTTTGAGCGAATCAAGCTCGCTTTCGGCCTTGAACTTGGCAGCCTGGGCTTCTTCAATTTGCGAATTGCGCTCTGTCTGCAGCGTGGACAGGCGGTTGTTGGTCATCTGAACCTGATCAAAGTTGCTCTGTAGTTGATCCTCGAGCTCCTCCACGAGGCGGGAATTCTTCTTGTTCCGACTCTGGAGATCTGTAATCTTCTTACGAATAGCAGACAGCTGGTCGGGGAGAGGAGCAGGGCTCTTCAGAGGCTCGCCCTCGGCAGTGAGGAGATCCGTCAGGGTCGATTTGGCTTGCTCCAGCTCCTTGACCAAGTTGTCGTTGACGCTCGACAGCTCGGCGACTTGCTTCTCAGCCGCGCTCGACTTCTTCTGCTCTTCGCCCAAAGCCTTCTGATCCGCAGTCAAGTCGTCGATACGCTCTGTAATCTTTTCGATGCTGACGTCGAGACCGAGAGCGAACGCAACTTGTGTAGCGACCTTCATGAGATCTTCCCGGGCGTCATTGAGCTCGCATTCGAGGGCTCTGACATTTTCCGCGTGCTCGTTGAGCAGAACTGCAACTTGCTCCTCGTATCCCTTTTGCTCCATCTGCTTCATCTCCTCAAGCTCCTTTGCGTGGCTCTCCTGAAGCAACTTCATGCCATCTTGATGTGTCTTGAGAGCCTGCTCGTGAGCTGTGATCTGGTTCTCCAGGTTTGTAATGAGACTCTGCTGCGTCTTCGCCTGTGTCTCGTGTAAGTTACGGGCCCTGATAACCTCATCCAGCTCTGTCTTAGTGGCAGCATGGGCTGCCTCGAGGTCAGAGACCTTGTTGGCGTTGGTGTTGATGGCAACCTTGTGCTCGTCAATCTCGTCACGGAGTGACTTGACAAGCGTCTCGTGCTTCTCCTCGATTTCTTTGACTTCCTCGGCACTCCGAGCAGTGGAATGAACTGAGGCCTGAGTGTTCAGCGCCACGATTTCAGATTCAAGCTCCTCGATGGTCTTCTTCATCTTTGTTTCTGTCTCCTGCAGAGTGTCGAGGGCGGTCTGGTGCTTCGTCTCCCATGCCGTCAATTCAGCTTGCAACTCGGTGATCTTCTTGTCGTTCTCCTCTGTGGTCGGTAAAGATCTCGTCTCAGAGTTGTTCACCTCGGTCGATGCCATGGGGATGTCGGCAATAGCGCTGGCCGCAGCAGTAGCCATGACAGCTTCGGTAGTAGCTTCCGGGGAAGAGCCCATAGCAGGAGCCTCCTTCACAGTAGTGCGCAAGGTTTCAAGCTCGGCCATGAGCTTCTTCTCGGTAGCCTCGTGATTTTCTCTCATTTCTTCCATTTGCTTCTCATTTGCTTCGAGCTGATTCTTGAGAGTGGAAATCATCGACATGTCCATCGGAGAAGCTTGTAAACTGGATCGCTCGCGAGTAAGCCCAGAGATTAGTGCCATCTTAGTCTCCATCTCTTTCTTGGCGGACGCAATGTCGGCCTCGAGCTCCTGAATACGCTCCGAGCGAGCATGAAGCTCGTGCATGGCTGCATTGAGGTTGAGCTCGAAGTTTTGCATGACATCGGGCTGGCCCTCGAAGTTGTCTGTGGCGATGTTGCGGAGTGAGGCAAACGATCGATGAGCTCGGTCAATAATCATGACATTTTGGCTGGACTTGCGGCGGATGACTGGTTGGCCAGTTCGTGGTGATGATGCCTCCAATGCCTTTGCTTGGGCAACCTCGGTCTTGAGCTCCTCGAGCATGTCTAGAGCTTCGTGGTGCTTCAGTTCGAGCTGTGTGTACTTCTCCGCCAGTTCTTTCTCTGCCTCTTCCTTCTCGGCGGCAAGAGTCTTGAATCTCTCGACCTCCGTTGCCAACAGATCCTGGTGCATGAGGTCCTCCGTAGACAAATGTTCTGGGCCGGACTCGGGCTTAGCAGTGACTGACGTCTCGGCATCAGACGGGTCAACGGTAGCAGGAGACTCCATCGCCGAGGAAAGCTCTGATGAAAGAGAGCGTGATGAGAATTGGCCACCATCTTTGATGTCACTCGACCTGGCATCAGAGAAGAACGAGGGAGGTCGGGTCAGGTTTGGAGACGTAATAGACATCATAGAGTCTCGGACCATGCGTTCGGGGTGGCGTGACTCGTCGATGGTGTCCTGAAGCTCTGCCAATGTGCGCAAAGCTTCCTCGTACTTTGAGTGCAAGAGATCGTATTCATTAACCGTGGTCTCGTGCTCTACACGTAAGTCGATGAGCTCCTGCGTGACGTTCTCCAGCTTGTCATGCACAAATTTGGACTGAGCAGGACTATGAGGCGGGTAGTCGTCGAGATCGGCCTGGAGATTGTGCTCTTTCGCATCAGGGGTCGCGACGTCAGTGCCATTTTCGACATGATCGCCGTTTTGCACAGGATCCGTTGCCTCAGCTGCCGCCGCCGCTTCTTCTTCCGCGTTCTCAGGGATGATATCGTTCTGGCTCATGCGAATAACACGCGACTGGGACTGACTACGACTGTGGTCAGCAATCTGGCGCGCAACACCGTTCGGTGCCTCCACAGTTGGCTCCGGAACTTTGCTATCGCCTTGAATATGATCCAATTCGTGGAGCAGCGAGTCCAGCTTTCCGAGACTGCGCTGGCGCTCAATGACCTGCTCTAGTCGATCAATTTCGCGCTGCATCAGCTCGGCATCCTGGTCGGCTTCGGCAAGTCGCTCCTCCAAGGTGGAGATGTAGTCCTCGCAAGAAGCTTCATTCTCTCTGATCCGCGAGATCTCCTTGCGGAGTTCCACAATAATGGTCGTATTCTTTTCCTCCCCAGAGGTGTGGCCATCCAGCTTGTTCTCCAGGTCATGAAGGTAATTCTCGGTGCTGGCTTCGCGATCCATGAGTTTTTGCAAACGTGCTTGTAGCTGTGTGTTGATTGTTTCAATGTACGTGCATTTGGTCTCTTTTTCCAGCAGATTCGCCTCGGTGTTGGCTAGTGTGCCGCGCGTGCTAGACAGCGATTGCTCGAGAGTTTGAATTGTCTTCTCGTATTCGAGCACGACTTGTTCTACGGCAGCGGCGAATGAGTTCGATCGATTCAGTCTCTCTGTCGCCGTGTCACCCATGGACTCTTCGTGTTGGTTATTCTCGGCAGCTTCGTTGTCGCGGGCCTTAGCCATTTCCGCAATAAGCTTCGCGTGACGTTGACTCAGGGTCGTGTAGTTTTCTTGGACGTCCAGAAGCTGGTTTTGCAGTTCGCTTTCACGCTCATTCTGTCGCTCGGACCGCTCGCCCGTGGAGGCGATGCGTCGCTCGCCCCCGCCTCGCTCCGCGCTGCGGACTTGCTCCCGTAGGAAGGCAACCTCCGCCTTCAGACGATCAATGATGGCCTGTTTGTCACCCTCCTCCACCTGCTGGATCCGTGGCTTACTTTGGATGGCTCGGGCCCTCTGTGCATATTGGACGGTGTTTAATGTTTCGCTGAGGTGGAACTCAGCTGGCGTAACGCAAGCAATCATGTATGTGATGGCATTTCCGCCTAGCGAGTCTTGAAGTAGACGGGTGAGTTTGGAGTCGCGATAAGAAACGTGCGATCCCGCCTGTCGTGATGAAAGCTGTGAAATGACCTTCCCGAGCGCAGCGAGGCCACCGTTGATGGAGATACCTTCTTTGGCACGCTCGCCCTGTGCGCCTGTGTTTTTCAGCCGCTCACTACCCGCCAGATCGACAAAATGGAGTTTGCTGTCTGTGGTAACCCAGGTCTCGGATCCCGTCATAGCTTCGATGGGCACGGAGAAACGCTTGTCGGCCCCATTTGAGCCCTGCAGGCCGCTCTTCCGCTGCACCAAGTTGAGACTGAATACGGCGTGGGACCGGGAAGACCTAGCGTTAATGGCCGTCGCATCTGTCTGTCGAAGGGTCGAGCCGAAATTCAACGCATTCATGAGGTCCTCAACCGAGTTGATTTCGACCTGTCGCAGGCCGGTCAGGATGATATTCCCCTTGACATCTTCACGAATTGTGACGTTGCCACGCTCATGTTGTGGAACGTGGTCCGGAAGCAGAAGATCGCGCAGCTGCTCATTGTAGATCTCGAGGTATGTTGCTTTCAATGACCATGTCCTGTCAGCTGACGAAGTCGAAGATGTTTGGGCGGAATATCGGTGTGGTGCTCTTAGTTGAGACATGGAGCCACGGTTGGCTTGTTTCTTCGGGCCGTCGAGCTTTTCGAACAAAGCCGTCGCCGCTCTGGGAATAACGCCTGGGGGGACAATGTCAGCTTGCGAGCCTATGGAAGCCGGAGAGCTTCGCAGATAACCGAATAGCTCGGTAACACGACGCAGTGTAACTAACCCATCACCTCGAGGTCGTCCTGCTCGATAGGACCTGATGTGCCCATCGTGTACGACTTTCCAGCGCCTGACTGGCCGTACGCCAAGAGCGAGACATTGTAGCCCTGGATGAACGCGCCGACGCAATCCTGCAAGTAATCCCAAATGCCCTCTTGTTCAACATCAGAGCCGAAAACGCGGTCAAATACGAAGAGTTTCCTTCCTTGCGGTGAGTCGATTGCTAAGCTCGTATTCGACGTCACTTGGACCATGGATCGTTGGAATCGTTGAGGTATCAATTCGTAGCCCGGATCTGTGGGTTTCAGAGGCGGTCGAACACGGACGGCTACAAGGGAGAAAAGATGCAGTTAGTGGTGTGATGATGCGCCGGCATGAAAGGGGAGGTGCCGCGACCCTCAGACAAGCGACGAACGGAAGCGGACACGGGAGTTGCACACTTACCGACTTTGACGGCCGTACGGGACTCGTCGTCAGAGGCTTTGCTTCCACCGCCATGTTTGCTCGTCATGCTCAGACGGCTGTTACTCCGCGGTGATGGTCGCACCATTGCGCTCATCGGTCTTTGGGGCAAATGATTCCCAGGAGAGGCCGGCGGCGAGCTGGCCATGATGGGAAAGGGAAAGAGAGGAAGGGTCTTCTCGGAGCGGGTGCGCGAGCGGAATGCGTTCTTCCTTGTATAAGGTTATTCGCGCGAGGCAAAGGGTAGAACGAACGGGGTGTCGGGATTGTGCAGTCCCAATCCCCAGGCTCGAACCCTGTACAGCGGAGGGTATGAAGCACTGTTCGGTATATGGTGTGGTTGTGCCGTTGTCTCAAACGTGTGATCGAATCGATGGGTGACGGATTGCGCGAGCGTGGGGAAGCTGATTCCGTTGCACTACTTCTTATGCTGTCGTGGGGCGGGTGGTTGTGTATTTTTGTGTTGGATGTAAAGGAGTGAAGGGAGGCTGCTCTTTTTTTCCGGATTCACCACAAAAGCGGCAGCGCAGCAGATGCAGCAGCAGCGGCAGCTCGGTGAAAGTGTGGGAACTAAGGCGTCATAAGGTATCAATTATCGTATCCTAGTGTCGAGGAAGCAAGATAAAAACAAGCAACAGCAAGGACGGCTCGCCTATGGCTCGTTCGGAGCCCGTCGTTGTGTTGCGTTGCGGGTGCAATGCGTTGTCTGGCGTTGCTTGGGACGCGCGCGAGATTGTTGGAGATAATCGCAGGAAAGGGTAGCCCGGGATGCTGGAGTGTTTTGTTGCGGGTTCTGCTGGCCGAGCAGTGTGGAGGCGCGAGGGAGGGATGCGTTAACGATTGGGGGTTCGCAGTGTTGCGCTGGACTGTTCTTCTGTACCTAGTCCGCCTCCTTGTGGCAGACAGACTGGACTGGGCCGGACTGGGACCTGGAGTGGTTAGACTGGCGAGGCCCAGGGGTGGAAGAGTAGGGGAGAGGAAGAGCCGAAACAGGGGAACCCAACCGTCAGTCGCGTTTATTCGCCAGAGAAGAAAGAAGTTTACAGGTCTCAAGGTGGTGGCACTGTGGCAGGCTGGCAGCAGCAGAAAACAGAAAGCCAGCAGACAAGCCGGGGTTGGAGTGGATGTCTCGCAAATTAGGAGCGCGTCGGTGGTGGGCTGTGATTGGGTGGCGCGAGATGTGACGGATGCGCCGTTCTCACAGTTGAATGCCTCCTGAGCCGATTCGGGAATGGCAGCAGAAGGGGGGCGGCTTGGGGACTCCTGTCTGCTGCTGCTTCTGGTCTGAATCAGGTCCAGTGCGAATTAATCCCCGGCGGATCGTCGTGACAGGTATGGGCCGCTTCTGAGTCGCGATATCCGGCCAGATGAGTGCCTGCCAGGTGGGTTGTGGGGGCAGGAAGAGGAGGACGGGACCTGGAGAAGGACGGCGAGGAGGAAGAGCAAAGACCGGAGAGCAAATATAGAGGATGAATAATACACGGATCGATAGGATGGGAGGCAGGAGGAAGATAGATCACAGGGAGGAATAGGGGGAAGATGAGGAAGGAACCAAACAACTAGGCGATGGACGTTGTTCCTGCCTGTTCTATTCCGCCATGCCTTGAGCACAAAGATACTCGAAGGGAATGGAGGTTCTGATACCTACCTATACCCGTGCTATAATGGAAAGAGCAAGGAAGGAAGGAGCGATGCATATACAAGCAAATGACCCCCTATTAATTGCAAGTACCTTAGCCCGACTCGCCTCGTCTGTTATCCGTCACCTCACATCACCGCCAAACAAGTCAAGACTCCCTGTTGCGTGTCGGACCATTCAGCCAACTCGTTCCAGTCTATGTTCGTTCTAAGGCTACCTTGATTATTCAGAAGCCACAACCATTGGTAGTACCTATCTCCTGCATGCAATGTCCAGAACACCAGACGAGAGACAACGGCAGAGAGTCCGGTCTTCACTTTAGCGATAGAGAGCCAAGGGTCCAGGACAGGGGATTGGAGGGGACAGGTATCACAGGATGAGATGGGATGGTCCATCCACTGGACTGGCGAGAGGACCGTGTTATCCCGGGCTGCCCGTCCTCTCAAATGCAATCCAAAGAACCTTGATCCAGTATGCTGGGTCTGTGGGACCTAAGGGCCACCGCCGTCGACGACCGCAAGCCCATTCGAGGCCAGTCATCAACCAAAGAGTGCCATATTAATGATGTGGATGGCCGTTTGTTCGCTACCTTATCTCAATAGCTTCAAGAGGCACCATGTTGCATCCAAAGAAAGAGTGCACCACGGCCTGGGAATGGAAGAAAAGTGCAGAAGGGGGGAGCGAAGGTGGGGCAGGGACCGAGCGGTAGACCAGGCCAAACCACTTGGACCTGACATCTATGATCCAGACGGGACCAGGGGTGGGCCGGGGGACGCCAAGCGGGACACTCGAGGAAGACACCTTGCCTAATCGAGGCTTAGTCATCTCACACCCTAGTCGTCTTCGTTTGTGGTCTGCCAAGAATGAACAAGAGGGCTGCTGGTCTACTGCACAAGACGGGAGGCAAGAGCGCAACTGCCATCAGACCAATCCATGGCGGCCAGCAATGCAGGAAGGCACCACGCGAGACTGGACCTCGGGAGGCAGGAACCAACCCCAAGTTCCATCTGCCTGCAAGGCACAGGGCCTCGTGCATTAACATTAACATACTTTACCTCAGGCACGAACATTCCGGAAAGTGAGGTTCACCTCCACACGGTACACCATCTTGAAGGAACCTGGAAAGCACGGGAAATGGTACGTACTGAGGTAACCACACATGAACCGAGAACCTCCGCACCGGACGCAGGGACCAGCGCCTCTCGAAGAAGAAAACCCAGAGGGAAAAAAACACCCGATTTAATTTGTATGCAACAACAAAATAACACTGCCCACCCTTGTGCCGGTACCAAGACATGGGGATTTTCTGACTTGTCCAAGGAACAGGGCCGGCCAGGCAGGGAAGCCAACTCTTGACGAAGACAAACATCAACGGCCATGATTCTTGTTTCTCTCTGTCCCAGCTTCGCAAACGTGAGCCCAAAGTCCCTTCGCAACAGGAAGAAACGATGACTAAGAACGAGCACAAGCCGGCCGTGGAGAACCAACCATGGCGCACTTGCCCGGTCCGCCTGCAGTTGATTGCGAACAATCGAAAGATGTCTGCACCAACAAGAAGCGTGTTGCTTTTTCCTCCGCGCTATCCAGTCGTTATTCACGGTTCTCGCAAACCCATACACTACATCAGGACACCCAAGTTCCACACCTATGCCGAAGTTGCGGACTGGGCTTCCCATTCCAGGACTTTAGGAGACAATTGCTTACACTAGCGGCCCTTCCACACGATACACAACGGCCACTACCATCCCAAGAAAGACCTTCTGCCTAGGACGTGTTCTCGCCATTACTTACTGGACACACATCGCGCAACCAATGGGAACGCATCTAACTCTTGGTCCGAGAGGCCGGCAGAAAATATACTTCCGGCCGAGGCCTGCCGCAGCTAGTCCCGCAGGTTTGTGATACTTGACAGCTCTGCGCCAGCTCACCTGCCTTCCGTCTCTGTTCATCTTCGACTCTCTAGATCGAGGGGCCAGATCAAGAAGAAGAAATTTTGCCGCGAGACACAGCACAGCCTGCGTATCCTGTGGGACGCAAGATAGCCACTTGGCAGGTGAGCCGTGGGACCACATCCTCGACACTGCGAGGGCGAAAGACGACAACGCGGCATCATGGCTATCCATTGCTTCTATGGTGAGGGTTGAATTTTTGTTTGCTTCAACCACACTAATCGACGCCACAAAGCGTGCTCTAGACCCCTGGGCCAATATCCCGAGCCAGCCGGTAGGGGATCTCTGTCTCCGTCTGCTTGTGGTTCATATTTCCAGTACGATTAGATCGCTGGTCTTCCGCACCATGACGTGTATGAATCATTACGCGTTCAGCAACAGTTCCACGATATACGGGTCCTGGCCTCTGAAGCCTCTACCCTCGGACATCCGCGAGGGCATCTGCGGATGCCCAAGATTGCCGTCTCTAGGCATTGATCGTCCCTCCCGCCAATCCAATCCCAAAACCTTATGCGTCGTACCACCGCGTCGTCTCAACCTACCGACATCGTCGTCCTATCGCCCCCTGTTCGCCGGAGTGACACTGACACTGCGAGGCCACCAGACCATATTGAAAAGCTGGCAAACGTGCATACTCTCGTTCCAACCATCCGCAGCGGGACTTGCAGCCACCCAGAATCTCAATCCCCTCGCATCCAACCGTGCGCGCGCGTCCTTTTTTCCTCTATTCCTCCAGGGTTATACGCAAGAAATAGGGGTTTCGCTCGTTCGCTCATCATACCATCCTATTCTATCTACAAGGTTTGGCTGGAAGGCGGTTGGGGACAGTTGACTTCTCCTCTGCGAGAGGTCTCGAATCACAGATAAACGAGTCCGGAAAGATGCACAATCCACCAACTACTGCAAGCTTGCGCTTGGTAGTCCGTCACTAATCAGGCCGCAGGACCCCATTCCCGCTCTGCTCATTGCTCATGGTGCACGTCACAACCTTGCCTAAACTGATGCGATCCAGAACCCGATTTCGAATGTGGTTCCAGAACATGAATTTACCAATTCCCACGTCTCGCACCCCGACATGCTCATCGTCGGTTCACGGGATTTCCGCGCAGAAGATCCCCATTGGTCACTACGCTTCGTTCCCGGACCTTGTAATACTCGTGTTTGATTGCCACAACGAACCCCCGTGCGCAGCGCTTATTCCAGCGTTCGTCCGTTTCTTGGGTTTGAAATGCATTTTCTCTTATCGCCCGTTGTAAACCTTTGGCATAGCGGAAGCTTTGCATTTCAATTCCGCCCCCTAATCGCTGTCACGGCATTTGCAAGTCGCAAAACTATATCTCCTTTCGATAAAGCCAAGCATCCCCGATCGCATACGTCCATGATATCCTGAAATCTGAAAGAAGGGTAGCCGATGATGGGTTTGGCTTTCAAAAGACTCTGGGAGACCTCGAACATATAAATCTTGAAAACCTCCATATCCCCGTTCTCAGGACCCCTTTTCTCAAGCACAAGCCATCCCATCCGCCCGCTGCTCCATTTGGCGAGGGTGGCGTTACTCACGAACTGGCGTGCCCTTTTCTTAACTACATGTTCGCGCACGGCAAACAGGGTTCATGGTGGCTTGCCGCCGGATTTCTCTTCATCTCCTTGCCCCGCCGTTTTCGTCTTTATCTACTGACCAACAGTTCGGCAAGATCGTGTTTCACCATGTTCCGCCCACCGCATTAGCGTTGCCGCACACATCTGACGCCTCCGTGTTATTTCTGCTTTAATGGTTCGTTACCGCCTGCGCCTTCCGGGCCCTGGGGATACCGGTCGCCGGGCCGTGAAGCCACCCGTAGTCCGTCCCGGTTTTAAATGGATCGCTCGGCTCTGACGCTCCGGTGCAACTATATTTGCTTCCGGTGACATGCTGCCGCCTCGAAGTGGGATTTTAAAGTTGGTGCTTCATCAATCGAGTTGCCTACAAACGGCCACAAAGCGTCAATAAACCTTTGATCAACCAGCGGAGACGACCTCTCAGTTGCCAGTTTGGGCCGTTGAGCAGGACGTGACCTGCCCAGACCGGCGGTACAGCGACGGCACGTCGAACGGCGGCCGTGGAACAGTAATATTTGCAGATAACAGTGGCACTGAGTGACCCCTTTTCCCGGCTGGCACGCGGCTTGTTGTCTTTTGCCAACAGCAAGTGTGACTGATGAAAAGTTGTGTGGCAATCATATAAAAGCCGTATCATCCTGCTTTAGATGGGAAGAGCGGGCTATTTCGCCATCTGTTCCGGAGCAAAGACTTGACCTGGTGCTGTTCAACCCGCCTCCCGACTCTGGCTCTTGATAATGAAGCTTCGTCACAGTCTTTATAGCGTTTGGGTCACAATTCTCGAATGGATTTATATGTCAGCATGCGTTGAAGAAGTTGTTCAACCCCTGTTTCTTCAGTCAAGCATGACGCCTGCGTGTCTGTCACGATGCCAATGGACTAGGACGATAACAATCTTAGGGCTAGACTCGATGTCTGGGGCCGAGAAGAATCTTGCTACTTCCTTCTCTGATCGTTATGGTAGCCCTCTAGGTACATGGCAGGCGTGGTTGATAAGATATGCTTTTAGTGGGAGCCAACCGAATCTCTTAAAGGGATCCTCCGTCTTGATGGACCGGCAAAGCTTGATGCATATTAATGGTCTTTCTGTTTAATGTTACATGTCGCGATGGTCCCCAATATAACTCCCAAGATCTCGCATAAACAGCCTGCGTCAGTCTAGCTTTTGTGCTGACCAGGGCGGCCAAATCTAGACACGACGTTATTGGAACTGCTCGTGAACACATTCAACCTTGTATAAGGTACTATTACGCGCATGAGCCGGCTGAATGAGGAGTAGAAAACTGACGAGCGCGAAACTCTCACGTAAGACACTCTCGGAGCTATTGACGCGTTCTTCGTTCAAATTGTGCGGTCTGCTTATTGACCCAACTCCATGGAGAGAATATGTTAACTATGAAATTCGCCTAGGGGGGATGTTTTAACTCCTCACCTGGAGAATTTCGCAATGTATTAGATCGAAGTCATTGGAAATGCTTCATTAACGCCCCAGGCAGCTTTGTCTGAAGGTTGGTATATACCTGCCGGATGAGCGCCTTTAATGGGGAGACCTTTTTGTAAAAGCTTTTTTCAACGCTGCGGCAGCTGGCTGGCTGGACACAGCACTTGATACTTGCAGTTATCTGAGAAGTCGACGCGGCTCTTGCTTGATACTGTACACTGAATGGTCATCTTGAAGATAAACACAGGACTGCATTTGTTCTAAGTGTTGCACCAACGTATCAGTCGTCTGGTATTGATTCAAGACTTGAACGAAATTAATTGACTGAAGTCTAGGCATCACTGATGTTGTCTAGTGATGTGTCCATACGACAACACAAAGTCAGCTAAGATGATGAACTGGCCCCCGTGAATGGGCAACAATGGCGACCATCGCTCTCAGCCAACTGGGCTATATTCCAATCTTGAGGTTGTTCACACACAATGTATCTAGCTACAAATCCGTGACCTGTAGTTTAGTTGCACTTGAAACGGACACAGCTTGTTCGTCACCCGTGGGTATAAGCCCGTGATAGGTAATCGGATATGTTGCGCCATGTATGATGTCCCGTCCAAGTAACTGCTTCCGTGTTAAGGCCAGTCCAATGAGAAAGTCAAGAAATCCCTCAGACTGCTGTCCATTCTCCCGTTGGAAGTTCCCAGCGCGGGATGTCCAAAGCCTGTATCATACATGGAATCCTCCGTCTTGAGTCTTGATACTGGTGAGCCTGTTGGTGGGTGTCGAGATCCTGACTCGACTGCTCATGGCAAAGCACAGTTAATTGGGACTTGTTCTTCAGGAGCGTCTTGGGGTTTCACTTGAAACGGGACAATGAGGCGGGGTCCTGGTTGTGAGTGTACTGCCGTACAAATCCTTGGTGCGTCCAGCGGTGCCGGTGACTCACAATTAGATTTCACGAGTCGCCTATATCTCCAAGACTAGTAGAAGCACTGAATGATGTGTTTTGCCTGTTTTTGGAAGTTGTTGTTTTCCGTGATATCCGAGGAAACCTTGGATGTTGCTTGGTCGGCGTTTGCTTCGGCGATAGAAACAAGAAAGCTTGATGCAAATCACACAATCACCAACCTTATTCGCAATCTAGTTGAGTTGTTCGAAACGAGTCATATTACTGTAGAGACCCTTGTCTTTCTGAACCTCCCCCCACCCCCCTTGAGCACCAACCACAACTCTTTGCGACGGTTAGGCAGATGCGCAGGCACGTTGTGCGAATTACTGTTGAGGAGGAATGGAAATGGGGCTTATGTCAAGTTGTTCAGGTCTTGATTTATCATATGCATTAATGTTGGTAAAACCTGTAATCTAATGCTTCGAAAATGGGTATCTAACTCGCTGTTGTTGGTTTCTGGAACCTTTAGGGATTACAAATGCTACCATGACTGATGCCATGTCATGTCCTCTCCTCGACGGAAACTGGCCGCGTCCCGTCGAATATGTGATCCGGCCGATCCGGCTCGGGCGACGCCATCGGTCCTCCCTGCATCATCTCCCTCTGCGCTTGCGTCAAGCCTTTCGTAGTGCCGGTGGTGTCCTGAATAATGAGGCCCTTGGTGTACGCTCCCGGTGTGTCATCCAGGTGGTGGCAATCACACGAGCTCATCTTGGTGAAGGCGAGCAGCTGGTTTAGCACCGTGAACTCGACCTTGAGCTTGATGCTGTAGACCAAGGGCTTGCTCGTCGTCTGGAACACAAAGTTATTCGTGTACTCGAGCACAATCAGCCCGACATCCAGTAACAAGACGAGGAGGAAGAGCCCGAGGAGGTACCACGACATCAACCTGGCCGCCCTCGTCTTGAACGTAAACAGCGGCTTCAAACTGAAAAACCCCTGCCACGCAAAGATGCTCGTGATGAACGTCTCCTGCAGCGCAAACACCACAATCGACACCTTTTCGTACACGCCGTAGCGCGCAAGCCACCCCGCCTGGTCCTGCGCCGGCGCCGCCCAGCACAGCACCCACAGAACCACCATGGGGATGTGTATCGCGCACCCGTTGGCGACGATGAGGGCCAGCACCAGGCGCAGCGACGTGCGCTTGTACACGACGAGGTGCAGCCGCGACCACAGCACGACGGACTGGCCCGTCACCATGGCGCACCACGCGAGCAGCGCGAACGCTCCCGGGACGACGGTGTCGCCGCGGCAGAGGTAGCGGATGAGAGACACAATGGCGTGAACAAAGATGCCTGTATTGGCGACGATCATGCTCCAGAAGTAGCGGCCGCGGCACTGGCGAAAGGTGCTGAAGATGAGGACGTAGATCTCGACGGCGTTATAGATTCCGATTGTGGCGAGGGCCGCGATGGCCATGGCCTCCTGGCGGGTCAGGTCCAGGCCGCCTTTGATGTTCGCGGCCATTGTGCTGCTGCTGGTGTTTTCGCGGCTCCCTTCTCCTGTTGAGGATATGCGGTTCGGAGTTTGGGGCCGGAATGGATAAGCCGCTAGGGGCGGGCCGAATCGATTCGGCGGTGCGAACGGCGGTGCTCCCCCACCTCGGTGTCCTCGATTGCTGGAGTTGGTGACGCCCACGTTTCCTCTATGGGAAAAGCTGCGTAAATGGTGCAAGATGTGCTGGCTGGGCAGATATATGGACGGCCAAGAATGTCAGGCCGGGTGGCGTCCGAAGCCATTAAGCAACAAAACGTGGGTAGAAGAACGTATGGGGAGTACATCAATAAGCCAGCACGAGAGTACAGTTGCTCCCGTCCTATAAACTACGGCGTACACTTCGTCCCTTGTGTGTTCTTTTACTTGGGTAATAAATTATGAGTCGGGTTAAGGTTTCGAAAATCGGGCTTGTTGAAACACTATTCGGCTTAGCCAACCGAATTTGTGAAGAACAAGGGGAAGGACTTCGGTGTCGGTATCGTCGGCGTTTCTGACTCGTTCTTGCCGGTGTCTGTCGGTGATAACCTTCTACCTCAGGTCATGGTTTCGTCCGGTGTTGTGGGATGCTTGCCCCATTTTCCCCTTCGTCCGCCTCGAGGTGCTCTGACGATTGACAAAAGCAGACAAGTTTGAGCCAAGCCATTTTTGGTAAGGTAATCCAGCGACCTCGACCTGACATCCCGACTTTGGATTCTTCTGGGCTAAAAATTTGCACTATTGACCGAACAAGTCCTCCTTACCGAGGCCCCAGGCGTACGGTTGGTACTCTGCGCTGAGCGTGTGGATGAACAAGCCACTAGATATCATCATCTCAATCTTTCAGGTGCGTGCTGTTCTCTCGCCGAATGGTTCATTGGCCAGCCTTTGGCAAAGCGCGAACGTCCAGGCGATTTTTTGCTGCGATAATGTCTGTCCGACACTGCCGTCCAATCATGACTAAGTGTCATACAACGTTCCTTGACGAACTAGATCTGGCGACCGCTGCTGGTATTGAAACTCAATCGCTTGCTTCCGTATGTATTCGGGGCTTTCACGTGGGATTTGCCTTCCGGAAACGCGGGTGAAAACCCAATCTCTGTGAGGGTTCAATGTTGGCTTACCATTGCCTCGGCTAGGATACCGAAACCGCGGGCAGAATCTGCTTTTTCGTGCACTCGCTCCGGGATGACGATGCCCCACCTCGGTCCCGTCTCGGAATGCTTTCAAGTCCGAATTAACGGGGCCACGCCGGATTGTCTGCGGAGAGCTGTTCCGATGAGCATCGTCCCAAGCCGGTGGGCCCCATCTCCACTTTGATAATCTGTGAGCGATTGTGAGCTATCTGTTCAAGCTTATCTTGTCTGGAGATTCAAATCGCCCACATTTATGTCCAGCGTCTATGGAGAAAAGTGTACGTAATTGAGACCCGGCGCCTCGGGTATCTGATGACATAGTGACCGTGGCTTCCCTGCACGTAATCCTGCACGTAGCCCTGCACGTAAGCAGGGTTGGGTCGACTTGTCCAACCGTTTCAACAATTAGTATGAACTTTGAAGAAGCGACATGAACTGTAGGACACAGGCATCTGCATTGATGATGGTTGATGGAGGACGGCAGTGGTTAAGATCATGAGCCATGAAACCAGTCGTATGTTGACTATACCTATACTGTCTTCTTGTCGGCTCTAGGCATGTCGACATGATGCTCACCAAATGACCTTCTCCCCGGCAGCTAACGGACACGCGCTGCCAGAAGCTATTGGGCCAATCGCCGGATGAGTCCCTTGTCGAAGCACACGATGCGTAGAGCTCGGGACCGAGTTCAATAGACATGAAGGCAGCTTCTGAGTCAGGTCAAGCACTCCGTAGGCGCGTAGGCGCGTAGGTGCGGACGGCGAAAGCCGGGGAACCAACCTCGGCTATTGGAACATGAGCCTAATCTAGGCAAAGATGGCAACGTTGCAGCCCAATGGGGACTACCGAGATGGTAGCATACTGAGTCCCGTATACCGACCGCATGATATTGTGTTTGATACGTGGTATGGGAGAAGGCACTGGCGCCATTTCCGGGTCTGGGCTTTCCTCCAATAAAACTAACTTCGTGAATGTGGCTCACGCGTTACGAGCATCTCGAGTCAGGCGATTCTCGTTTGAGAAGAATAGGTCACCGGTCGCAGCGCACGATGTCGATTTCAGATACCGAGATGCTATTGCCGAACTCACGCAGGTCAGGAAGATGAAGCAGAGGTACGGTTGGGGTAAGGTCCGATCCTCGTGCGGCTTTTTGTCTGGTGAGGCGGCACTCAGACTCATTGTACATCGTGACACCAAATCCAAGCCAGTCGTCTGTTTATCCTGTGATTTGACTGAAAAGGTGACTGGGCCTCACACTTCAAGACCGCGGTCGTTGTAAAACCAGCGGTCCGCAATTAGAAAAGATGCCAAGACTGTAAGTAGTGCGTCTTGCCTGGCCAATCGTATGGGGAAATGAAATCATGAATAGTTGGGTCGCAGAGGGCCTATATTGAAACTAGTCGATGGCTATCATTCGCCGAGATGGTGACAACGGACGAACTCATGCATCAAGCAGTCGCCAAGTGGTTGCGCTGTAAGCGCAAGAGGTGGCTATAATTGCTAGAACTGGTGTGCCCAGTGGGAAGGTTTGAGTTGCCATCGACCGGCCCATCACCTCGGGACGCATCCAGAACCCCTGCCTGCCGCTCGACCGCAGCTTTCAGGTTTTTGGGTCGGCTATTCACATCCTGGCTGGCCGTGCGCGCCGCTACTAACTTCCACGGTGACGGAAGGCCGATTCCGCTCGCGAAGAGAAAAGTCTCCGAGCGGATACATCGCGTCCCGAGGACCAAATCCCGCCTTCCCTCCTCATGAATCGTGAGCTTATTCTGATAAAAGATGCTCGGTCTGGGGGTTCCTGCTGACTGGGGAAGCTGAACCATTATTTCATGCGTCGACACGTGTAGCCCTTCAATGCCGCGAGGCGATCAGCCTGTCAAACTGTCGGCCCGCAGTCTTGCACAACCCCCCTCGGCGGTCGGACCTCTCGGTAAGAATCGTACGGCCGGGCCTCCATGTCTTTTGAGGATTGTGGCATGATTTGAGCATAGGCTCCCAACCATTGCGTCGCAGTCGGGTTCGCACTTGACTCCCTCCGAAATCGTGATAAGTCGGCTTTGTGCTGCCAAAGCGGACTAGCATTTCCCTCGAGCTGATCAATCCCCGGACACATGGACCAGAGTCTAGCTGCTCTAGTTCGCGGGGCAGAAATACTTCGTACCGACACCGAATTCGAGAAGCTTGACCGTTAAACTCTTGTTCCCTCGTAACACATATACCCACATCGTTTAGAGACTCCTGCCGGAGAGAGCCGGTGGGATATTTGATGTTGCGTCCGATGGGGATCAGATGGCACTTGGGGCAGGGAAACGGAGACGGAGACCCAACGTATTTTGAAAACAGTCAATCGTTGTATTCTATCCTTCTTGATGTACGCGTGAGATGTCGACAGCTTGATTGCGAGCGCAGCATCCTTGACGCCTCGGTAGGTGTGTGCATGTACAACGCTGGCTCAAAAGTTTGGTCACAGTAATAAGCCTTGCACCCAACTAATCAACCCCTGTTCACCACACATCTTCACCCGACCTGTTCATAACACAACACTCAAGTCAAACTTATTTTATTCTTTCCTACTCTAAAATTAAAAAGCTGCCTTTATGAGTCTAATAATGAATCTATCAATCACATTGGATGAGTTTTTAAGGTATTGGTATATGGGACTTTGGTGGGAAAGTCTTCTTGCTGCGACCAGACTTTAAACCAGCGGTGTATCTGTATCCGAAAGCTACCTAGGTTGGCAATGGTAGAAATCTAACTTACAAAGCACCGTAATAAAAACTACCTTACTTGCACGTGACTGACGTGACTGGTTCGCGCTAGGACCATCGGCCATGACCTGCCCGACTGCGCCGATGCCCCACCTGCGTAATGAGAGACGCGACCCGGAGACGTGAATTTGCGAAGGCGATGACTTCGAGAGCCCGTGTTGCCAATGCCGCCAATGGTGTATATTCGAAATGTCCTAGACACCGTCAACCATACTCACCAAGGTTTCCGGTCTTTGGCTGGCCGAGAAACGGCTCAAATCGGCAGGAGTCATGCCTCCCGAATTTATCAGCCTTCTCTCCAGCCCCTCCGCTGGGCCCTCTCCTATCAACACAGGACCCCCACCATCTCGCCTTGCGCAACCGGTGTTGGCCGCTGTCGCAACGGCGCTGGCGTACGGTGACGAAGAGGTGTTCGATTTGACAGCCGAATCGCCAGAGATAGCACCAAAATCTCCACCGCTACCATCCGTGCTGCCGAAAGCGACATCCCCAACACGGGCATCTTCAGCAACGAAACGTCCTCGGGAGGAAGAAGCACCCGTGAACACGCCCATCTACTTCAACTCGGATGACTTTGATACGACTATCAATCTCGACAGCAGTCTACCACTGGGCAATGCGCCGACCAACGAACCACGAGAACACAAAAAGCTGCGACTCTCGTCTCCTCGTCATAGCCGCAGATCCTCTTTCGACCGGTCACATTCCGCCACTGATCAAGGCCCTCGCCCGCCTCTGCGGCAGGCGGGCGGTTTGCGACGGGTGCATTCGGTTGCGGACCCAATCGAGTTCTCCAGTTCGCCTGGAGTCCTTTCGCGACCGACGACAACTGCGTCAGCTGCTCCAACGGCTGTGGACAGGCTCGATTCTGACGACCCGTTTGCTGCACTACCTCCCTCGGCCCAACCTGTACCTAAAACGCAGAACCCTCTTCCAAACGCCACAGTCACCGGTGTCGGCCGTATAAACTATAACCTGAGCTCCGACGACCCCTTTGCGAGCTCGCCCCCTGCGGCCCCGAAAGCGATTACGAAGCCTTGTACAATAGTCCTAGATGATGACGATGACGACCCGTTCGCTAGCTCACCGAGAAGAGCTCCGGTGGAGGCCATGAAGCCCCCAGATTCCAAAAAATCAAGCGCAGCCGAATCCAAGGGGAAGGAAAAGGCCGTTTCGCCGAGACGCAAGGCTAACTGGGATCCCATCTCGAGTTCCGCACCCGAATTTAACACTAGAAGTGATCCATTCGGGAGCTCTCCACTGCCGGCGCGAAGGACCATGGCTAAAGCCGCCAGCGCTGTGATCGACCTCAGCGACTCTGAACCCGAGCCTGTCGTTCGCAACCTCGATGCCGATTCGGACGGGGAGTTTCCGGACCTCGACAACTTTGACGTTACAAAACTCAGAGCCCGATTGAATACCAAGAAGCCAGCCACGAAACTTACGTCGAAAGCAACATCGAAAACCACCTCCAAATCGAACGCTGGCCGCGCAGCAACTACAAAGACGGCAGAAGACAGGACGAGAGAAAAAGAGGAAAAAGCGGCGGAACGAGAAAGGGAAAAGGAGCGCAAGAAGCATGAAAAAGAGGTGGCCAAGGAGCAAAAGGCAAAGGAAAAGGAACGGGCCGCTGCGTTGGCGGAGGTCAACAAGATTAGGACTGACAAGAAAGTGTCGACGCCGGAAATGATTGCCGACCTTCCAGCAAGTCTGCCCGCCGCCGTGACACTCCAGATACAAACATTGTTAAAGGACCTGGACGTCCAGCACGCCATCTGGAACAGCCCAGTAGACAATGTGGTCAAATGGAGGCGGAAAGTCGCAAGCCATTTCAACGATGAGCTGGGGCATTGGGAGCCGATTCCAATGCGCATTCAGCCAGACAAGTACGCGCTCGTCATCGTCACTGCGTCGGAGTTTGTTACGTACGCCCTGGGACCCGAGGGCAACAACTTGGAGACGCACGTCTCGAAGATGAAGCGCCATTTTCCAGAAGAACAGCTTATATATCTGATCGAGGGTCTCAACCCCTGGATGAGGAAGAACCGCAACGTCCGGAATCGGCAATTCGCATCCGCCGTCCGTAACCAGGGCGAGGATGCCGCCGCAGGAGCGGCAGAGGCCTCAACGAGCGCGCAACCGCAAGCACAACCGCGGCGGGGGCGCAAGAACCAGCAGCAGCAGCAGCAGCCGCAGCAGTACATTGACGAGGACTCGGTCGAGGACGCCCTGCTCCAGCTGCAGGTCATGTACGACGTGCTGATCCACCACACCAACGCGGCCGTCGAGACGGCGCACTGGGTCGCCATCTTTACGCAGCACATCTCGACGGTGCCGTACCGGAAGCAGCGCGAGGCGACCAACGCGGCGGGCGCCGGCTTCTGCATGGAGACGGGCCAGGTCCGCACGGGCGAGGACGTCAAGGACACGTACGTGCGGATGCTGCAGGAGGTTGCGCGCGTCACGCAACCCGTCGCCTACGGCATCGTGTCCGAGTTTGGGACGGTGACGGAGCTGGTGAAGGCTTTTGAGGAGCGCGGGCCGCTATGTCTGGAGAACTGCCGCAAGAGTACCAATAAAGACGGTGGGTTTTCGGACCGGGCGGTTGGGAAGGCCGTTAGTAAGAGGATTTATAAAATCTTTATGGAGACGGATGAATGGAGTACGGATGTATAGGATAGGACTGGTTGTTTTGCATGAATAATGACTGGATGAAGGCACAGATATTGGCGCAAGGTAGCATTCACAGGTGTTACGGTGGGTTTGATCCCGATTCAACGGGTAGAACATGACGATGATGGTGAGGGTTGACTTCAATTGATGTTCTAATCGAGCTATATGAGAGACCGTAGTCTTAATTTCTATGCCCTTCCACCGCCAGAGGCGCCTATATCCCAAAACAGGGTTTAGATCATTACATTAGTCCCGTGAAGAGAGTTTTTGGTTTACACTATTAGGCAAAGTCCTTGTTGAAAGGACCGCCAAAGTGACTGATGAGTACCGGCCCCCCTGGCCACGGGATGAGGGGTTCGAACCCTCCAGCACTCATCAGATGTTGGTTGCTTCCAATTTTCTTCTCATCCTGACGCGGCACAAGACTGACAGACCAGTCTACCGCGGACATACAGGGCCTTCCGGTTAGGACGACGGCCGCGAAGCTCGGTGTCCCATAAGAAAGGCAAAAGTTTCCCCGTAGGCTGCTAATGCTTATTATCCTGTTAGCTGAGGCTCATCATGTAAACCCAAGAAGAAATGAAGATGAATAGCGCTTGGATGTCAGACAGCGGTTGGACGAAGTTGTTTCCACACGTATACTTTCGGTACAGGTCTGTGAATATTCTTGCCTCATCATGAAAAGCGCGCATCGGAAATATGCTGGGTGAAGAATAAAAGATGAACGTACCATTTAATGCGAAACGACCAAAAGGGCGGGTGGCCAAAACTCGCACGAGGTGTCGAATCCTAGGATTCAACTCTCCTCACGCTTCCGCTTTGATGCAGTAGGTGTGAAGAACGCGTTGAGCGTCTTCTGTTTCTCGTCAAACTTTGCGCTGCCGATCCCCCCACGCGTCTTTTTCAAGCCGCGAAGGTGGTCGGTGCAATTGACGTCCACTATTTCAAGCTTCAGACGGGGCCATTTGGCTTCCTGCGTACCGCTTCGCGAGCCAGCAGCAGGCTCTTTTGCATCAACCACCGGCGGCATCGTCTTGACATGCATCAAGAGGTATCCAGTGTTGCTCCACGAAAAGTGCTGCTGCTGCTGATCCGACGACCCGGTTGCCGGAGACCCAAAGTTGCCAGCGGCAAGGAGAACCCTCGCCAGCACACCCAGTATGATCCCGTGGGCGACGATGACGATGCTCTCGGTGCCGCAGGCGACGGCCACATGCTGCTCCTGCTCCTGCTCCCCTTCCACGCAAGCGAAGAGGGGAGCGAGGTACTCGTCCACGAACCGCTCCGCACGCACGCGCATAGAGTCTTGATCCTCGGCACCTTCGTGTCTGTCTCCAGACGACCGGACGCCGAATCTCTGACCCTCGCCGGTTCCAAAGTGTTTCTCCCGGAGCTCTGGTAACTGTAGTGTGGCCACCCCGATTGTCTGTTTCAACACTGCGACGGAACTGGATGACGGCGGAGCACCACCATCCTCCAGAGCCGAGGGAACCGGGATAGTAGGCGCCACGAGCATCGCAGTGCGGTGGGCTCTTTGTAGATTCGACGAGAAGATGTGCGTGATGGGGGCCGAGGCCGCAGCGGTTCGTGTCGCGAGGTGTTCCCCGAGGCGCCTTGCTTGCAAGACGCCGTGAGATGTCAAAGGTGCGTCGCGAGACCCGGCACTGCAAAGTGACACGCCACGCCCACAAGCGCCGCGCTGCTAGTTAGAATGGGAAACAAAAATTTCACTCTTCGTCGCGGCAGAAAACGAGAGAAGGAAAATTGCAACCCAGACTGGAAACTGGCAAACGCACGAAAGTGGTGATGTGGCGGTGTGGGAATTGCGTACTAGAGGTTCGCGACGTTATCGACGGATTCGCCATGGCGGACGAGGTATAGATGAACCGCGCCCATGGTTGCCTATTCAAGCTAAACCACGAAGCGCCTTTCTGGAGTTGTGCTCTGGAATGGCAGAAGCCAAGCTGAATGAGGATGGGGAGGAAGAAGGAGTATGATAGAGAGAGCCACGATCAGAGTTTTGTAGGCGCGTTGAGTGGGGCACATGCCGCGATCGTTTAGGTGCATGCCCTGTCCATATCTCGCTTAGTAGAATTTCCCAAGCCCTGGTCATTGATTTCGTCCCGCCAGGTCTTTTGAGAATCACGTTGACGCGTCAACGACCTAGAAAATTTCGAATGGCCCGAGACAGGATTTGTATCCAGGATTCTGCATCAATGACTCAACTTGGGAGAGATGACTGCCTTGGAGCAAAATGAAAGCTGCCGTATCCTACTCTCTCCTGGGCCTCGTGGATGAAAATGATGTGAGTTCGTATTCCTGCCGCCTGCGAAGCCGGATCACAAACAATCCTCCCCTGATGTCTTGTCCAAGTTCCATACATGTTCTCAAATCGGCATAATGTTTATGTAACTCGAACCACTCAACTCCACTCAGCACTTGCTGCTAGACTTCATGCCGAAACAGCCCAGCTTGCTACCTGAGAGCCACACGTCCTGATCTTTACCCAAATGTTAGCAGAGAACAACCACGCGCGGCATAGCACGGCCTCATGCTCGCGCGATTCTACTCACCGAGATATCTATGGGTCTCGCGGTACTGATTCGGATCTGCAAAGGCACCTCGGCACTGGCAGACAAGGTTACCAATCTTGGGATGGTAGACGCAGTCTTTGCAGCTCTTGGCGAATCCGCCCCTAGGCACCTATGTTAGCAATCTTCTAGTACTCATGCTTGTCTTCTAGCCTGTACTTTTCTTGGCCGCGGAGGACTCCGTGAGCATTGATGATGCAGTCGTTGAGCTCCAGGCGGGAACATTGCAGGTAGGGCGGCTGGTCCAAGGGGCACGAGTAGTGAATCCAAGGGTTCTGGTCATTGTCGCCGAGACCGAAATTGACGAACTCGCAATTGTGGAGGAAGTTATCATCGTTTTTCCAGCTGTGGTCGTCGGTTGGGGCTGCCGTCGCCCAGGCTGTGGCAAAGAGAAATAACCCAAAGCACTTCATTACGGTATGAAGTCCGTGATTCTCCTTGGTGTCGCAAAATAATACGCGGTAACGGCTAACGCACGCTTTTTTGGACAAGCTCTGGTCCCTGAATAAGCCAGTCAAAAAGCCAAGTTACAAGGTGAAGGCGGCAAGTTTTATAATCCAGAGCCGAGATTCGTTACGGTGGTGAAGGACGTCCAGCACGCCATGAGTACCGCCTTGTCAAACTATTATTGTGTTCATTTCCATGTCTCGTGTAATACTGACATGTTTGGAGGCTTTGCAATGAATGGTCGCAAGGTTGATGTGACACTTGAGTGATATTTGGATGAATATTACTATCCTCGGAGCCATGAGGGCTCCCAACAATTTAGCTGCCGTTCCATCAATAGCTACTGGTGTTGTACATGCTACTCGCTACCCCCTTTCCAATGAACAAAGACAGTGATCAAAGGCGATCGATCTACCAGCATGCCCAAGCTCAGTAAATTGCTCAGGCGAAGATTCAACCATGTTTGCTCAGAGACCGCCTTCGAACGCCCAGTCTGGTTCATCGGGAATGATAGCCGGGTTAGTATGAAAGCGGATTGCCATCATTTCGTGCTCGTTACATCCAATAGGGTTTCCTCCGAATCTGTGGCAGCCCAGAAGGCCGCCTCGGTTGTCCAGGAAGTTATCTGGTTCCCCGTTGATTAAATGAATGCTCTAGACCTAATCAGTAGAAGAAAAGAATGGAAGCTTACTCAAGTTGACGACTGAGGTCACTGCTCCCTTGGGACCACTACATATACACCGCATATTGCCGTCCGTGTGCTCGTATTTACACTCTGTGCAGGATTTGAAGAATGCACCACTTTCAAGGGGAGTTAGCCGGCTCTTACAAACAATCTCAACAAAGCCATCATACTATCTTTGGTAGACAATGGCACCGTCGGCGTTTGCGAAACACGCGGTCAGGGGCATCCAGGAGCACCGTTCGCCCCCTTTGCCATCCCCGCACTTGGCCACGAGATACGGCGTCGAATCCTTCTTCTTGCTGCCCTCATCCACGAGGTCTCTGGGATCAAAGAAGCGAACATCTGAGCAAGAGGCATTGAAATTGGCTGGTATCTTCTTCACTGCTCGGTTTTGCATCGTGTTGAGGAGCGTGGATGGCTCATGTGGCGCTGCCATCATTCCGCAAGCTGCCATGAGCAAGACGAGCGAGATAGAAGGGATGATCATGATGACCGGGGGTGGGTACCGGCGAGGGATGTTGAGAAAGGGAGGACTTGAAGTCTAGAATTCAGAATGGCAGAAGAAGATTGTTCGTAAGGACTGGATTGACAATTCTTCTGAGAAGAGGTCTTGAAGGCAGAGTTTAAGTCATGTTGGATTGAGCAAAGATACTCAGGTACTACTCTAGAAGGGGTTTGTTGATGTCGGACCAACATTTGCTGCGAGCATTTGGACACAGTTTTGACTTGGTGGCACCCTCTGAATGGATTGCGATATCCCGCTCAAAGGATTGAACCAAGTGCTTCCATGCAACATGAGAGCAGTGGCATTCTCAGTCAAGTAGAAGCCTCTCACACTGACGTGAATCAACAAAATGAAGCCTCAAAAACATACACTGTAGACCAGGACCTCTCAACAGTTGAAACCATAGGCTCGTAGCGGCGTAGAGCAGTGAAACCAGGCTCTCGTGCATGCGCCATGGACAATTTTGTTGTGGTACCAGGCAAAAATTATCAAATCAAGGATGATTGTTGCAAGACTGGCTTTTGCTGTTTTCAACCGCAGCTGTTCGGCCATAGACAAACTTGACTTTCATGTGCCAATAAGTCACTCTTGTGACCCCCTTGAGCAAGGACACGAGAGACCCATAGTGTCCAGGTTTGAGATGTCGACGTTTTGTTGCAAGGGGAGAGAATTATTTTGAGTTGCCAGTCTGAATCCCACCCGAGTGACAGGTCTCGTAGTTGAGAACCTCGGTTGGCATTTCCCTATTGTGAGGTGGACCGTGGACTTCATGTTAACAAAGGAAGCAAACATTAGGACAAGGTGATGAATCCTTACATCCTCCCTTGCACGTTGCGACAAAAGTTGACCCTCCATCGGCAATGTCGACGAAACCGGCTTTCTCCAGCCTGTTCTTCTGCAATCCCTTGGAAACGACATCTACGGGCCCCCTTCAGTGCACAGTGCAGGTTTATCGCCATGGCTTCATCCCCAGGATTGCACCGTCGTCGCTGCGGATCTCGGCCTCGAGCACGCCGGACTGGAAACTGTTGAGCCAATAGGAATGCCGTGGAAAATGCCTGTAAACGGAACCTCGTGACATCAGCGGCCTGTCTGCGGAGCTTCGAAGCGGGATGATCCACCTGTAATTATCACCGAACACCGGCCACATGCCGGACCCGAAAGATCACTACCGGCCGAAAGAGGACCAATAGCGTTGATGCCAGTCAAGTCTGATTCGTATTAGAGTCATTATTCGGGACATCTTTTGACAACTTCTTGGCATCTCGCTACGGACAAGGCCACCCCGAACAATCGGAACGGAGCCGAGTTCTGTGGGGCGAGACACGATGGCGACTGGCCCGACGGATCTCGCGTCATTTCAAAAGTCAAAAAGATCTTCGAGTGCAACTGCCCATCTAGCCGCTGGTAGATTTCGCCTTGCATCGGCGGCAGCCCGACATCACATAGAACCAACTCCCGCAATCGGATGAGGTACCGCGAGTTTGAGGAGGTGAGCAGAGCACGACCTTGCCTTCGCTGATAACCGAAGGCTTGACTGTGGGCTTTTGCCGGAATTGAGAGACTGACCCGTTGACGTGATAAGAGAGAATTGCGGGCCGGAATAGCGTACATTTGAAGATAACCTTGCATGGGTGATATATTCTGGAACTGAGAGGAACCTTGTCTGGTACGAATCCTCCACGGAATATACCCCTCTCGACGATTACCTAGCGTCTTTGAACATGTCGGGCCTAGGAACAAGCACAACGGACTCAAAGGACCCTACCGTGGTCTCTGCAAGCGCTTTGAATGCAGACATGCCTTCGCCAGTCAACCGAAGAGCCGGTACTTCAAATGAGGCACTTCTGATCTTGGAAGACGACAGGTCAGACGTCGCCTTGAAGACGAACGACGCCGAGCGGAACGAATCAGACGACGAGAGAAAGCTTGTGAACGGTGGCATCGTGATCAGAGATGGTGTGCAAAACCGCAGAAACCTAGGCGGAAACGCAGAGCGATGGAGCGAAGCTGATCATTCAAAGGTAACGATGTCGCGAGATACGTCGTCAGTACTCAAGACGATGGTGATGCGTCTTGCACCTTTCGATCTTTCATCATCGGTTCTGGTAAGATTATCGCAGCGACTATCAATACTTGGAGTCTCAGTTTGCTGACTCTCACAGGCTTGACCGCTCTTGCGGCCTGCATCAATCAAATGTAATTTGGGCATCGCGGCATTTGTTGATGTCATGCACTGACAGAACCTCACACAGCTACTTTTATAAGCCCGTCGATGTATCATTTTCCTCGGTGTAAGCTTCATGGACCTTTTGAGCTCTACATAAGGTAATACAAAGAAGACTGACGAGTGTTGTTTTCAGGTTCCTTTGCTTGATGGCTTATGTGATCGGGGTTGCTTGGTCCGTCTTGCTCCCTCGACGGCAGCATGTTGACAAGTACCTACCATCTCAAGCAAGGTGGCTCGGCCCAGTCGTTCACTTCATCAACCCCGGCCACTTTGGACTCAAGGAACATGCCGTCGCTTCAATTCTTTCTACATCGAGTGGAAATGGTGCTGCAATCGTGCAAGTCTTTGGCGCAGAGCGACTGTAAGCGTGGTAGTTGAGTGTCTTTCCAGCTCAGTATTAACTAAAAACCAGGTTCTACAATCGGAGCATCGATCCTGCCACTGCGATTCTGACAGTCTGTTCGGCCTCCATCTTTGGATATGGTCTTGTAGGTATCCTGCGGTCCATCATCGTTCATCGTCAGTCACTTTTCGCAACCCACTAGATACGAGCATGTGTACTGATGGAAGGCAGCGAGTGAAATGGTCTGGTGGCAATGCCTCCCCATGATATCCATCTACCAGACGCTCCACCGTGACCCAGTAGGCAACAGTCAAGACAGGCTCCGAATTTTCGGCTTCACTTCCATCGGCATGTTCATATGGGAGCCCATAGCATCCTACATCTGGCCCTGGCTAAACGGCATATCCATCCCCTGCCTCGCATCGATGAAGGCCGCGCCGCCGACTCGAAAGGTTCTCATGACAATCTTTGGCGGCATCAACTCCAACGAGGGCCAGGGCATCTTCAACTTCTCCCTGGACTGGCAGTACATCACGTCGCGGTACATGTCCCTGCCGCTCCTCCAACAAGCCAACTCTTGGGTGGGCATCGTGCTCTCCTATGTCATGTGCTTCAGTCTCTACTACGGTGGGGCTTGGGGCGCCAAGAAGTTCCCGTTCATGTCGACGGCCATGTTTGACGGGAAGACTGGCAAGGTCTACAACCAGACGGCCGTGTTTGGGCAAAACGCGATCTTGGACACGGACGCACTGGAGATACATGGGCTTCCGCGGTTGACCGCATCCAATGTCTGGGCCAATATGGCGGCAATGGCCGCCATAGGAGCGCTGCTCACTCACATTGCCCTTTTCTATGGGCCGCTGTAAGTTCACCAGAAACTCGATTGCGTTCTAAAACTTTTCTGACTCGAGTAGCATCAAGCGGTCATTGAAACAGGCTTGGAAGAAGGAAGAGACAGACATCCACTACAGGATCATGCAAGAAAAATACAAGGATGTTCCCATCTGGTGGTATATTGCCATTCTTCTTGTTGGCTTCTTCGCTGGCCTTGGAGCTGTCGTCAAGGGCCACACTACGCTTGACGCCTGGGCATATGTTTGCGCCATCGTGAGTCTACCTTGTTCCCACCGCCCATATCATTTTGAGACTGACCAATGACGCAGCTTCTTGGCTGCATCGTTGCACCCTTTTCGCTCTGCTTGTACGGCTTGCTCGGCACTAGCGTCGCCACAAACAATCTTTCCAAGATGCTCTGCGGTGTACTTCAACCTGGGAAACCTGTCGCCAACATGTATTTCTCAATGTTCAGTCACGAGGTCACCGTACTCTCGGTGTTCTTGTCTACTGATCTCAAAATGGCCCAATATCTCAAGATCCCATGGAGAACCATGTTTCTTCTGCAAACATGGGGAAGCTTATTTGGGACAGCCTTGAACTATGTAATCATGGATACCATTGTGGTAAACCGACGAGAAATCCTTCTTGACCCGATTGGCAACCAAGTCGTGAGTTCGCCCCGTCAGAAGTTTGCCGTATCAGAGCTAACCCAAAGCCAGTGGAGCGGACGGAAGATTCAATCTCTCAATACGACTGCCGTTACCTGGTCACTTGCAAAGTACGTCTATGGGTTCGGAAAAGATGGATATGGGTGGTAAGTATCTCCAAGTGATTCTTGGATCATTGACATCTTTGATCTGACTTGCTGAAGGATCCCGCTCTCCATCGTCCTTGGGGCTGCTATCCCTATTGCGCTGTGGCTTTTATCTCGCAGGTACAAAACCGTCTGTGGCTTGGAAGTGAGCAAGTGTGTCACTCCTGTGATCTTTCAACACGCCTCGGACACAACGTCAGGCACTACATCTGTTATCTGGTCTCAAGTCGCGGTCGGCTTGTGGTCTCAGTGGTACATGCGGTTGCGCCATCCCGCTTGGTTCGGCAGGTATAACTATATCGTCGGTGGCGGTCTAGATGCAGGCGCCAAGGTCATGATGTTCATCTTGACATTTTCTGTCGCTGGCGGTTCAGGAAGAGAGGTTCCTTTCCCTACGGTAAGCACTCCGCGATTGAAGTAACACCATGTAGCTGACAAGATCACAGTGGTGGGGTAATCCTGTATCGAGTTCGAAGCAGTACGCCGATTACTGCGGTAATGGATAGAACCTCAAGTCTCTGGTCCATGTATACTTGAAGCAGTTCAGCACATAAGCTGGTTCATTTAATGAAAGGACATGACAAGCAGCTCATGACTACAGGTATCAACTGAACCCTCCAAAGTTAGGTATATCGACCTTCTTACATAGCAGCATCAAATTTCAGGCTTGAAGCTCAAACAAGTAAACTTGATTTCTTGACTGAATTTACAATGGCTCCAGTGCTCCTTGGCCGCTGACATGTTCAGGTATTGAATCTCTCGCCAGCTTTTGCCACACTTTCAACCGCCGTTGATCAACCCAATTTCCGTGAACCTGTGCCTTCACATGGAAAGGCAACTGGATGACGGCGATGGGCTTCTCAAAGTCCTTCGTATCCAGCACCACAATCTCGTTTCTGTTAGCACCTCTGCGCTCAACCATAGTCATGACCCATCCATCTCCTTCCGGCGCGTCGTCACTTCGTGGTATGAAGATTGGTTCCTGACAGAACGACCCGGCCCCAGCGTTGAAACATTTCGTCTCTTTTGTCTTTGAATTGTGCATTGCCAGGCCGTTGAGTCCATTGACAATGGTATGACCGTCGCCGTTCTGATCTTCGTGGATGTAAACGTTGATCCAGACGTAATTGTAAGGCTTCGAAAGGAACCGCTCATCAAGCCGTGGGAACTCTGCAGGCATGTCGAGGATCACCTCCGGATCTGGGACCTTGCTATTCGTAGGCTGGGAGAGATCAAACGTCCAACGGACGTAATCGGACTTGGGATCAGGAGCAGGATACACTCCGTCATTTGTAGGGAAGAATGGGAACCCATTGTCGTGTACACGAGTCGTCTCCATGAACAGAGTCGTTGCATCTTCGCTCTCCCACGCGCCGCCCGTATGGATGAGCATGCAGTTCTTCCAGGAGTACACCCGACTCTCGCCTGGCTGCCAGCCAGGCGGAAGCTTGGTCGAACTTCGACGGGGAGCAACAATAAATGTGGCAGGGAGATCATAGTCCCAGGCCCAGTGGTGCCCTCCCTTCTTCATCCGATCCACGCTGGCTTCGAATGGCCAGAGTGCTAGAATGATCCAATTAGGCGTGATTGCACAGTCGTGTATCGGTGCACACCACGGCGACTTGATCCACTGCTCGTCGTGCTTCATACCCTGGCTATCAAGTGCGTATATGACAATATCCAGCGACGCGAGCCCTCTAGCTTCGTATCCAAAGACCATGAGCTCATTCGTGTACGGGTCAATTTTGGGATGAGCCGTAAACGTCTTTGCCTTGATCTGTCCAAAGGGATCGTACTTGATGGTCTCCAGGGTCTGCGGGTCCACGGAATACGGCAGGCCTCCTTCTTTCAGAGCAAGAAAGTGGTCGGCCCAGAGCACCACATTGGTGTTGGCCGTCGAATCCACCGCAGCGCGAACACAGGGGTGATGGCTGAACGGGTTGCGGTAGAGGCCGAATAGAGCCTTGTTGGCCTTGCGCTCGAGCTTGTAGCGCTCGGTTTCGACGTAGCGCATCTTCATGTCGACCCTCCCGTCCTTTATACGGAATGCTGAAATGTTGCCGTCGCCGTCGAGAGGGACATTGTTGGGATGTGGCGGCACAAAGGGGTCCGTCATGACTCGGTAAAAGGTTCCGTCGATCTCTTTCGGGATTTCTCCCAGGACTACCAAGTCACCGATTTCACCCTCTAGACGGCATGGTAGATTGGAGCCAGCAAGATCGTAAGCTTCTGGCCACTTGGTGTTTAATCCATAATTCGACATCGTTTTGGATGAGGTGGAAGCCTCAGCTGCCTCATTTTCCGTTCGACCAGGAGTCATTGCTTTGAATAGCCGAGTAGGTGATTAAATGAGATGTGTTGAAGGGTGGTGAGCACGGAGATGGTGTAAACACAGGCAGCATGTCCTAGCCAGGTCTTATACGAAGAACTGTCAGACGATGTCTCTTGCAAGGGCGTAACAGAACCACGGCCTTTCATCTCAAGTTCTCAACAAAGGGAAAAATTGCAATTACCGAAACTTCACTCCTTGCCAAGTCAGAATAGGGTTCACCGGCTACGACCCTGCGGCCGGCCCGCGGGTCATTCACGCCATTTCCCCAGAATTCCCCGCATGAAGGGCGGCCGCCTCCGCATCTAAGCGCCAAATTGGGGCGTCGGTGATTCGAGATGCCCTCGATCGGGCACCTCACAGGCATTAGCTGTCAGTTTATCCGTAGTTCCATAATTATCAATCACGGGTGCAATTGCCATCCGATATCTCGACTTTGGTGTTGACCTTGGCTTTACATCACTCGGGATTGGTCGTTAGTATTGCTTTTCTTCACCTTGGCTGGTAGTGGAGCAGTTCTTCTACTGCCTACTATTGGGACTCTAGGTTTCATTGGCACTATCTCGGGTATGTGGCCGTGAGCGATCCGCGTCGGCATTGTGCCGAGTATGTTGGGTCTGTGCAACGACATGTCGTCTGGGGATCTCAGAGCAATGCGATCCCGGCACGGACACGGAGTAGTGTCCTGGCCCGCCAAATCGTCCGTCTGTGCCATGGCCATAGGATCATGAGGAACTCCTGGCAGCAAAGATGCCCCCACGGTGAGTCTCTCAACCTTCTCTCACCCGAAACAGCTCAGTAATTACCGTAATTGTCTTGCATATTCAATAGCGTTCCAATGCCGCGTCGACGAACTCTTGGCTCCTCTCTGTGCTAAAAGAGACAAAGTAGACTCGCACTCCTCATGAGACCAGTGCCAACCACTCCCGTCTCCTACACTATGCCGTGACGTTTCATTCGGTCGTCAAAGATCGATTAAGCTGGGAAGACCATGCAGAACGCTTCGGTTTCGGGAGCATGGGCCGCTTTGGAAGATGTGGCAAGAAAGTTGCTCTCAAAATTGGGGTATCGTAATACACATTATGTCAACACGGTCATGATGCCTGGATACTCATTACTACGGTCAGCCCATATTCAAGTACAAAACGAAGAAACCGACATTCGCAAGGCTTACGTGGAAATTCCTTCGGTCTGCAAATTTGTGTCCCACTTTCTTCATCACCTCCTCAACTCAAGTAGAGCTTCGCTGCTCTGCCTGATGAGCAGCGGTAATCCCTCCCACGGCTCCGGCAATGATGCCACCAGCAATGAGAATCGCCATCGCCAGGACGAAGATCCAGTACCGTCGAATCCATGATCTCATATTCTTCTCTGCCATGGGTTCGGTCGAAATAGGAATCGTCACGTATGTACCGGAAGGCCTGTGGCTGAATCGATCGACCACCGCAACTTCTGGCGACGCCAGCTCCCGGCGTTTGCCGTTTTCAAGCGCTGAATGCTCAGACCAATCGCTGGATGCCATCTGGTGGCTACAGGTGATTCAAGTGAACAAGAAAAGTCGACCAGTGATTGACGACGTTGACGAAGGATGACGACGTCGACGAAGGCATGCAAGCAACTTCGTTCTTAGCTTCACATTTGACGGCGAAAGATGGAGGCCATGAGGAGAATGTCTCCCGAGTTACACGTGGTACTACACGTGGGCGTACCGCATATTTCAAGCGAAGAACATTCGTGTCTTCCGGTATGCCCCCTAGCACAACACATGCGCCTGCCCGGGTTTTCCGGCTCTTGTGTGAGAGAATCCAGAGACAAGTGTCTCTGGGGCGCATGGCCAGGTTGCAAGTCAACGGCGAATGGGGTTAACGGTGGGGAGCTTATCATGGTTGCTAACACGCGCTAGCAATGGGATTGAAACGTGATGGGCGAATAAGCAAATTGATCCTCTGAAAAAGGTTAGAAATTTGAAAAGAGTCCCGCGGCGGCGGGACATTTGATGGTTCTGCTCAACTTGCCATGAACCAAAAGAAATTATGGAATCTGTGCGTCCGTGGACCTCTTCCTTTTTGCAAAGACCACATACCACGAACAGCGCGATCGAGAGTAATTGAATAATGAGTGGAGAGCATTCAATTTCAAATACAGCTGAATATTTTTTAATACGAATGGCAGATGACCCAGAATATCTGAAATGGACTTTCGCCAAGTCAAGAATTACGATCGTGCTTCGATACAGATTGTATGATCGAATCCTTGTTTACGCTCTGCGCCTCAGCTGGAGCTGACGTTCAATGTCTCAGCCAAGAATCATTGGTTCGAATTGACCGCGTGGCTCTGAGACTAGCGCTTTCTACAAAAACAAACATGAGAGCCTTTGCGTAGCGAACTCGTACCACTCTGGAACATTGCTGCGTATCGCCTCCATCCCTTTGCACAAGCCTCGGAAGACCCGGGCACCCGGGCTCCTGAGAGCTGAACGGAGGAAGAGAAGAGTTCCCTAATTGTGCAAGAATAACTCAGCTTCGTCAATGAGTTGCCGTTGGCTGATGATAAATCCGTTGCTGCTTCTCAGAAAATAAGAGGAAACGTGCCCTTTCCATCTCCAAACTATACCGTAAGACGTCTTTCCAATTGCTGAGTTTTCTATTAGTCTGGTTCAGTGTTCGACGAAAGAAATTCCTTTTCCCCAGTTTAGGAGGGTTTGCCAACTTTCTCTCGAATTCCAGTTTGATCAGAAGCATTCATCCAGTATTATGTATCTGCAGAAGTCCATATGAGCAAAGCGGGTGACCAAATCTCGAATGGCCTGATATCTGATCATCTGGCGATGGATTTGCCAGGCGACAGTGCCCAACTTGGCACTTTTTATCCATATCACATGAGATATTCATTGCCCTTACTGCTGGATGATGGGAGTCTTGGCTTGGGACTTTGGATGCATCAGGTTCCAATGAGCAGCCTCTCTCAAAACCACACAACCGCACCGTCGCCGCCAGCCCGACAAAAATTACCAAAAGTAGGTGGCATGGTAGCCATCTCACTGGCAAACAGCACGGGTGGGAGATGTCGCAGTCTGGATCTCCGGTCACGCAATCGCTGGGTGGCAGGGGCTTGTCTGGACCCAACCCCGGTGGAGAACCCCGGTCTCTCGCCCGCTCTCACCATCGCCGCCTCCGTAACCGCCGATGATTGGGCCAGCATTGCGGCGGGAGGCGAGAAATGCGACGTTCGGTCGAGGTCTGGTGGGTTTTGCCCAGTCTCTTGGCGTCTTTGAACAACTGCACGCTGGGCGCGGGATGTCAAATTTTTGGGATCGCGACATCGAAAATCACTTCATTTGGAAGGATTTATCCAAGATTTACTAGATGGCTTGAAGCGTATTGATGGTTTCCTTTAGCTAATTCAGCCGAGCTGGCTGGTTATATAGCCTTGAATCGGCACCACGTCTTTTGCATGTTGGGATGCCATCTCGCTCATTGTATTACCTTCATTCTCTTGAGCTCCGCCTGTACTCGAACTTTACCCTTTGATAAAGGACGAGCCGCAATGGGTGAAGCAACATCGGTGACTTTGTCAACACCCCGGCCGGTGACCGAGGAGCCCATCAACTATGGGCCCCCAGAAGAAGGCATCTTTAAACACATTTCAAAGATCATTCCATACTTCCGCGACCCTAGGAATGTCCTCGTCTTCAAGCTAGATGTCATGCTGCTTGCATGGATGTTCCTGGCAGGTATCATGAAGGAGATGGACCAGTCCGCCACAACCCAAGCCTACGTTTCGGGAATGAGAGAGTCTTTGAGCCTATACGGCAACGAGCTGGTCGAATTCAATACCTTCTTCTCCATCGGATATGCGCTCGGCTTAGTACCTGGTCAATTGATTCAGACGAGGGTCCGGCCCTCAATGTTTCTCCCATTCTGTGAGATGAGTTGGGGACTGCTGGTACTCTTGTGAGTACCTTACATCATCTTTTCAGGCAAACACCAACTGACCACCAGCGCAGCACTTACAAAGCCCCGAATGCCCAAACCATCTTCGGCCTCCGATTCTTTCTCGGCCTCTTCTCGTCCGCTTTCTGGCCCAGCGTCGTCGCCCTCATCTTCAACTGGTATACCCCCGCCGAGCTCGCCGTCAGAGTCGCCTGCTTCACAGTATGCGACGTTGCCGGCGCCATGTTCCTCGGAGCCCTCCAAGCCGCTCTATTCCGCGACATGAACGGCGTTCACGGCCTCGCTGGCTGGCAGTGGCTCTTCATCATCGCCGGTTCCGTAATCGTAGGCCAGGGTCTCATTGCCTTCGTCACGGTGCCCGACTCGCCAGCAAACACACGTGCCATCTACCTCACCGAGAACGAGAAGCGCCTGGCTCGCGAAAGGATGGGCAACTCCGGCGTCAACACATCCAAGCGCATCCCGGCATCGGTGCTGCGTCAAAAACTTCGGAAGCTCATCGTTCACCCAGTCACGTATTTCTATCTCTTCTCTTTTGCCTTTGGGGCGTGGGCTCATCGAGCCAATTCGTACTTTGTGCTGTACCTCGAGAGCATCAAAGATTCAGCCGGCAACCGCGTTTACGATACGTATCAAGTGAATATCCTGCCCTTGGGTGGCTACGCCTTGCAGATTGTCACCAATATTGGGTTGAACTGGCTATCCGACTGGAAACGTTGGCGTTGGCAAATAAGCATCTTCTCGGCCGCCGCTCACGGCATCTGCCTAGCTGTACTATGCGGATGGCCCTCCGACCATAAAGTCATTCTCGCGTTCTACTTCCTCACATATGGCACCAACGCCGGTAGCCCGTCACTAATGGCATGGATGGCCGAAATTCTCCGCAAGGAGCCCGAGGCCCGATCCATCATCGTGGCAATGACAGTGACCGTTGTTTACGTCGGCCACGCGACTATACCCTTGGGAGCGTTCCGCGTCGCAGACGCCCCGAGATATCCCATTGGCTTTCCTCTCACAACTGCATTTACCGTTGCTACAATCTTGGTTCAACTAGGAATGCTGTGGTGGGATAGAAGGCATCCAAAGATGGCTGAGCTTGGATACGAGCCGGCCATCAATGCTCAAGGGTCATCGGACGAGGAGAACCCTAAGACTGCTGAACTGGAGGCCATCGCCAATGGGGCGGACAGCAAGTCGACTCAAATCTTGGGCACAAAGGAGTTATAGATCTTGATGAGCTACGAGTACTGAATTATATATTTATTAAATCAAGATATCAAGAAAATTGCATATTCTTGCAAGCCATGCTGTTGTGGGGTTGTGGAGTATGCAGGATCCTTCTCCCCTAACGGAACACTCTGACAGGCTTTTGACTTGACCCTCTCAGAATCCCTGGTATACGTCCTGCTTCCTTCCAGAAAATACATCGAAAAATAGGATTGTAGGAGTACATGCCAGTGAAGGTAAGAATACGGCTCCTTTGTGCCGATTACCCGAAATGTCGCGAGCCGCCCAATGCCTGTCAGATAACCACAAGAAGTTCACCTACGCATATTCTACCACCTTCAACCTCCCCTGAAAGAGTCTTAGTATGATGAATGACGCGATGGCATATTGTAGGTCACGAAAACGACGCCGACAATGATTACAATCAAGAATAATATTTCAGCAAAAAAGTCCGCACGTTTCGATAGATGATCGGAGTGTGCAGGAGAGGAAGCTCTCCGGCCAGTCTCAACGTCCGCAGGGACTACTCTATATCTTTGGGTGTTCCCTTCGGCATCGAGGAGGTAAAATTCTGGCGAATGGATATGGTGTTGCCCAGCGGCTGAGCTTTGTCGGGATGTCCTCTTGCGCCTCCGCGATGGTGCCTTCTTCCGCTTAGGTATTGTTCCGTACGTCGTTAAGCGTGGTTCAGTATGAAGCAAAGGTGATTCGGTATCTAGTGGGAAATTCAACAAAGTCGAGCATGAGTTGTCATCCGAATCAGAGGAGTCTGACATTGCTGCTTGTAAGCTGCTGTAATCGCTGATCGGGTTTGAACTTGTTTGCTTCTTTCCGATGTCTTTAGATTCCCAAACATCGGCGTTAAATGATCAAGTAACAGCTTTTGAGACGAGGAGGGGGGGTGGGGACCCCGCTCCATACACGGCCAGTCCTTCATTTGTATTCCCACAGGAATTGTGACACAGAGGAGAACCAGCAGCAGGTTGGGTGGTCGCACAAAATGCAGCTGTGGGTGCGATCACAAAGCAAACGGCTTCTTGAATGATGAATTGATGTTGGATAATACCACCGTTCGCGTACATTACCGTGGCATCACGAATATGGTTTGGACATGGAATCAAGTCTGCTCTAGAATCCAACTCCAACAAGGACCACAAGAACCGGTATAAAAGCAAAGACTGACGAATTCGAAGTTCATGATTTCAGAAGAATTCTCGATTCTAGAGAAAATGGACCCCTCATATCAAAATTGATTCAACAATTCGCCTCGAGACTTGACTCGATTCGTTATCTGGCGAACAAAGCAATACTTCCTGGAGCTTCCTTCTCTATAAACCAGGTAGAACTTGGAAATAGTGATAATCGATGGCCGTGCGCCTGGATGCGTGTTTTCTCTCGAGATTGACTTCTTGATCTTGGTTTTTTTCGACTGGACACAGGCCAACCATCTGTTAAAGCGATAGAAATATGACCTGAAGGTTTATATTGAGCAGAATCATCCAGATTCAAGTTGAAAAAGGTAAAGGTATCGGAAACATCATTGTTCTGCGATTGACAGTGGGTTCCTGGTTGATCACCGGAGTCTGAACAACCATCATTGTCGGATGCATCTGACATCCTGGGATGATAGGGCCGTGTAAGGTGGTAATGGTACTGTATGCTTCGACACAGATCACAGAGTAAGAGCAAAAGAACTCGGCATGAAAGAGGATGCCATGCCAACGATAACGAGCCAGCCTCCCGATGAATGATATGGAAGTACTGTACTCACATGTATTCACTAAAGGCAACGTCGAGGGCGGAAAAAGGCAATGATTGGCGGTTTGCTCACCGTGTGACCGTCTCTCTGTTTTAACACCTGCAAGTGTCCGCAGAATTGTAACAAGCAACAAGAAGCAAACAAGATGCACCGACAATTTAATTTTGATTGGGTGGATTATTGACTTCTTGAGTGAGACTACAACCCCTGACGAAACTTCAATTGCGAAGATGTGCCAACCTTGCTGGGAATTGATTCCGTTAATTGCATCCCAAAAAAGAGGCGACGACGCCTAGACCTTGCCTTGTTTAATTTGTGCTACATGACGTCGAGGAGCTTGGATTTGTTCAAATCGTACGATATCTCATCCCTGGAGAAGACGTCTGCTTACTTCTCACACCATCAGGTTAAATAAACCTTCCAATAATTTCGATTGTTTTTTCCGACCACATGTCCAGGTCCAGTAAAGACCATAGAATCCGCTGCTGCGAGTGAATACCGTCGCGGTTCAGCATTCCGCTGGGACAGCTCTATTACTGCTTTGTTCCCAGTCTCCACTAATCCTGCTAAGAAACAGCTCTGAATATTTCCTTACATACCTTAGCCTACTTCACTGTTCAATCTCAATGACGATAATGATACGTACATACTAAGGTTTTATGCGGAATTATAAATTAGACGGCCAGTAAATGGAAGACCATCCGCTCACCATCGCCATAGCCCAAACCACATTCATCACCGCGCCTACGGTGATATAAATCCCCGCATCATCGCTGAGTCTCAACCGACTGGAGTAAGTGGAGTCAGTAACTGGTCCCGGGACTGGATCGGATGTGGAATTTGCGGGGCCCCGTGGACTCCGGAAGTCCCCGGACAGGGTCCCGGCTGCTGTGGGCTTAGCCTAAATGCGCCGAATGCACCGATTTTATCGAATCAAAGGCGAATTTTGCTAACGCGTGACAGGAGACTCCGTCACGTTTACCGACGATACTCCGAGACGGCCCGCTCATCCTACGGCGAAGGACAGTATCTCGGCGGTTTGGTCTTCGGACTCGGGACTGCGCTGACCGAACCTGCGGATCTCACCGCATAATATATACCGGACGGGCACTTGCATGTTTGCTGCAGTCCATAACTACCGGGCTTTCGTCATCTCTCCTCTCTTTTTTCCACTTGAACTCCATTGAAACCAATCGGTTCCTTTTGTCAAGATGGCGGGCGAATTCACTCCCCTCGACGTTGAGGCATTGATCAAGGAACTTACCTGGGACGAGAAGATCAACTTGCTTGCTGGTCAGGGATCGTTCCGAACGACCGGTCTTCCTCACCGTCAAATCCCGGATCTTGTTGTAAGTTGATGCTCGAATGGCGAGGAGAACAAGTCCATCCAACTAACCTCCCGTGCAGACTTCGGACGGTCCTCACGGCATCCGAGGGCGTCGTTCATTCGCTCGCGTTAGTTTACTTCCTTGATCGCCTACGGTGGTACGAAGATTTACGGCTATGGTGCATTTGGCTGTCATACTGACAGAAGCCCGTCTTTTCTTCAGAACCCGAGTCCCATGCTACCTTCGGCCACTGGTATGGGCGCAACCTTCAACGCCGAGTTATTGCACAAGGTTGGCAATCTCCTTGGAGAGGAAGCAAGAGCCAGAGGAGTGCATGTCTTGCTGGCGCCTACCATCTGCCTTCAGCGCTCGCCATTATTTGGGCGAGGATTCGAGGCTTTTGCCGAAGACCCCTTTCTGAGCGGCATCCTCGGCGCGGCGTACATCAATGGCGTACAAGAGCGGGGCGTAGCAACCAGCGTCAAACATTATGCCGCTCACGACCAGTCGGACAACTCCATTGAAGACAATGTCTGCATGACGCAGCGGACCTTGAGGGAGATCCATCTGATGCCATTTCAACTCGTCATGCGCGACTCGGACCCATGGACCTTTATGACATCGTACAACAAGATCAACGGGATCCACGTGAGTGAGGACCCGTGGCTTCTGAAACAAGTCCTGCGAGACGAATGGGGCTTCAAGGGGCTCGTCATGAGCGACTGGTTCGGCACCTACAGCACCTCTGAAGCCATCAATGCCGGGCTGGACCTGGAGATGCCTGGGCCGACGCAGTGGAGAGGCAAGTGCCTGAGTCTAGCTGTCAACAGTCGCAAGGTTCCGCGCACGACGATTGACGAAGCCGTGAGGAATGTTCTCAATCTGGTGAATAAGGTCAAGGATACGAAACCAGCTGGCTATTTTGCGGCGTCAAACACCCCTGAGCAGCGCGCCCTGATTCGCCAGCTGGTGGGTGAAAGCATCGTCTTGCTCAAGAATGATGGCAAGGTGCTTCCTATTCAACAATCAAAAGGGAAGAAAATTGGATTGATCGGCGACCACGTCAAGAACCCTGCCTTGAGCGGTGGCGGCAGTGCAGAAGTTGAGCCATACTACTCCGTGACACCGTATGATGCCATAATCGAGGCAGTCGGAAAGGAAAACGTGTCATATGCACTTGGTTGCCATTGTAAGATGTTATCCCAAGGTTTCCGGACGATTGTTGACACCAGTCACAGCTTTCAGATTTAGCCCACTGTTGAAGAATCTGGCGCCCCGGCAATCACAGCACCAAGGCTTCGGGTGGTCGGTTGAGATCTTTGAAGAGAACCCGGACGATAACCCCCATGTGCAAGTTCTTGTAACGGCCCACGCCCAGAAAGAGCTCATCGATGTGCCAGAGAGTTTCCACGCGTCGCTTCCGGAGAAATTCTACGTCAGAGCCCGAGCGACTTACACTCCTTCCACCACAGGACCCTTTAGATTCGGCTTCAGCACATCAGGTAAGGGCAAGCTAAGGGTTGATGGCCAGGAAGTCATTGACCTATGGAACGACCAGCCTCCAAAGACGGGGCCTACGCCATGCTTCAACAGGCTTTCCATGGAGAAGTTCTGCGATACGAATGTGGTTGAAGGCCAGACCCTCAACCTCGAAGTTGTTCAAGTAAACGAAGATCTTTCTGGGGGCGTCGGTACCGCCTTGACGCTCGCAGGGCGCGTTGGTGGATTCGAAATCATTGACGAGGATGTTGCCATCGAAGAAGCCGCGGATTTAGCCAAGAGCGTGGACATTCCCATTGTGGTGACTGGATTATCATCGGATTTCGAGTACGAAGGGGCCGACCGCAAGCACCTCAGACTTCCAGGCCGTGTCGATGATTTGATTGAAGCTGTGCTTCAAGCCAATCCAAACGCTGTAAGTGGCTCCCTGTTTCGGCGACAAGCAAAGGTGGCCCGGTCCGAGTCGCATACGTCCGAGACTGACAAAACATCACCTAGGTCATCATCACGCAGTCCGGCTGCCCTATCGAAATGCCATGGGAGTCGAAAACAGCTACCTTGGTCCACGCTTGGTTCGGCGGCCAGGAGACAGGCCACGGCCTCGCAGACGTTCTCTTTGGCAAAGCCAATCCCTCTGGCCGTCTTTCGCAGACGTTCCCGGTGTCCATTAAGCACACCCCGGCATATCTCTCATTTTCAAAGTCCGATTACGATATTGTGTACGGCGAGGGTGTCTTCATCGGCCACCGCTACTACGAATCAGTTGACAGATCTCCGCTCTTTTACTTTGGCCAAGGTCTCTCCTACTCGACGTTCAAGTACGCAAACCTCCAGGTGCCGAAGACGTTCGAGCCGACGGCAGACTACAAGATGAAGGTCTTTGTTGATGTGACGAACACTGGGCCCTATGACGGAGCAGAGGTTGTCCAAGTCTATGTCCACGACCCGGAGAGTACTCTGTTAAGACCAGTCCGAGAGCTGAAGGCGTTTACCAAACCTTTCCTGGCTGTGAATGAGACAAGGACTGTGGAAGTAGTCCTCGACAAGTACTCGCTTTCGTACTGGTCGCAGGAAAGATCCAAGTGGATTGCAGAAGCTGGTGAGTATGTTCTCATCGTTGCAGCGAGCTCCAAGCCACAGGACGAAATTCTACGGGCCTCTTTCAACCTGCCCAAGACATTCTTCTGGGAGGGTGTCTGATTGCACTGAGCAACGCATTAGTCTAAGAGGGTATTAAGGCAACACGGGTAGTGGAGCTGGCTCGTGTCAATTTCCACATCCTCACACCTAGGATCAAATGGAAGGTTGAATATGATTCAGACTTGATGAGTAGAGAGAAGAATTCCTGAATACCCACGTTCACGATCCTAGATATAAACAATCTTCTTTAGCCAGATCTGAAAACACATTGAGCCTCAATCATCACATGCTTACTTTGTCTTAATAGAAAGTACTCGACTGAAAATGACACTCTTGAATACTTCTGCGATAAATCTTCGGATTTTATGCGCAGAGTCTCACTCGAAATAACAAAAGACCTTCCTACAAATAAGCTCCTTCTATGCCGATGTAAGTAGTGGAGGGGAGAGATAACACTCGATGACGTGCTCAACGTCAGCCGATGGCGGAGACGTGGACTGGCGCAGGATGCAATCTCGACATTGCTCCTCACTTGCGCGTCATCTCCAACTTACATAACCAACTCGTCTGATGTCTATTACCGGATATTTAGACAAGATGCATATCAAGACGGCTCTCATCACTCATCCCTTAGCGTAAAGAAGAAAGAGCCGCTTAGGCTTTACTCCCTTCTACACGGCAGATTGACATTTATCATCCCTTTCACCATGTCTCCAACATCAGTCCGCGAGGGCGGTCCAACCCTCAAGGGCCCGCTCGACTTCACAGACAGTCCCCTCAGCAAGGCCTCACGGCAACCTCTCCTCCTCGGCCTCTTCCTCAGCCTCCAAGACATCAACCTCTCCACCCACCCCACGACAAACAGCTGGACCTTTGACTACAACGTCGCCCTCGTCCGCCGCGCCGAACAGCTCGGCTTCGAACTCGCCTTCAGCCGCACCCAGTGGCTCCCCAAAGGTGGCTACGACGGCGAAGCCTCCCTCGACGCCTTCGTCGCCCTCGGCGCCATGGCCGCCGTCACGGAATCCATCCTCCTCATCTCCACCATGCACGTTCTCTACGGGCCCCTCCACCCGCTGCACATTGCCAAGTACGGCGCCACCCTCGACCACATCGCCAAGGGCCGGTGGGGCATCAACGTGGTGACGGGCCACCGGGCCGTGGAGCACGAAATGTTTGGCCGGCAGCGCATCGAGCACGACGAGCGGTACCGCAAGGCCGGCGAGCTCTTTGACGTGGTCAACAGCCTCTGGGGCGAGACGGAAAACATTTCCTACGAGGGCCGCGTGTCGCCATGGCGCCTCGAGAACGCGTGGATCACGCCCAAGCCGCAGTACGGCCGTCCCATCCTCGTCAACGCGACCGGCTCCCCCGCGGGCATCGAGTTCGCCGCGCGCTACTCTGACCTCATCTTCATCACCTCGCCGGGCACGGCGCACATTGACAGCGCGCTGGAGACCCTGCCGGCGCACATCGCCACCATCAGAGCCGCCGTCGAGGCCCAGGGCCGCCGCGGCGTCAAAATCATCATCAACCCCATCATCGTCTCCCGGGACACGCCCGAGGAGGCCTGGGCGTATGCCGAGAGCATCGCCGAGGGGACCAAGATCCAGGCGGGCACCAAGAAGTTTGGGACGGCGAATGGGTCCTATGACAGTGATGCTCACGCCTGGCGCGGGAGAAAGGATGCCAAGGACAACAAGGGGCTGAATCTCGGGGGCAATATCGAGATTATCGGTTCGCCGGAGCAGGTGGTTGAGCAGCTGGATGCGCTGCACAAGGTGGGCATCGATGGTGTTCAAGTCAACTTTTACGATTTTGCACCGGACCTGGAGTACTTTGGCCAAAAGATTTTACCGTTATTGAAGGAAGCTGGTCTACGAGTAGACTAAGCATCTGCGAATACCAATGCATGTTGTCCCGGACTCGGCTTCATCGTTTGACGCCTGTGATGGGTTTTTCACATTTGGTAGAACCTGTCTCATAAATGTAAACTCCATCATGGCCGTCAAGGGGAAAGAAAGAAAAGTGAGACCATCCAAACGCCGTACGGTATGATTTTGCAAAATCTACAACGCGAAAAAGGGAGTAAGCCAGTCAAGAACTCGTCGACTTCCGACACTTTGGCGGCGGACTGAGCGGCGTCGGGCACTCCAAATCTACGGCCTCCTCATTCACGCCGAAATAGTACACATCATCATCCGAATCCCTTTCCGTCAACGCTATGCTCATGTGCCTTCGGATGCTCAAATCCCTGCGCAGCGACACACCGAGACTGCTATCGCTCCGCAGGCTGCTCCTCACGCTGGCCCGTCGCGGGGTGCCACGCTCACGCTCACCCCCTTCGACGCGCCCGCTCTCAACGACAATGACGCCGTGCTCGCTCTCCCTGCGGACCCCGTTCACTTCCACCACCGGCATCGCCACCGCCGCCGTCGCCGTAATCATGGGCGTCGCGGGGGGCACCGGCTCAATCTCGTCGAGGGCGTTTATACTCGAATGGTCGCTCTGTTTCCGCGTCCGTAGCCAGGAAAAGCTCGGGCCGGGCTTCCTCATGCCCGTTTCTGAGGCGCAGCTTATAGATGACGATATCCTCTCGTCGTTGCCGGTCCCAATGTCTGGTCGAACGCGTTGTGGCCCGTCGCTGAAACTCATGTCTTGTCGAAAAATGCCCCCGCCAAACATACCGCCACCGTCATAGTCATCGGAATGCTGTTGTCGCTCCACGAGCGGTCGAAGAGTGGGAATACAGCAGCAAATGACCGCGCATGACAGCTCTACGACGGACCAGAGGATGATGGATATCCCGTCGTACGTCATGTCAACCATTGCAAAGAATCGTGGGAGACAGGCGATCCGAATGACGGATACAGCACATGTTCTGTCGAGCCCGATCCAGGTCAGCACACGTATCTCTCTCTCTGCGGAGGGCAAGAGGGTGGGGGGATTGTTCAAAACTTACAACAACCCTAGAGCAAAACTGATGGCGAGGGCAAGCTTCTGTCCGCGTCCGAGTCGAAGCCGACCGAGCAGCGGCAACGGCAAAACAAAGATGAAGATGTTTGTGAGCAAGTGTATCGCCGCGTTGGCGATCCACCACCCCAACACGCTGACGGGAGAATCCGCCACGGTGCCCTTGAATATCAGGCTATACGTGACGCCCGCCGAGATGAGCAGCGATACGCCGAATAAGACGAGAAATCCGATGCCGGCGTTGCACAGCGTTTCGACCACGGGCAGGGAGAAGCTTCGGCGGTATTGGAGGAGGAAGGCGATCTTGATGGTGACGAAGGCGATGTTATAGATCATGGTGATGAACATGGCCAGCTATTTTTTTTTTGAATTCTCGGTTAGATTTCCGAGAGGAGACTAGAATCTCACATTGGAGCGGGTTACCTTTTGAGCTTTGATGATTGTCTGCACCTGCGTCATCCACACGTGCTTCCCGAGCCCGAATCTGGTGCCTACATCACTCCCGCCCACGTCAGCCCTCGAACTCCCTCTCGATCATATCGCCCTCCTCGCCTGAAGACTCCCATTCTCCATGACTGCAACGAAATCAAAAGAGCCCCAGCTCATACGAAAAAACTTACCCATACACAACATAATCCCGTGGAAAGCCACAGTGACAAACGAGAGCGTAAGCATCGTGTCGTCTGCGCCCCATTTCTTAACGAGACGTGCCCTCACGTAGATCCGGAGCCCCACGAACACAGTCATGACGACTAGCACCGCAATGATGACGCCGAGCATCATGTTCGCGAGGCTCTCGTGTGAGAGGGCTTGCATCTGCGACGTCGGGTCGTCCCCAGCGGTCTCGTTGACAGACACGTTCATGTCTTCTTCCTTTTCTAGACCGGGCCAGATCAAGATTTGAGGTGGGATTCGATGGCCTGTTCTTCTTATTCCGAGACGCGCATCAGGTGTCTGGGTTCCGTCTTTCGGGTGACGGGCGTCCCAGTCGTATCAGTCGGGTGTCTCTCAGTAAGTGTATATGTCGGGCGTCGAGCCTCCCCTCAAACTGTTGTGCAAGATGCCTCGAGTACTTGAGATTTTGAGGCCTGGTATTGCCTTTTCGGACAAAGGTACGATATGATGAAATACCATAAGGTGCGCAAGAGGAAAACGAGATGGATGAATTAGGACAAGGGGAAAAGGAAGAGAGGGAAAGAACCAAGTGAATAGGCCCAGGAAGGGAATCCGGGTTCAAAGAAGGGGAGGCTTACCACATATACGGGGAAAAAGCGCCACGCTTCTGCGTAGCTTAGACTTTGGCGCTTACGAGCCTTTTCACCCCATCACCGGCACGCGTTCGGTAAAAGATGTCTCAGAGGCCGCGTCCCCGGCTGCGCGATGGCCGCTCCGGATCCGGCGAACTGATCTCCACTGGGGCGCGCCCCGCGTTGGATCTGGATCGGGGGCAAGAAAAAAGCCCATGAACTGATGAGGTCCCCTTTCGTGCCCTTGCCCACCCCGGCCCTTCTCAAATCCTCAAATTGCCTCTTCTTTCAAATTTCTTGGGCATGCAAGAGCGTGGTAGATTTCGCCTCTTCCTGAAAGAGGAGCGTGCTCATGGCCGCATCCGAACACCCGAATTTGGATTGGGGGCCGGTGGGCTTTTGCATTGCAGCGAAACGTCCTGGACTTCTTTCATCGATTTAAGATGCCGCGTTCCCCAGCGGTATGTCTCATCCCTTTTCCCTTCATCTCTTCTGGGGGATGTTCTCTACCACGACGACTATCAAGCGTCCTGTGAAGTGGCCAACGAAAAAAGCTCTAGATATGAGCCCGGGCAGTCGGGCTCAATGTGCGATGGACGCCCAAAAAGCTTCCATTGTTTGCAAAAGTCATTGATAGTATCTTGAGGAAGCTACCATGAAAGTCGCACAGGGTGCCTGTCCGTGGATTTGCAGACGTAGTGAGGCGTGACGGTCTCCAACACATGTGGGGAGAGAGAGAAAGGACTAATGGGAGTGATTAATAGGATCCCGGATCCCGGAAATCTGGTCCAATGTCAGCATTCGGGATCGGCAGATCGATCTGTCAAATCAAGCCTCGCCGTGGCACCTCGGATATGATGTAAAGATCTCGGTTACACCAGCTCACAGCACTGATTCTCGTGGCGTTCGTGGCGCTCCCCGCCATTGGTGTCAAAATCTCCTCGGACTAAGCCGGCGCGGGGAATGGACGCAGCTTTCCGGGAAGTGGGCGGCGGGCTTGCTTGAGAAGAAGGCGCCTGGTATAACGTAAACACGGGGATGCTTCTTAGATGGGTAGTAAGAGAACGGCCATGATACATGCAACCGGGCCCGACTTATCTTCTTCCGCCGGCCCCGGACTCCGGAGCGTCTACAAGCTCGGCACGTACTTGTGCACACACTAGACTCTGCCGAGTGTAACGTTTGGCCTCGCAATGCTTGGATTGGTCCACTTCCTATTTGAATACAACAGTTTCAAAGAAACTTGCACCGATAGCAAACGAAGAAGACGCTAGTCCTGACTCGAAGAATAGATGAATCAGCCACAACCTTGCTATCTAACATCTGGCCAAAGGTCCAGAACGACCCAATAGTGAAATGATGGTTCTCGCAGGCCGGACATCTACCCCTTGTTTCGATCCAAGGTAACATATAAGTGAAAGTCGTGCGCATTAAATATGGGTTTGAGTTGGTTTCCGCTTGTCTGACGTTCCGCCTCAGACCCTGGTCGATCAAAGGTCCGAGGAATCCCACACACACCCACTTCGCGGAGAGGCGGCCCGCGCCGGGTTGACCCGTTTTGCAATACTGCTATTCGATAGTGCCCAGACTTTTCAACATCGTGGACGAGTCCTACCATCAAGCTGGAAGGGGTGTTCGTTTCTAGGGCTTTCGAATCCGTAGAGTGAAGATTGCTTCGTCGCCCGAGATATTCAAAGTAGTTCACTCGGTACTGTTGAAAAGCCCTTCGTTTTGAAATGTTTTCCATTCAATTTCGATATCTCCTTATTGTAGAGTTGTTTCTGTTCTTGTCCCGATGCCACGAGAGAAAATGCCACGCTCAAAACGACACCTGTCCCTTTTTTTGTATCATCCAGGAACCAGGTAATTACAGTGAAAGTGAAATCCGGAACCGTTCCTATGCCGCAAAAAGCCACCTGTCGGGGCCATGTATGAAAGAATCTTTTGTTTTTCCGTGCCGTAAATGCTCCTTGACGCAAATCGCTAAACCGCTCCCATCCAAACCCTTTCCGATGCAACTGAGAGTAAGGGAAGAGAGATGAAGAAAAGACTAGACGCAAAAGCAAAAGTGCACCGACGCAGCCCGATTTAGACGTTGTGGTCGCCGTTAATAGTGGTGGTGCCTTCGCTGCTGGGTTTCTTTTCCGCCGTATGGCCAGCCCTCGATGCGACCTTTTCGAGAATAACCTTCTTACGGAATTCAAAGACGGTGTTGTGCTTGGACTTGATGGCCTCGCGGACGCGGTTCTCGGACCGGCCCATCCAGATGTGGTAAGGAGCCATGCTGGCGGGGAACAAGGGCAGATTGTGGGAAGACTCCATGAAACGGTACGGGTCGCTCTTCTCGAATGAGGCAATGATGTCGAGCTCCGAAGCAACTTGTTCGCAGTAGACCTCGAGAGGCAAGTCGTTGACGTCCTCGCCAAAGGGGTTCTCAATTTCGCGGCCGATGAAGAGGATACCGAGAATGATGTAAGACGCGGCGACGGCAGCAGGAATTGTGATCCAGCCGAGCTTGTCAATCAGCTGGAAGGGGAGGAGCATGACGTAAACCCAGGTAATTTGGCTAATAGCAATGGCGTATGCGATGGGAAGAGGGGTGGTCAGAACACGCTCGGTTCCAGTCATGATGTCGTTGAGGAGGGCGACATTGTTGTAGGCAAGGGTCTGTTGCATGGGGACCTTGAGCTGGCCGTCCTCGACCATTTTGTCGACGAGGCAAGAGATATGGCTGAGAATCTCGAGAGGCAGATTTCCGAGGGGGCGGGAGGCCTTCTTGATGGTCTTGCGAGGGTTGCTGGCGGCAAATGAGACACCAAGGTATTCACCAGTCTCCTTGAAGAAGTTCTTCTTCTTCAAGATCATCTTGTCGGGTTCGGCAGCAGTAGCTTCTTGCGCAAAGGTCGTCAGGTGAGAGACAAGGTGCTCAAGGTCCTCGTACTGGGTGTAGGGCTCGAAGCGGAGCTTGTGCTTGAGGGAGACGGTAAAGGCCAGGAGCAGGTTCATGCAGCCGACCTTGCGGAGTAGCGATTGTCTGGGGTCGATGGCGACATTGTCCGTACCGTGAATCCAGAAGACACGGCCAAGACTCTGAGTCGCGAGAATGAGCTGGGCCCAGTAGCGACGACCCTCGGCGTAACGTTCATAGGCGGTAGAATTACGGAAGGAAAGACACAAACCGACGACGAAACCCAGAACGGTCAGCAGGACAGAGTCAACACCCATCGTGGTGCGGTACTTGTCGATGACGGTGATAGCGGCAGACCACAGAGACATCCAGATCAGGGGAACAATCATCTTGGGCAAGATGCTGCCGTGCATTTGCATGAAGAGAGGCCATTTGGAGTGCTTGAGGATGTCGCGAGGGCCGGTGAAGTAGTCGTCAATGTCGATGCTAGTGTTCTTTCTGCTAAACGGGTTGGGGGTCATGGGACCAGTGGGAGACATTGTGTCGCGCACCTCATCCGTGTTGAAGTCGGTCATGCGCGGCCTGATGGTGAAGTCCTGGTGGTGCTGATTGTCGCTGGCGGGATTATGGTTGCTGCCGCCCGTGGGTGCGTGGCCACCTTCTTCGGCCATGATGTGAGGCGTGACTCCGGAGTCGTAGGTTGGGATGTTTATTGTTGGAACTTCGTAGGCCGAGGTGTTGAGGTGTGGCATATCCGGGAGTGGGAGGGAAGAAGGGGGGCGGAAGGGGAGGAGGGCCTATTTGTTGATGGTCCCCAGTTCTAACGTGTCGATCAAAGACGGACCCTGTCCATCAATCGGTAACGATAGCAGCGGGCGGGAGTGAGGGAGGAGCTGTCAAAAAGAGCGTAGTCCGTTAGGAGGTTTTGGCGCGAGAGTGTTTGGTATATGAAGCGTAGCGCTAGAAGGGGTACGAGAGGTCGGAAGAATGGCGAAGAAAGGAGGGGGGACCTTGTGTGAGGTTGGGATAGTGGACGGGAGTTAAGCTCGAAAGGTGCGCTGATGGAGTGGTCGTCGACCAGGGCCAGGAGGTGAGATGGTGTGGCAGGCACGGGTAGCGTACGGTAGGAAGTTGGTGATCAGGGGTAAATTTGTGAAAGCGAGTGTCAGACGAAAAGGAAAAGAACAAGAAGAAGAAGAAGAAGAAGTAGCAGGAGAGACAGGAGGGGGTTGCTAGAGGAATCGTAGCAAAGAGGAATAGATAGACATGAAGAAGGAGGAGGAAATGTAGGAGGAAGAGATGTGAAATAGAGGATGTTTTGTTTGGTACGAGGCGAACAGCAGCCAAGTGAAGAGAAATGTCACCGTCGCGTCTGTGGCCACGGATATTTTGGATTTCTATTTTTTTTTTTTTTTCGCCGTCTCTTTTTCCGTCTGCTCCCACTCATTACCTACTTCTTGGTCCAATGGTTCCTTCCTGTGAGAGTGAGAGAGTATTTGCTCCTGCAGGCCACAGATGCACCCCTTGGCGCCTTTCCTCTTCAGTCCAGACCTTCCCGCTGCCGGATCGTCAAACGGCCAGTGCCTGCCTCGGCTGAGCCAATGGAAGACGCATGTTTCCTCCTGTTCCTGCTCCAGTCATCCCCTAAAAAAAAAAAAAATGTCAAGCGAAGGGAAGGAGCGAGAGACAAGGGTGTGGGGCACTGGGAGCGGCCAGCCCCGGGGAAGTAACCCACTCTTTCTGGTCCAGGTGGGAAGCCAGTGAGAAGAACCGTTGGAAGGAGCCGGGGGGGCGGAGCTGAAACAGGGGCGATGCGGCTCCACTTCACGCTCACAGTGTTAGTGTAACTGTCACTGTAACTGTTGGATCAGACTGGCTGGTCCTTCCTCTTCTCTTTGCAGTGGCATTTGCAGCAGTGACGAGTCTCGCTCTCACATTCTTGAGTCTTGAGGTTTGAGTTTTGAGTCTTGACTGCTACATCAACTCCCAAACGGTCCCAAACGGTCCCAAACGGGATCCTCGTACTCTTTGGCAATCACTACGCAGTTATATCCTGCACCCTGACAATACTGCTCCGGATCTCCGGGCATGCAGTTGAGCAGACTCGAGCTTACCTCACAGTACACTATCCATAGTTGCATCGCAGTTCCTCCACTCTTTCCATCTACCCACTGGGCTGAGCCTGGTCTTTGGACCATCCCGACCGCCATCGACACGTGGAGGCGCCCAAGTTGATCGCTTGATTTCCTTGTTTCTGGCACTTCGCTCATTCGTACAACTCCTTCCGGATGCACGTCCACGGGGGCGAGGGACGCAGAAAATAGCAGCTCTGCCGATGATTGGACGACACCGCACCAGAGAGGGTTCTCCCATGGCCAAGACCATTGACAGCAATTCTTTCCCACTCCACCTTTTCCTCGGCCGGTGATCGAGATTGATTCGCTGTCGACTCATTCCTCGGCCAAGACTCCAAGACGCTGCAATGCAAGGCACAGAGTTGCTCGCCAGCGTCGGGTTACTCTGTACTCCGACGCCTGCAACTCTTGTATACCGGTAGTAAGTCCGTTGCTCCCCTCTCACTCACTCTTTTCCTACGTAAACGTGTGAATACCTACCTAGGTACTTTAGTCACGACTCATTCAACAGCGATGAGGTACGCATCGGCTAACCTCTGCTCCCCGGGCCTTGCTCACCGATGGCTCGTGCCCCTGAAGGACGTTACAGGCGACTGTAATCCCCCGAGGTCCCCGTCCGTCTGTGTGTGTCTTGGAGACCTCACTTTGAAAGTTGAAGCCCTGAGTGCCCGATGGCCAGGCCCGGTCTACGTGCAGGGCACCGGACGTGCATCCGTACAAATATTGCTTGTATCCGTATGGATATACGAACGATGGGATGCGAGACGAAGATCCTTCTGTTTCCAGGCCTCCCTCCCGTCTGGAGCCGCGCCACGGGTGCCCCGCAAACAGGCGCTGGGATATTCAGGCCTTGGCAGACGAGGCGAGACGAGGCGAGCCAGGCGCCATTTCTTGTTCATTTCGAAATTCGTGCCAATCTCGCCAGCACATTTCCAGCCATCATCACCGACATGACACTGGGTCTTGGCGGAGTCCCCTTAATAGTCTGAAGTTGGCACGCCTGGCATCCGATGTCTGACACTGAAGCTCAAGCCGCGCCCGCTGCTCGTGTGGCTGCCATCCCGCTGCACCGTCAGCAAGTCATTGACGACTTGCCGCGTAGGCATCTATCTGTTCTGGCGAATCCTCAATTGACAGCTCTTACTGTTGCGGCAGCCGGCAGTCTCAGCAGCTTGCGGCAACAACATCCCGGGATGTCTACTGTGCCGGGGCGCCTCGTAGGGGTTTAGTCGCGAGCGGCTGTGAGCGGCGTGGTGTCAACCGGCCGGCAGTTTTTGCGGCTTGCCTTGACAATGCGCTCAGACGCGCACCCGGCAACATTTATTTTAGGGGACGCGGGTTTCGTTCGGACGGCATGGATCTGCCTGCCGCCGTCTAACCCACATGCCGCCGCCGTCCAATGTTTCCGTGGACCGAATTTTTTCATTTGGCAGAGGTTCATCATCACGGTCCACTCTTGTCCATCACGTCTCCCCTTCACTTCTCGTCATGAAGTTGTATTGCTTGTTTATACTTGATTCATGGTGGTGCCAAGAACCCATCTCCACCCCCTGCATTTCACACTTCACTCACGCACCAATTTCGCAGCGACACCAGTAATTACAGCCACTCGAGCATCCGTAATATACCGTCTATGCAACCCATCCCTCTCTGTGCGTAATGAAGCAGAATAATAGACGAAAACCTACGTACATGCTCAGGATGACTCGCCATCTTGACCTCGGCCAATGACCCAGAAATTGCAGAATGAAATTGTCCGTTTCTCCATTCTTTTTTCCTCGTTACAAGTTGCGAGTCCCCTCTTTGCGGTGGCGAAGCTTCCTTGGCAAAGTGGAGAAGCGAAATGGCTGTACTTTTGTACCCTTAGAGGGGAAAAAAAGACGGAGGGAAATGTGAGAAAACGGGGGGAAAGCTCACGGCAGAAGAAACGGCTCCATCCGATTCCATTTTGGGAGAATCTATTCGCAGGTAGCTCCCGTTGAGTGGAGACTTCCCCGGCCACATTTCCATTTGCGGTGGGTTCTTCTCCGTATCGTTGGCCTTGCGGCCTCAATAGGAGAAAGCTTGACCGTCTCGCAGACGGGGGGCCTCCATAACGATAATCGAGCTCCGGTTTTGCGGTCGTCCCTGGACTGACGACAGTCGCCGGGTTCGCTTCTGTTGGGCGTATCCTCCCTTTGCCTCTCCAACACTCTTTTGACGGCGTCAAATGGTCTAATAATACTGCAGCAATGCAGGCACGCCTTAGTTGGGACGGCTGCACTAGGGCTGACATGAAATCTGCAGTCCAATAGGCAGCAAGATTCCTCCCGGAGCTAGGATAACTCGTTTAGCCGCAGCCTCAAGCCTCTGCATCATTGTCGGTCCCCCGTCCGAGCTTATTGGTGCCCGTTGCTAAACTAGACTTCGCGCAAAAGAGTTCGGTCCTCCTGTCCGCTTTGTCACAATGAGCCGATGCCGGGACGGCCTGCGCTCTTCTCGGGCTGCAAGCTTCGGCCTCAATTGTGGCACCTGTTCTGCCATTGTTCGACCTCATCCAAGATACGGCCGGGCGGCGGCGGTCCGATGCTACGAGCGCGCGGCGCAAAGCTACCGAGTGGACGGACATAGAGCATGTTCACGGAAAGTGGGGGATTAGGTACTCGGCACGAATACATACAACCTCTTTTTTATTTCCGTCTTGACGTTGGCTGTCGTCGGCATACAAATAGATCAGCCATCTTCGTCATCTTTTTATTTTTCACAACACCACCGTCATCGCCGGCTGCTTGTCGGATGACAAAGCACATACGGTTTAGGTGTGTCGAGGCATTTTCGGGTGGCGTTCCGATGCTCAGCCAGGCTCCCTCCGGCTTCTATTGCGCCACGGCCGACGGCGGGCCCACCCGACGCCCCCCGCGCCGCCCGAACCTAAATTGCCGGAAAGCACGACCGAGGGACACTCTTATGCTACTTTAGGTCAACAATTGACAATGGGGGGCCGGCTATAGAGTAGACGACTGCGAACTTGGAACCCAGCAGAGTTGCGATCCTTGGAGTTCAAATGCTTCCAGGAAGAGGTGTCAAAATCGGCGCAGCTGCTACGGCTGCCACTGCGGGAGCGGAAGGGCCGGCATCGATTCAGCCACGATCAACAAGCAGGTTTCACGCCGACCCAGTGAAATTCTTGGCAACGCAACTCTCGCCGCTGCGCGGTTCCATGATTCCCGCTTAGTAACAGCAGTCTTTGGGTCGTTAATAGTACAGCCTGATTATCCGTAGCGTCAACGAGAAATATTGTCTGGATTTTGTCAGTGAGGTAGAGATGCAAAGATCCTTACGGATCTCTGAAATGTCAATCCCGTTTGTGTACCGTGACCTTCAATTTTGGCGAGTACTTTTTCAGTTGCGTGTCAATACCACCAGTCAATATTACCTTGCTACCCAACTCGAGCACACTCCCAAGTATCCTTGAGAAGTAGCAATGTTGCAACTCTTATAGTGCGGTTGAAATGTGGACAAAGAACTGGATCACTATGCGGGAGCAACGGAAAGACTCGAGAAGAGTTGTGTCTCAAAAAGAAAGTGTTCGATTTTGTAACGAGTGTATGTAGTGAGCTATCCATTACGCGGGTCCAAAGTATATAGTACATGATTATGGCTCCCAAATCCGCCCAATCATGGTAAAAGTACAAGATTTCCTAAACCAAGATTTCAAAAGAAGGGGAAGAAATCAGCCCAATGTGTCTAGGGGTCAAACAAAACATGCGACCGGCGGCCCCGGATACAAGCAAACGCCACGCCAGATTAGCAGTCGGCGCTGTCATAGGGAGCCAGCGTAATGGCCTGGTTGTTGTTGGTAAACTGGCGGCCCTCGGTCGCGATGCGGAGGACCGAGTCGGCCGAGTTGCGGTTGTAAAAGAAGCGCGAGTACGAGTTCTGGTTGACGCCGTCGTCGCCGGAGGCGGTGCAGTTGAGGGGCACGCCGACGAGGAGGGACTGGCCGTTTGTGGCGCAGACGAGGGGCGCGAGCTTGCGGACGAGGGTCTGGCGGTAGGTGAAGCCGTTGACGGGACGGTTGTCGTCTGCGTAGGGGGCGGGGACGGCGACGAGCTCGCCGTTCGTCTGGAAGAGTTGGCCGGTGGAGAGGTTGAGGTCAAAGAGGGTCGCTTGGGTGCCGGCTGGCTTGATGGTGAAGCGGTTGGAGCCGAGGGTGACGACGGAGCCGGGGACGGGGCCGGTGGCGACCTTGAGGCAGAGGTTGCGGACGATGACGTCTGTTGAGGTGGGTGTTGCTGAGGAGGAGGTTGAGGAGGAGGTTGTTGTTGTGAGGGTGCTTGTGACGAAGGTGCTGCTGCTGCTGGCGGCGGCGGAGGAGGACGAGGAGGAAGAGGCAGTGCTGGAGATGTCCGATGTGGAGGTGCCCGACGAGGATGTCTCGGAGGCGGAGGTTGAGGAGGAGCTCACGTCGGCGGTGGTGGTTGAGACGAGGGTAGAGGTGGAGCTGATGATGCTAATGGTGATGGTCGGGTTGTCGGTGAGGGTGGTGCTGTTGGGGAAGAAGGTAGGGCCGACGGAGGAGGTGATGGAGGTGAGGGTCGAGGACTCGACGGCGGTCGAATTCGGGAAGAGGCTCGACGTGGGGAACAGGGTCGAGGTCTCGGTGCCCGAGGTGATGACGGTCAGGGTGGCGTTGGGGGCCAAGGTGGAGGTGGAGACGGCCGACGTCTCGGTGGAGGAGATGTTCGGGAAGAAGGAGGATGTGGATGTAAGTGTCGTGGAAGGTTCCGAGATGGTCAGCGTCGTGGTGTTGGGGAAGAGCGTCGAGGAAGAAACGGCTGACGACTCGGTGGATGTGGTATTAGGGAAGAGGGTCGAGGAGGAGACGGCTGAAGACTCAGTAGAGGTGACGTTGGGGAAGAAAGTCGAAGTGGATGTGAGAGTCGTAGAGGGTTCCGAGATGGTCAACGTCGTGGTGTTGGGGAAGAGAGTCGAGGACGAAACGGCTGACGACTCGGTGGATGTGGTATTAGGGAAGAAAGTCGAGATGGACGTGAGAGTCGTGGAGGGTTCCAAGATGGTCAACGTCGTGGAGTTGGGGAAGAGAGTCGAGGACGGGAAGGCAGACGACTCGGTGGAGGTAACGTTGGGGAAGGGAGTAGACGAAGGGAAGGCGGAAGACGACTCGGTAGAAGTCACATTAGGGAAGAAGCTAGAGATAAAGGTGGAAGAGGAAGAAGACTCGGGGATGGTCGCCGAGGTGGTGTTGGGGAACAGAGTCGAAGACGGGAACGCAGAGGACTCGGTCGACGTCACGTTGGGGAAGAGAGTGGACGAAGGGAACGCAGAGGACCCGCTGCTGGAGGCGATGGTCGTGCTGTTGGGGAAGAAAGTAGGCGAGACGGAGGCGGTCTCGGAGGTGGAGTTCGGGAAGAGGGTGGTCGAGGGGAAGACGGTCGAGGTCTCGCTGCTGGACGTGATGGTGACGTTGGGGAAGCCGCTGCTGGTCGGGAAGACGCTGCTCGACTCGCTCTCCACGGACGAGGTGGTCGTGTTGGGGAAGACGGTGGTGGAGGCGAAGCTCGACGTGATGGTGGTCGACTCGGAGGTGATTGTGGTGTTGGGGAAGAAGGTCGACGTGATGGAGGACTCACTAGGGATCGAGGTGGATCCGGAGGAAGTGGTGTTGGGAAAAATAGTAGAAGTGAAGGTGGAAGAGGTTTCCGAAATAGTAGAGATTATGGTAGAGTTGGGGAAGAAAGTCGAAGAGGGAGCGGACGAGCTGGCCTCGGTGCTGGTGCTGTCAAAGATGGTAGAGCCGGTAGAGGAGGACTCGGCTTCGGATGTGGTGGACGAGGGTCCAATGGTAATAGTAGTGTTGAAAATAGGGGGCAGCGAGGTGGTGCGGGTAACGAAGGTGGTGAAGGTAGCGTTGTTAAAGAAAGTACCAGTCACAGAGGTGGTCTCCTCGATCACTTCCGTGGAGGTGCTGCCGACGGAGGTCGTGGCGGTCACCGATGCGAGGGCCGTGGACGTGGCAACGACGGTCTCGACGGCGGTGGAGGTCGTCGTGGTCGTGGACAGCGCAGTGGATCCCGGGGTGCCACTGCCGGAGACGGTGATGGTCACGATGGAGGTGGACAGGATCGTGGCCGGGACCGAGACGGTTGTTGTGGCAGTGGCCACGGCGGAGGTCACCGTGTTTGGCGTGACGCCGAGGCACGAGCAGGCCGAGGCGTAGCGGGCGACGGAGCTGCAGGCCGAAGCATAGGCCGGGAAGGTGCTTCCGGAGATTGCGGTCGTAGCGGCCTGGCGTTTCTTGAGAGCGAGGGTCTCGAAGATGGTCTGGGTCTCGGTGGCGACGGTGGTGATCTCGGTGGTGCCAAAGGTGAAGGTCCGGGTGGAGGAGACGACTACGGTGGTGGGGACGACGACGACCTCGGTCGCGACGGTTGTGGTCTGCGTGATTCCGACGAGGGAAGTGGCGGTGGACGAGGCCAACTCGGTCTCGACGATGAGGCTGGTCTCGATGGGACCGGCACCGCCGCCAGAGGTGAGGGTCACCGTGGAGGTGAAGACTCCACTGGTCGGGATGGTTACTGTCTCGGTGGTCGTCCTGCGAGGGTGTTAGTCCATCTGAAGGAAGGGCAGTAGAGGAGATGGGAGGCTCGTAATAGAGGCACTTACGTGGCACCGGGGTAGACGGTCACCTGCAGGAACCGAGAGCAGTCGGCTGTACCGCTTCGGGTGGTGAAGGCACTGGCCGCGATGGCTACACGTGGGGATGTAAGTCAGCCAATGTGGTCCTCCTGGCGTAGAAACTTCCCCGAGGCAGGGACGGATGATCACACTCACCTCTCAGGCAGTTGTCCCTGTTACATTGAGCAGCGCTCAACCCAAAGAGGGTGGCCAGCACGGCGGAGGTGGAAGGTTTCATGGCTGTACTGGGGGGGTTCAACTGGACCTCTTGAAGACTGGCGACCCTTGACCTTCGAAAAGAGCAAAGAGTGATTGTCTGGAGCTTGTCGATGGGAAGAGATGCTGGAGATGACTGCGCTGGTGTGGAGATGAAAGAAACCCTAGAGAAACGGGCCTGGAAACCTCAAAGTCTTATACACCCGGAGGCATCTCCAGAAAAGGCACCGACTACGAGAAACAACCAAAGAGAACTCGGGATAGGAAAAAGCACCGGCCTCGGCGACTTCCCTTCCAGCACCAAGGGATGGTGGGGGTGAGAGAGCCAACAGTCGGCCACCAATATCGCGTCTTTTCTGGGTCTTAGACTCCTTCTTCCCTTGGTTCATCTCGCGATTGCCTCAGTAATAGTGCTGCCATGCGGCTTCTCCATCATAGACTCGCGCAGCCGCAGGCCAACGCCGTCGTTGCTTTCTTTGGCCCATCGAGACATAAGCAATCTGAGAAGTATCCGCATCCCTGTCTGGCCATGTCCGTTGGAGACGAGACCAACCTTGCGGACACTAGCGAATATGGCTTGACTAGTACCAGCGTCGTGCCAAGTGCTTGCTCGCGGGCGGGTGATGAGATCGCCGCTACGCCTTCGCAGAAACCCGTCTCCTCAGCCTTGGAACAGCTCTGGGGGCTATGGGCCTGGTAGGGCTTCATGCCTCATGGCTCGTACACATGCCAAAAAAGTAGCTAAGCTTGCTTGATGAGAGGATGTTCCCTAGGATCCGTGGATCCCTGCGGCCCTGCTGGAAACCTCACTAGCCACTTGGCTCTGGTGGGTGGTGTGCTTCAGATTGACTGCGCTGCAAGGAACCCGTTCGGCTTGCTGCAAGGGCCAAATGATTTGTCTGTCCGAGATGCAGACATCGAACCATGGCACACAATTGGTGGGCGCTTGGCAAGGGAAGCTCAAGAACCGCGCAAGAAAGGGAGAGACCGTGAAAGAGGCCCCCTCCTCTCGTGGCTCCCCAGCCGCGGGGAGACACGCACACGTTAGAGAGAAGCAGGTTTTGTGGGATTGGCCCATGGAGGGGCGGAACTTGGGCTCAGGAAGCCGAAGAAAAAGAAAGTCTCCTCAATCTAGAAGACCTGCGCTGCTGCAGGTCCCAATGGAATTTGCGGAAAAGAAAGCGTTCTTTCGCGCGAGAGAGTGGGCAGTCCTAGTAGACTAAAAGTCCGCTTCCTGCATGTCCGAGTCACATTTTGATGAAGTCTTCAGAAAAACCCTGCATCAAGATGCAAACGAGAAACAAGCGCGCCACGGCTCTGAATCTGGATGTTCGTCCCATCTTTGGTTGAGCTGAGGTGAAGTTGTCAGAATCGTGAGACCGCATGGGAAAAATTGGCTCGGCTTTTGTCGTCTCCCTGCAAGATATGTGTCGCAGAGCCTCAAAAGCGGGCTCTTTCGTGCCGGACGAACCCAGGATCATGGTAGATGACGTGCCAGTCGGTGCGCCGCCCAATCCTTCCCTTGTATTTCGACGACTGAGACGGACTCCAGATTACCGGGAGTGTGGGCTGTGGAGATGGGAATGTTCTGCCCCCCCGATTTCTCATACCGTTCGTCGTCCGCTTGCAACTTTTCCTTAATGCCAAGGTCGTTTCGAATTCTCTACGTCAAAAGCTGAGGTTGTTAAGATTCTCGGTGTGGATGATGGCTTCGAACTCGAGCAAAACACGCCGTCAAAGCACCCGCTGCCCCCGCCCGGCCGAACTTTACTTGTGTCTGGATCCATCACTACCGTTCAGCTCGTGGAGGCCTTGTCTCGCTCAAGCTCACCAGAAAATAACACGAGGGATGACTCCATGTCATCATCGCCGTGGCTCCGCGCGAGACATGTATGGGTATCGCGCACAGGCTAGACCGTGAACGTGCCAGTAGTCTCACCCGCGTCCCGCCGCCGGTAGGCAAGACCCGCTGCCCGCCAGGTGCGCGCCCATATCCACATCAGCTTGCGATGGACTCCCATAAGTGCGAAAGCTTGTGTGAGATGCCAGAGTCAAAGTGACAAGTCGGCTGTTTGGTGCCATGCTTGGCGGATCAATATCGCCACGCGCGCCGAGACAGGCCCACGATACGAAGGGCTAAGAACATGGCATCGAATTTGCGATGAACTAGGCCCATGTAGATCTTGAGTCTATTCGGCGGGTACGTCAAAGCATCTCCCATTGTCCTCTTTAGGCAATTTCCCGATGCCCTGGCTAGCTGATGTGGAAAAAAGCTGAAAGCTCAACGACTCACAATTGCTGGGTCAATTATTGCCAGAAAGCGAAAGCTTCCAGTCACCGTACCGGGAAAAAGCGAGCTTATCGACATGAATGCCGTCCCTTGGAAAAATCCAGTTGCCTCTGGAGGCTGGTCGGGAGCTCGTGTATCGAGGGGACATCTGACCGATCTGCAATATTCCCATTTATCTCAACGGTCTTGGATCTGTAACGGCACCATATAGTTAGTGAGCAGTTGAAAAACACCTATAGGATCCAGTCGCCCTATGTACGACGGTGCGAGGTAGTTTTCCAAGGGAGACGATGTCTCTGGTGACGCGATCCAACTGCCGCATTCCACGGGACCTCTTGCCGCAACCACACTAACTCGCGAGGTTTTCAAGATTCCTCCTCCGGATAGCCCTGTTCGCAGTTCTAACCGCCAACATCGAGATGGAAAGTCGCCAATGACGACAAGTTTCGATGCATGGCGAAGCGGTGAAAGCATCAAAATTCCCCTTGCTTTCAAGGTTATATTCTTGTGGTGACTTCCCTGGCCCTAAAAGCCCGATTCACATCGGCCAGGCTAGTCATAGTGTCATCATTGACTCAACCCGGGCCCACAAAACAGAGGGATGATCTACTGCGACACTGAGTGGAATGTTGGAGTTTATCGATGCCAGCGGTTTAAGTCTCGGAGTATGGATGTGGTCTTCAAAGCAGAACATTGGTAACATGAAACTATCCACATTTACAGAAAAGGTGCATAGTCGTGACTCACTTACTTCATGTTGCCCATCGATCAATGTGCTTTTTCTTAAAAGTCATATGCTTAAGTCCAAGGTAGGACACCAATGTTACTGACATGTCCCTCAAATGAAGCACAAATGCTAGTCCACCGTGACCTCTCACACGCTTTGTTCCCCATCGAACAACGTTGATACCTTTCCTGCTTTGCTTTGGTCATTGGATACTGGATTATTAGCCTCCTTTTGTACAGGGAGTCCACCCATGACGGAACGATGAGTTCCATGCCTTGAGTAACATATTGGGAGTGGGAAAATGCTGCTGACAGTGGGTACTTCTCGCTGTTGTGTTATGTCCAGTCGATTTGTTGAAGCTTCAAGTTCCCTTAGACATGTGATTTGATGCCTTGAATATATAGATAGAGACCAAGGTGCTCTAGGTAACTGATGGTTTTTGTTGAATCATGATCAGGATGTCTTTTAACCTACTTTATTCTTTGCCTAAAACAGTTACTTCTCGGTGACGAGTCACCCGATTCTATGATGGTGCAAGAAGTCTGTGGAATGGCACCTTTCTGTGGCCGATTGTCATTCATCGTCACATAGTAATTCTCGCTTCTAGAGTTTCAGTCTAGCCGCCTCTGATTTCACGATAGCCGGCACCTCATCTTCAAGACTCTTCTCCTGTGGCTTCCATCCGAGAATCTTCTTAGCTCGCAAGGCGGCAGCTCTGGAGTTCAAGCCCCAGCTAGCTGCCTCGAATCCAGCAGATGACTTGACGGCCTCTTCGTACGACAGCTCCCGAACCTCAGGCTCTCCTCCCTTGATAAAGCCCTGCTCGAAGGCCGTTCTCCCAACCAGCACCGCCAAATCGCCCCAAGCATGCTCGCCATTCTCTGTGAGAAAGTACCCATTAGCTCCCCAGATCTCCTTGTCGTCTTTTCGAGATGGATCCAGCGCGGCCTCGACCAGCAACTCGAATACCACGCTGAGGTCGTGAATGTGAATGTTGTTCCACCGAGCAAGCCCCTTGCCGATGCGGGGACTATATCCTTCCTTCAGCACAAAAGTGGCTAGCTCGTAGACCTGCCTACCTCTGCCCGACACTGGGCCTCGCCCTTGGCCGTAGATTGTGGGCGGGCAGACGATGGCAGTTTTGACAGAATCGGCGTGCTTCTTGCCGGTCTCGAGAACGATCTCGTCCACGTTGCGGTGGAAGGCGGCGGCTGGCAAATTGACGAGCTCGTCGACACCACCGTAGTCGTTGAAGACCTTGTCGTCGTGCTCGCCAAACGTCTTCTTGACTTCCGATTCAAAGTAGGTCAGGATGCCGGTGCCGCCCGTGTGCAACCAGAATCCTGGACGGGACGGTGAGTGGCCTGCCACAAGACCCTTTGCGATGGCTTTGGCTGCACCTGCGTGGTCCGATGAGTCGGCGGTGTCTGGGTAAGGTGACTATGTGTTAGTGGAGCAGATACTGGAATGCGCCTAGGGAGCAGACGACGCAACTCACGGATTACGATATCAGCCCATGCTGCCTCGCGCTCCAGGGTCTGTGAATCATCGAGCCCTCCGATCACAACCCTGGCTTTCGGGAACTTTCCAAGCACCTTGTTCGCCCTCTCTCGAGTTCGAATGAGGAGGGCATACTCGAAGTCGGGGTGCTTCTGGTATAGCTGATGGAGGGCGTCGCCGCCAATGTAGCCGGTGGCTCCTGTGAGAAAGATCTTGGCAGGCATGATGGCAGCTGGTATCGTAAGAAGAAGAATTGGTCTGGAGAGTTGGCTTTCCTGAATCTCGAAAGACGCTGCGATTCTTAATATTGTTGGTGTGGTTGACGTGTGACTAACGAAGCTACTTTCATCAAGTTCTATGACGTCTGCGTACCTTGATTTCTACTCGTGAGTAAAGCGGTCCCCGGAAATTTATTTAGCCACCGAGGGGCACGGGAAGTGGTTTCCGCCCTCTTTTCATCCCCACTTGAGCTGTCGAGAAGCCATCAAATGGGCTTTTGTCTCTTCAAAAGGTAATTTTGAGTGTTTCGTGAGGCACCGCCCGTTGAATTAAGCTTATTTCTTTCTCATTGCACATGAATTAGTTCTAGTTTTGTCAAGAGAGCCGTGCGATCGAATTAAGGCTACCCATGGAGGTGGGGTTTCTATTGCATTTGCCCCTCACTTTACATTCCAGGTGGTCCCACATTCGCTAGACTCCAAGATGAAGCTGGTAATTACATGTAATCACGAGCCTGATGGAGCTCAAATTTCAAAGGACCTGTAAATGAGTTGGCCGCCGGTAGAATATCGTGCATGAACAGTGCGTTTCCTTGTAGCAGAGTACTAGCTGATGGGCTGATGGATGCCCCCAATATTGAATGGCATACGGTCTAAGCTTCTGCGTTTGTCTACGTACAGGAATCGCTCAGGGACGACACATCTGTCTGTTCAAAAGGAAGACATCCAGATGGGGTTGTAGGCTTTCGCACTCTCCTGACTGGCAGATCCCTGCACCGCAAAAGTCTGCGTATCTTCCACAGCGACCGTAGATGCTGCAGCAAGTTCCCTGCTTTCCAGCACACTTGCGATTCCCATTTGCGTATCCGCATGTGCCATCGGTCGTATATACTTTGTGACCCCAGCAAACGCCCTCCCAGCAGGTTCCAGGAGCGCAGTCTATGCTGAAAGATGGGAACATGGGTCAGTGTCGTGAACTTCTGGCGAAAAACATATATTATGCATAGATGGAATCGGGGCATATTTCACTTACTCTCTCTTTCCGCACCTCCAAGTTTCCGAATTGCAGCATTGCCCGTTTGTTCCGATGCAGGTAACCCCCGGGCGCGACGGGCCACAAATGCCATCCCACGCCCGCTTCGGTTCGACGACTAAAGTGTAGGCAGCGTCATCAGTTCCCGAAATAATTAGTGCTGCCAACAATCTGAATGTACCTACATCCAGCAGTGCAGTACTCGGCGCACGGAAGTATGTTTTTGCAGTCGCGGTCTAGAGACGGGTTGAGAAGGAAGAACTTTTCAAGTGTAATCGAGTAAAAGTCTGCGAGCTTCTGACAGGTCTCCGGGCCAACATTTTCACGCGTTCTACCGGTGTCGCGGCAGTTGATCTCTCCGGGTTGTGTGTCAGCACCTCTGATCCCATGAACTGTTGTGTGAGTTGGACATGCGCGCGATATCGTGGCAGCAGGACGGCCGGGGGTTGTAGGATCCGCCCAAGTGTGGGGCTTACACTTTCCAGTGGTAGCGATAACAGAGGGTATGGGAGTGACTGCAGTCACCAAGGTTGCAAAGAACAGGATGACAGTACATGTGCTTGTGAAAGCACTCTCGGCCTTGGGATATTTCATGGTTGTCGGTGTAAGGTGGGTTTGGTAAAAGGGAAACAAGATGACAACTCTGCTCCGAGAGATTTTTCATCACTCTCACACCGACCCTAGATACTTGAACCTTGCCATAAGACTAAAGGGCTTTTGGTGAAATAGCGCAGCTGTGCCGCACAGAGAGGGGTGAAAATTCTCAGTCGCCATGGCAACAGTAGGCAGCAATTCTACGCTCCAGTCAAATCATGCAATGTTAGAAGAAGGGCCTGAAAATTGATTGATGTCACCAAGAGGTTTAAATCTCTTTTCAACTACCTACGCCAAGACGAGGAGGACCCAATCCATTGGTAGCGAGCCAATAGGAAAGAGCTGTTGGCTTTCAGAGATCATGCAGAACAATTGAGCTTCAGTCCGCGAAATCCAGTCCGGGATTTGTCCGATGTTATACTGCTAGCTGGTGGACGAGACCGAAGAGGAAACCGATGAGCGGGAAGCGTTCAACTGACACGTGAACCACAATCCACTATGTCGGACCGTTCGAAGCATCCCGCCAACGTTCAGCGCTATGAAAGACAAGGAGAATGGCCGGGTCTATGTCTGGAACAGCACATGCACCTCCGGCTTCCTTCATCAGTTCTCGGCTTGAATAATTTCCTCAGCTTGAAGACCACAATCCGAGGGTGGTTTCTTTAGAAGGATTGTGAAGCTGACTTCAGGTATGTAAATCTCTATCAGAGTCCTGTTTATAAACTATACAGCTATTGCTTTCTAAAGCTAAGTTTGGTGCCTAGCTTGATTGCATATGTACATAGTCAATGTCCAAACTTCTAGTAGATTGAAAAGCCAGGGAAAGCTCCAGATGTAAGAAACTTGAGACACTGGAAACCGCCGGCTTGGGCAATTCACCAACGATATGGACGAGAGGACAATTTTCAATTGAGTAAGCTTGTGATTCTGGTGCCCAACTTAGTGTCCCCATCCAAATATAACTTTCTCGCTCTTCGCACGTTAGAACAAATCAGCGTGCAATTAACAGGGGTCTTGTTCACCGACTTCCTCTTATTTCACAAACACGAAGTGTTCGTTCAGAATTACTACTGCTTCAACTCTGACGCTGAAATAGGCACATCAGCGACCTCATGCTGAAATCTCGAAGATAGAAATTGTAATTGAATGATTCGTTGTTGCCGTATCTCTTCTCGTTCTTTCACTCATATCAACGTGTGCTGAGAATGGAGTTCACGGACTAAATCGCTCGTTTGATATCAGCGACTGAGATTCGCAGAGATATATTAGCATGGATCTTTTTGATCAATCAACCAGGCCTGCAGTAACTGAACCGATCCTCATGGTTGTACTTTAACTCCTTGATTGAGATACCTCAAGAAGGATTCAGTAAGATCACGGCACACTGGTGAGTGAGAGGCAACAGTCTCACTATTATTGGCACAAGCCCCAGCATCTGCTCAAGATGCAAGTAACCAATTAGAGGGTTAGTTGGATCAATGCAAGGAATCGACCATCCAAACTCACTAGCGATGGGCCACTCCTTTGGGATGATGCCACATAAGCTGGTCAGATAGCTTCGCAGACGGCTGAGAAGTGGCTGCCTAATCATATGGTGACATGAGAGTCACTAAGCCTTCGCACCAAATCCTGAAGACGCCCATTTTGAACATAAGCTTATGTTCCGATTGCCCTTAAGAGTCCAGCTGGACGCACAATTGGAACGACCAGCCCTACGTCCTAACAAACACATCATCACAAATTTTCGGTGATTTAGACACATGGCTCATGTCTCATTCAGTTCGAGACTTTGTCAAGAGCCCAGTCTCATGCTTCAGCAGCTCGGCCAATCAAATACACTGGTCGTCACTCTTCATTGTTGGATGGCCAGAGCTTTGCTAGTATTGGTTGGCTCGCATTGGACCCTTGTCGCCCCGCAGACGCACCATGAAGGAACATCCGCATTATTATCTCCAGACGCCAGAATTCCTTCTTCTCCGCACGCTTGCTTGCTACCAATGTGTTGGTCAACATTACACGGCCAGGTCATACTTCCTTCATCCACTTAGGGGTCACGAGAACGGCTGGTGGCTTCCCTGGATCGTTTCGGCTCGTGGAGAGGCTTTCCCAGTCGGGGTCGCGGCCTACGCAGACGACCTGAATCGGAGACACAATGGCTCGAAAGGGTAGTCGGAAAACTAGGACTGGCTGCATAACATGCAAGTGAGTGTGCCTGAGAGGTCCCATCTTATAAACCGATATACAGTGAGGTTAAGACAGTGGGCTCTTAGCCTCCAGATGATATCTCTTATCTAACTCTTCGTAATTGAGTAGGATACGCAAAGTCAAGTGTGATGAGACCAAACCGACCTGCAAGCGCTGCACTGCTACCGGCCGGCAATGCGATGGCTACAGCCCAGTAACCACCTCGTCAGCAAACAAATCCGAGCTCCGCCGCTACCGGCCACACCATGTCTTCCCAGGGGCACACGGCGTCGGTGAGGGCAGGGCCTTGCAGTACTTCTGCCAGGTAGCAGGCCCTTACATGTCGGGTGCGGTGAATCCCCATTTCTGGTCCAAGCTGGTGATGCAGTTTACCAGCTTCGAGCCCGCAGCACGTCACTCCGTCATAGCCATAAGCACTCTCTGCGAACGAGTCCACTTCCAGGAAGAGATGGCTGAAGAGCTCCGCTTGAAGGACGAACTTTACGCCTTGCAACATTACAATGCAGCAATACACGACCTCAGGACCATGACCTCAGCTGAGCGAAGCCCCGTTGTACTGCTTGCTTGTCTACTTTTCATAACCGTCGAATTCTTACAGTCAAACCGTGACGGAGCGATCAAGCACTGCAAGCACGGATTTGAACTTTTAAAAATTACAATTAGAGACTACGCCTGGACTAAAGAACACTTACTGCCCCTGTTTCGACGGTTGAGCATCTTCGCGTTTCTACATGCGGTCGATCCTAAGGACTTTCCCGATCTAGAAGGGCTTGAACATCCAGTTCCAAGCAGCTTTTCAACATCTTCCGACGCCCGAATAATGATTGACGACATATTCAGTCGCACCATGCGGCTGGTGCGGAATGGCGACCCTTATAGAATACACCCTGAAGAATACCAACTTGTGCCGCCTAATCTACTCGTTGAGCAAGCCAAACTCGCATCATCACTAGATCAGTGGAAAATCCTATTTGACGAGCTCGAGGCCCGTCCTTCATCGCCACCGAGCGACTCTGTGCCCGGTCTAGAGACTCTGACAAAGACGTTGCAATACATTCTTTTATCACGCTACGAATGCTGCAGGATATGGCTGAATACGGCGTTCGGCGACGGAGGGTACGACTACGAAAATCATCTGGCGGCCTTCAAAGCAATTTCCACGGATGCAGGGATTGTGGATCCAGAGGTTCTTGCAACCTTCGAGGGGTCTCCTTATTTCACATTCGATACCGGCTATCTCCCTTCAATCTCACTAGCTGCAACAAGATGTTCGCATTTGGAGACGACGTTAAAGAACCTGAGGTTGAAGCCGCTTCCAGGTCTTCCAAGGGAGAACATGTGCCTCCCCGCCCAGGCCGGAGTTTGCATGTGCGAAGCGAGACCAACACCTTCACCGAACCAAACTAGTGCAGACCTTGAGCGATTTGAGATTGTTGATTGAGCAGTTCATCATGTCCTTGCTACATCTACAATCTCCTTATGCACACAGAATGCAAATACCATAGACTGGACCAAATTTATGTTTGATGATTATGACATATTATTACTATTGACGCAGTCTAGTGTGGTGACTTGAACGAACGGATCATCAGTTTTCTGTTTAGCGGTGGCACAACTACTGTCCGTAAGGTGACAAAAATGTAGAACCACAGGTCTCATCATTCGCCAATATCTACTCCGCCTTGGCCACTGATCAGGCTTGAACTCAAGGATCAGTAAAGGTGGGTGGATGACATTTTTATTGGGCTCCGGACACATGTGTCAGCAACCAGGCCTCTGCCTTATCAATATACCCTACCTTGCATAAAGTCAGTCCAAGGTTAGGATGTTGGACCTATCTTCTGCCGCAATCGCCACTTCCTTAAGGTAGAACGAGGCCATTAAGAAGAAACTCTACAATCAAAGCTTTTTTTTGTCAAATTTTGTGCTCTAGGTCAAATTACGGCTTCAATTCTTTGGACCCTATGACATTGAAATAATACGGGCGGAAACTACACAAATGGAACTCGATAGATTCGTTAACTCCTTGTCGAGAGTAAGCCGATGTGGTATACATATCGCGCTGTGTCCGATTTACTGTGCTGGCGGGTGTCCATCCCGAATCCACGAATTAATAAGTGATGCAGACTCAGCTGGCAGGTCAAACGGAGCCAAGTGACCAGAGTTGAATATTTCGGCATAGGTAAGCTCTTTGTAAGACTTCCATCTGCCGGCCTGCTTAGTCTCGTGGTACCAAGGAATCATCTCTCGAAAGCGGAAGAAGGGATGGCCGTGCCAAGCGAGCCCTTCGTTGACTAGCCGCCGCATTCCAGCTGCGTTGCAATACAGATCCTTGTCACCTACGTAGATGAGAACACGGATTCCCTACCCAAGGTGTCAACGAGTTCTCGCACAGGCTTTCGGTTGGTCCACGGGTTACTTACCTCATCTAAAAGGTTGTTAACGTATGCATCACTAGACTTCCACAGGTCACCCACCCTCTCCCATTGCTTGAGGATTTCGTACGAGCTACCCTCAAATGAGACATCTTCATCAACTCCGAGGGCGACCTTGACTTTGGTTTGATTCAAAAAGGCGTCGATATGTGCCATTTCAGCGTAGCATTCCTCCGAAGGACCGTCATCGCAACTTCGTCTCCAGTCGTAGGGGTTGCGCTTCATGTTCTCAACGACGAAACCGCTCATGGAAGAACACTTTTCGTGTGTTTCGATGCACGCTCGGGATAGCCATCCTTCATCATCGCCTGTGCCTTCGCAGACACCCAGATTTTTCTCACACCATAGGTTCAATGGCGCCCATTCCAGACACTGCGAGGTACTGAGTAAACTATCGGGCCCAGAGCATAGCGCTTCGAAAGTTCCTGGATTCTGAACACGAAGGCGTATTAGTCCGTTGCCGATGAGAATCCCCTTCAAGTTGATGGGCGAAACCAACGACGGTAGATGGGTCGGTGACTGTTCCCACGCCCCATGCTGTCCGTTATTTTGAACCACGAAATCCGTAGCAGCGGAATTGCTGTTGAGGTTGTGGGGGATTTTATGGTGGGAAACTGCCTGGTTATCAAGTATCGTGGAAGCCAATGCCGGCACCCATGATCCACCATACGACTCTCCAGCAATGTAGAAGTCAAGGTCTGCATACTGAGGGAAGGCGATCATGAGCTGGCGGAGAAATTGATCCATCATTTGAGATGCTTCTTGCAGACCTCTGGGTATGTTGGATCCTGTTGAATAGCCGACACTTACTGGCTGACTAGAGTTGGATCACGTAAGCATCAGTTCGGCGTCTCTGCGTGTTATGAAGAGTAGACCTAAGATCAAGGTCCTTTTCAAAAGACAAATTATAACTTACTCGACAAAGATCAAGGTCGCATTCGTATTCCAGCCGTACGGATTATCTATGGTATAACCGCCTTCTGGCGCAATTCGACACGGGCCAAGTTCCATGAGATTGCCGTAACCTATTGAAGACGCTCCTGGACCGCTGGCAAAGTTCGAAGACAACGTTAGCATTCATACAAGTATTAGAGGCTCAGCAAAGGCAAAAGATCATCGAGATAGAGCGTGCTGATCGAGGTAAGACAATAGTAAATACTAACCCAGTCATCCATAGTATAACGGGATCATTGGAAGGACGGTGTTTACTTTCGAACAGCCAAAAGAACAGATGACTCTCATCATCACCGTCGATGGCGTCAATGAAGCCGGTGATACCGGGGGTCGAACTATTGCACACACTAGCCGTGTCGGGTCCGAGTCTGAGGGAGAAGCCCGGGATGCTGGCCGTAGCGGGGAAATGTTTCGCTGCGCTGGACGACTGAAGGTGCGTTGGTGAAGCATTGCAATGGCTGATCAATGCCAGTAGCAAAGCCAAGTGGAGTAGACATGCTGAAACGCTCGATCGGAGAGACATTTTTCACAGGTTTGAACTTTTTCGGATCATGAAAGGCAGTGAAGAAGTTGGATGATGCGCCAATACTTGACTCAATCACATTGCTCCCACCAGATGCGCTTTTGATAACCCGATTAGGAATAGCGTGAAGTTCCTGGTCCAGTCGTCGGATCCCTCGAGATAAGCGTTCAGCGTCTGTGAGCCACCTCGAATCTGCCAGAACAGAAAATAGCTGGTGGTGAGATTGGTTTACATGCGCTTCTGTAGAGTCTGGTCTCTTCAAGAATCGTATTCTCAAATTTTGGACGTAGTCCTACCGGGAAGCATCTATCTGATGGTTGCTTCTGTCAATCTCAGGGGTCCTCTATCTGGGCAATCGGCCCTGCTAGTCCCCCTATTACGCGTCACTGCATAGACAAATTCCAAGCAGCGAGAAGAGACATCAATCCTGATTCCTACACGTCTTACCCACCTCTGTCATAACGGTCATGGTAATCATTATTTACACCTTTCAAGCAGTGGCACCAGCAGCCTCTCCATCGACGATCAAGCTCGAGGCCTCCTCGGCATCGCTCGGTTTGACCAGCTTGATGGATACCTCGGGGTCCCGAGCGTAAACACGCAGGCCCAAGACACAGACGGCGTTCCATGGCGTTCCTGTCAGCTCCTCATTGTCGTCCAAGACGGTGGACTCAGCATCAGAGTCTGAATCAGAAGCCTCTTCTTCCTCGGCAGGCGCTTCTTCAGAGTCGTCCTCAGCCTTTGATTTAGTGGCGACGGTCTCCTCGGCTGGCTTGGACTCTTCAGATTTCTTCTCGCTCTCCTTCTTGTCAACTTTCTCCTCTGAATCCTTCTCCTCGCCCTTCTTTGGCTCTTGAGTTGGGCCATCACCAGGTTTCGACGCAGTTAGGCTTGCTGGCTTCTCTGCTTCAGTAGGCTTCAGACTGCTACCAGTGGAATCCTTCTCCGAGCTCTTGGTCTCAGTCGAATCGCCATCCTTCTTTTGCTCTTTTTCTTCAGCTTTCTTCCCCTCCTTCTCGGCAGTGTCTTTGCTCTCCTTCTTCTCCTCAGTCTTCTTCCCCTCATTCGCGAGATCAGACACGACCTTTGCCGAGTCCTCAAGCGCCTTGGCCGCGATTCCAAGTGCCTTTTTCTGCCTTCTTCTCTTCTTCGCCTTTTTACTCTCCTTCTTTTGCTTCGCATCAAGCTTCTTCTTCTCCACGAGCTCGTCCTCGTCACGCACGCCACCCTTGGCGTGTGCGATGTCGTATTGTAGGCCGACCTGTCGCAGTTTCTGTGGGTTGCGTTCGGCGTACTCCTTGACCACATCCTCGACAGGCTTGGTGGACCCGTCGCCGTCGCTGTTCCGAGCGGCCGTGACCTTGGGGAGGACCTCGTAGATGCCTGGCTCCAGGTCAACCTCGCAGCTCACTGAGCGGTTTTCCCATTTGTGCACAGGACGGACGCGACAGATCTGCTCCGGCTCGGGGGCATCCGTCTTCTTCTTCTCTTCGTCCTTGGATTTCTCGCTGGCCGAGGAAGTCGATGAGCCGGCTTGCTGAAGGACAAAGTGTAGCTCAAACCAGTACTGTCCTTCGAACCCATGGAAGTAACGGTCATCGAGCTGTGTCAGCACGATGACGACCATGCCCGACTTCTTGACCTTAACGACGAACTTTGTCTGAAGGAAACCCGTAACCCAAGATATGTTGGACGAGGTCCACTGTTGCACAACGGTCCACTTCTCGTCAAAGATACGTGTGCGGTGGATGTACATGAAGGTTGAGAGCATGTCTTGGTATGACATCCAGAAGACGCCATCATCGCCAAAGGTGTGGTTGAGGCGTTTGAGCCAGTACGGCGTCCATTGCTTGGAGCCATCGGACCAAGGTCCGTTCCATTCGCCGACACCGCCGTCGGATCGTTCACCCCATGGGTTTCTGCGAGAGATGTGTCAGGGAAACGCAGGTCGTCCAGAATTGGGAACTCATCTTACCGGATCTGAACGAGGCGGACCTTTTTGCCGTCCTCGTCAACCTCTTCGCGTGACTGGAGGATCGAATATGCGTGTCCCAGTGCGAGTCCGCTCTTCTGCCAGTCCCAACCGGTTCCCATAGCAGCCAGGGCAAAGACAAACTCGCCGTCCGCGCTGATAAGCTCCTTCCACAGTCTGTCCTTCCTCAGTACCCGGTTGGTGGCAATAGTTGAAGTGACACCGCCTGTCATATCTTCAACTGCCTCACCGGGCCAGCCCCCCGAGATAGCCTCGTAATCTCCATGGACCTTGGCGTATGCCTTCTCGAGCAGTGGCAACCAAGTCTCATTCTGATCCTCGCAGCGGGCGAAATAAAGAGCATCAGAACCCGTCTGAAGTCTCTTTCTGTGCTGGCGAGCCTTCTTGCCACTGGCATCGTAGACGTCGCCATAATAGTCAAAGTCTGACTCCTTGAGGTAGAGGTTGTCATCAATGACTGTCGAGATCCACTCGCCATCGCGTTGGAAGACAAACCCGTAGACACCACACTCCTCATCGCGAGCGACGCAGACCTTCTCCATGAGGTCTTTGCGATGCGCAATGGTTGCGACCGCCGCCAGCCACCAGCAGTCGCCGTTTGCACCCTGCTTGATATCGGAAGACGAGTACCCATTCAACGTAAACTGCGGCGAGTCAAAGATCCAGTCAATGCGATGGATAGAGCCTGGGCTGTAATACTCGCTCCCGCGGACGCCATGACGCTTCGAGACTCTGTCAGAGGCGGCTCTGGCTCCCTTGCCAGCGGCTGCGTTGGCAAAAGGGTTCCAGCCACCACCACCATCGCCTCCAAGAAAACGGCTTACGGCCGTGGGATCGATGGGAATGGTAGAGCTGGGACCCAAGATCTGCGCCGCGTTCAAGGTGTCGAGGCTGTTCTTGACGTCCCAGCTGCTCACGTTTGGTCCATCCTCCGCAGCGCCGCCACCACCGCTAGCCCCCTGCTCCCAGTCGCGGATCAGACCATTGAGGCAGTTGCTCTTGGAATCACGTTCAATGTCGAAGTCGGCGTCGGTGTACTTCTCATTGGTTCTCTCGCATTCCCGGATGATTCGTTTGACCTTCTCTCGGCACTCGCGCGCGGCAGCATCATATGACTCTTGAGCATTGCGGGTGGATGATGCGCCCTTCTCTTGGAAAGCAGGAAGAAGTGAGGAGTAGAGGGCACGAGGGAAGATGGACGTCACCTTCCCCGGATACTTCGAATGGAACTTGTCCCAGAAGTCGGATAAGACTTCTTGGGGACTCTTCTTCGACCGCTTAGTTGGTGTAGGAATGAGAGGCACCAGTGTTGGCGGATCTCCGTACGTCGCCATGTTTGATAGAGTCGTCAATTCTGACATCAGGGCGGTGAAAATGGACGGTTTTCAAATTATCTTCGCAAGAACAGGTTAGGAGAGGAAATATGACTCGATACTACACTCATTTGAGATCCACTGGCCATGTTGGTGGCTTTTAAATAGTCCCCGCAGTTAAGTCAAGGAATCTGACATCTTACGTCCAGTAGGTGTACATCACGGCGAAAGTAAGTACATTATTTTGAGCTATTAACCCCGGCATCTAGTGCTGACAGTAGGATGTTAGGGTGTGAGGATGCCTAGATCCGCGTTACTTGAGTGTTACAATATTGAAACGCGAAACAACGTCGAACCGATTGATTGGATTAAGTGACATGAACGAACCCTGGGTATCGGAACGGCCGGCTTGCCTGGCGGCGTTCTGCACATTTTTGAATCCAGCATGCTCTGATATGCAGCTTAGCGCCCAGCTTGCATTCGGCAATTCGTACTATAAGCACGCAGCAAGAGGTTAAAGCACACAGATTGGGGGCCAGCCTGCAGCCGAGCTTCAGGGTCTCATATCAGGTGAGATCGTAGCGCCATAGGCGTTAGCGCCATGGAGCTTGGGCTGATGACAGCGAAGCAAGCGGCTGGCCCCAATGTTTATTTCATGGCCACGCACGGCGGATAACGTGAAGCTAGGCCTGCTGTCTCATCCCAGTGAAGTGAAGAGGATTACCCCGCGCGATGAACTGGTGACTCTCACGTAAGATTTGAGGGAAGCCTTGCATGCACGAGATGCAAGCCGCTGCTAATGCAGGCTGCTACCCCAAGCGTTTACGACCAACTCATTCTGGATGCGGGAGTGAGCCAAACAGGGTTGAACAGTGTTGCCGTGCCGTTCTAGAGATATGGCTGAGGTACAGCGTGCACATCAAGCAAGGATTCAATGACTTGGCTTCATGTCACGGATGCATTTTTTCGTATTACCGTTGATTCTGAGTATACCTTGGTCGACAGCAGGCCATCTAAAGGCTAATAGGGATTGAGAAGCCTAATTTTCCCTGTTCAAGACCGATCTCCTCATTTGGGTATGATGCAACGTGCACGTGTAGATGATGTTCCGATAATGCACCTTGGTTTGTTGTCGACAAGCACAGTAATTGGTTCAAGTCAGAAGCCTTCGCCGTAATGCCCTTGAAAGGGTCGCAATTGCTCATTTGCCTTATTGGTGGTAGTGGAAGCAGCGGCAGAAAAGCCAAGAGCAGCAAGAATGTTCGTGAACGGCATCTTGAATACTGATTTATGTTCGGGGGTTGGAGATGGTCTAGATTGTATGACACTCAAGGAATATGACGGGGAATTAGAAAATACTTAGTCCTCAAGTATAAGAAGCTTGACTTCGGCAGGAAACTCAAGCGGCTTTTATGTCTATCCCTACCTTACTTAATGAAATCCAACATCAACTATTGTCTACCGTCTCTTCCGTCCCAGGACAGACGATCTCTCATGAAGGATTCAGCTCGTATCCCAAAGATGGAGTCCAAAACCCTCCTTCGTTTGGCTAAGCCATCTCTTTGGGCTTGCGGTGAGCCCAACACCATAAACCATCCTCTTCTCAGATGAGGATTTTCTCTCCTAGAGATACTCCTCGAGATACTTGAGGCGGGTTTAAGGGGCGCTGATAGGAACCCTCGATTGAAAGACTTTACTCTGATCAGGGCTCACTGATTCAACAAGGCTGCCTTTCGTAACTCTTCTTCAACAGTAGACGGCGGAATCCATGATAGCCCTCGGCCCGGTAATCCACGGGCCTTCATATGGATAGTCTCCGTGTAAAAAGGTTGCGGTAATCGCTCAAGTTGCCTTTAAGAATAGTTGAATGGATGGTGCCCTGCTGTCTGTGGGTAGATGAAAAGGCAGCAAAAGCTTGCTGAGACTTCTAGTTTTGAGTTTATGAGACAGAGATACGACAAACTCCCATGATATTTGAAATTAGCACCAATGATTGATGAGTTGGTCAGTGACACGCCAGGGTAGTTGTTACTCTTCCATGTTGATGCCGACAGAGAGCAACTCTGAGACCGATTTTTGGAGGCTGGCGCCCAACTATTTCTCCTAATATATAGCAGGCCACCCTCCATCTTTTGTGGGCGATCTTAGAGTATTTCACTTGCCCAAAGACCTTTCAGATAATGGTTTAGACATTGAAAGAAGGGCGACAGAAGATAAGCTATGCTGCTTCGAGATGGGCAGTATCTTGTGTCATGTTGCCGGTCGGCTGGATCAGAAGGCCATAGCCAAGGACCTTGAATGCCGGGCTAAAAGCCATGGTTCCACGGCCATTCCCTTCGTGTATTGGTCTTTAGATAAGTACGGTAATACCGGAAGTTTCAAATGGTTATAATGCACCAAGGCCAACGAGCAACAGACATCAGTGTGAGTGCAAACAGCTCAATATTTGCCAAAAAGGAAAAAGAATACATGTGAAATGATAGCGGTCTATGTCTATTATTTTGGAATCACTATCATCAAAGACTCCTGACCGCTTTAAGCCTATTTTCTCTAGCAAGTTGCGTGAGTCCTATTGTAGGGGCGAAGAGATCGAAGATGTGAGGGAGGCCAGGGTAAACATGCAACTCCATCTGCACATTGGCTGATGCAAGCTTGCTTGCAAATGCCACCGCCTCGGCACAGAATAAATCAACCCCGCCGATGTCAATGTACGTATAGGGGAGGTCTGCGACATCAGTCGCTCGTCCTGGTGACGCTTGCGGCGGTATGCTTGGCTCTCCGGCCTTGCCCTCGAGGTATGCGTTCCAGCCAATCTGATTTGACCTGTCCGTCCAGGTGAGAAACTTTGAAAGAGGATTCTCTGCTGTAACTCTGGTCCTGTCGTCTAGCATCGGGTAGATGAGGATCTGCTTTGCTAGGGGTGGCGACAAGCCCCGATCCCGCGCCATCATCGCTGCTCCCACTGCTATGCCGCCGCCGGCGCTCAACGCGTACAAGCCTATGCGAGACGCATCAATGTTCAGGTCGCCTGCCTTCTCACTCAGCCACTTTAGAGCGGCATAGCAATCCTCGGCGGGTGTCGGATATGGATACTCGGGAGCTAGACGGTACTCGACGGCGAACATCTGAACCCCGGATTCCAGGGCGGCTTTCGCGGCGAGCGGCCGGCTGTATGGTTCGATATTTCCTCCCACGATCCCTCCTCCATGGACGTATATGAATGCCGCTTGCTTGCTTGTGGCTGTGGTTTCGTTTGTGCTCGGCGTGAATTGGTGAAGCGCAATCGTCTCGCCGTCGAATGACTTGACCGCATGCTTGGTCTCTGTTATACTCTCCGGCAGCGCGTCTTTAAACATGGCCGAAAGACCTGCGTTGACGCTGGCTCGGAGCTCCAACGCATTGGCAGGCCCCTTTGGCGGTCGGATGGCAATCAGCGGTCCGGCAACCGCCCAGAACTCTGCGTCGAATTTGAGGCCCGTCATTCTCTGCGTTTGTTTTGCATAGTAGAGAATGGACAACACCCCGACAATCATCCCCAAGAGCGAGAAACCTGGGCCCATGATGACTCTTTATGCAGAGCGCTCTCGCCAATACTAGGGCCGTTTTGTCAAGGAAAAAAGACGTTTCGTCTTGTTCCAGTTTCCTTGCCGGGGGTTACGCGAAAGGCATTATATTCCCACAAATCATGGGTTCAAGTTGGGCAGCTTTAACGTTGGCGCCACCCGGCACCATGAACCTCCTAGCTTGGAAACTTCGGATGACTAGAAGCTGCGAGGTTTCAAGGCGTTGGAGGGTGGAAGCTTCCAATTCGTCCGAGCGGGCATGAATGAGCCCCAGGCCAGCAATCCGTCGGGGGCTCCGGTGAAATTCTCTGAGCGCATGACCGACAGGTATTGCCACGTAGGCAACGCTGGTGTGGCTTCGTTCGTTCTATCTAGAAGAGGTTCTGACTCTTGTAATTGACTTTAGACCTGCATACATTGGCACATGATATAGCCCACGTGCATGTCTACCTGTGGTTAATTGTCAAATTTCTAGGACTTTAAACGGCCTTTGCCTGTCTAAGGCATTTTTGCCACGACTGACTTGACTACCGTCGACTTTAGCCATGATTCCGCGCTGGATGAGGTATTGTCATTCTCAATTTGATACTAGTTTCATCTGAAAATAGAGACTTTTATACAATCCGCCAAGGGGACAAACTTCATGCAGGCTCAAAAAGCAAGAACGCCTTAAACCGAATCCGAGCTTGTCAATGCTGCTTTCCCTTCCGCCAGGCTCAGTCAAATACATCAGTCGCATAACGCTCGTTGCGAATGCTACTGAACCACTCCTCCAACTCTTCATCGTTCATCGCCTTTCCATCGTCCAGTTCACTCTTCTCCCTAGCGGCATTGAGCAGAACATCCTTCACACCTTCAGCCACCTTGTTGGAGCCACACACATAGACCCTCGCCCCTTGATCCCACAGGCCGTACAGCATCTCGCGCTCCTGCCAAATGCGTTCTTGTACATACTTGGATCCGTTGGACGCTTCGGGCTTGCGGCTGTACGCTCGGTACATCTTCACGGCGCCGGCGGCCTCCCACTTGTCAAACTCCTCGCGGTAAAGATCATCAGCAGTGGGATCGCGGCACCCAAAGAACAGGATGGCCGGTGCGAGGGAGCGGCCGTTGCTGAGGAGGGTCGCACGTTCTTGGACGAAAGCGCGGAACGGTGCCAGGCCAGTCCCGGCCGCTACGCACAGAAGAGGGGTTTTATCCATGTCCACCGGGAGCTTGAAGCCGCCCTGCGAAGAACGGATGGCGACTTGTAGACGGTCGCCAGCAGTCAAGGTAGAAAGGTAAGAGGAAGTGACGCCGACATACCGGCCCTGTCCTGACAAGGCGGGTTCATCGAGAACACCGTATGTAATGGTAGCGACACCAGGTTCTACCAGAGGTGATGATGAAATCGAACTGGTCACTAACGTCAACACAATGATTCAAAGAGGGGAGTCATGCCTTGGCTTACTATTGACGGACTCGCATAGGAGGGAGCATGAGAAGGAAAAGGTTGAAAGGGATGGTCAGGGAAGGGAACTGTTCAGCAATATCGAGAACCGAGAGCCGCTTTGCCTTGATATTGGTTTCGTAGCCGTCAGTGGCCAGGAACTGAAGCATGCGGCTCACTTCTCTCTCCTTGGCAAGTTGTGATAGAGTCGAGATATTCTGCGATTCGCTGGTCAACATGTGCTTCAAGATGTGTTAGACGCCGCGACGTGTCCCAAAACTCACCCTTTTTGAAGCTGTCTGACACAGCTCAACGTAAGAGCTCAGAACATCAGAGACAGGACTACTGACGTTGGTCGGCAACGTCGTAGGCCCTGAAGCCTGGATGGTAATATGCGAGTCCCAGGAAAGGTGGAAGCGGCGCATCACTCTAGCGACCCTGTCTTTGGGGTTGTGAGGGAGCACGGCCATGTAGTCGCCAGCGGTGTATCGCATGTTCGTGGGAAGCTGCACTTCAATGTGTCTCTTGACCGGCCCCAGGTAACCGTGGGCAAGAGTGCGAGCTTCCAACACGAGCGCGTCTCTCACGTCCTGTCGGAGGGTAGAAGTCCTAGGGGTGGAGAAAGACACTGACAGACCGGCCTCGGCGATGCTGCTGTCGTCTCCTTCGGACTGTCCTCCAAACGCCTTGATGAGAGCGGGCCACAAAGTCTCATCCTCCCAGCCCTCAAAGTCGGAAAACATGTCTCGGTCCTTGGCATCCGTCGTGGCAAGCGGAGTGATTCGACGGGCTCCACGTGCCTCGAGCGTAGAGTCAACGAGCTTAGGGACTCGTTGATGCGTTTTTACCCAATCAGCATGGCCTAGAACAACAAAGGAATGTTAGAAACTGTAACCTCGAGTACCTTAGGACCAGCCAAATCTCACCGCAGCCGTAAACAGCATATGACACGTTCTCAAGTTCCTTGCCCTTGAGGTTCGCCATCCAATCGACAAAGAGCGCAGCGTTATGAGGCGGTTGCCCATCGTAAGAAGACGTTACAATGACGACGGGGCGATCTGTCGGGAGAGACTCGCGCGCGGCGTCGAGTGAGTCAACTGTCGCGGTGAAGCCATGCGACGCAGCGTCGCTAGCAAGTCTCTGAGCCATGAACTCGCAGGTGCCAGAGTTCGAACCATAAAATATTGCCAGATTCGCCTTCTTGGCAGAGCCGTTTCCGGCTCCTGTCCCATTGGTAGCTTCGTGAGCTTTGGGCTTCGGCTGGGCAGGCACCCCCCCGGTCAGAGACCCGGCCATCCGAGCTTCGAGCATCGACGGCGTCAACCCCTCTCTCAGAATGGCCCGGATATAAAAGTCTTTGGGCTTGATTGTGAGCGTTTGCGAGACTTTCAAGTCGTAGTTGGGGTCGTGCATAACGAAGTTGAAGTTCTGCATCAGCAGAGCGAGGGCGAGTACCATCTCTTGCCAGGCAAATGCCCTACCGATACACCCACGCATGCCGGTGCCGAAGGGGCTCCAGCAGTTGGGGAACTCCTTCATGAGACGATTGAAGTTTTCGTCCAGCATCCTCTCGGGCCGGAACTCTTCTGCGTCGTCTCCGAACACCTTGGGATCAAGATGGGACTTGGTCAAGAAACAGAGGATCTGCTCTCCTGGCTTGACACGGTACTTGCCACCAATGATCTCATCCTTGATGGCCTCTCTGCCGAAGCCAAAGATGGGAGCGCTATGCCGGAGAACTTCTCTTATGACCTGTTGATTGATGTTAGTAAGGAATTGAGAGAGGACCACAGCACATTCAGAGTAGTTTGCTTTATGTAATGTTTCGTAGGTACCGAACTAAAGGACGTCTGGTGAGAGGAGAAAAAGGGAAAACTTACCGCAGTCAAGTACTTCAACTTGGCGACATGTTCCACCTTGAGAGGCCCGTCACTCGCCGTGTTATCAACCTCTTCTTGTACTTTCCGGTATACTTCAGGCCGCTTCAGCAACCAGTACATGGTGAAGGTGAAGGTAGCAGCAGTCGTCTCGTGGCCAGCCACAAGGAAAGTGATCAAGTTGTCAATAATACTCTCATCCGTCATCTTACGCCCCGTAACAGGGTCAACGGTATTGATCATCGCCGTCAACAAGTCCTTTCGGCTGTTGGCGCCTTCCGGTTCTTTTTTCCTAGCCTCGAGAACCTCCCTCGCGATGGATCTGAGGTAGCTGATATTCGCCTTGTTTTTGCGATCTTCCTTCTTGTAAAAGACATGAGGCAGCACGCGCAATGACTTGTCGCCGGCTTCTTTCATGACGGCGTACATTGCTGTGATGAAGGGGTGCGTGTCCTCGCGGTAGTAGGAGTTGAATCTGTATCCCATTGAGCAAAGAGCGACTGTGTCCATGGTGAGCCTCGTCATGTCTTCGCCAATATGAATGGGGGTGGAAGATCCGTGACGCGCCCACTTGAGGGCAAGTTGGGCGGCGAGGTCGTGCATGTCATCAAACATGCCCCTGATGGCAAGTGGGCCAAAAGCAGACATCAACACTCTGTGAGCAACACCCCAATTCTCTTCCTCGACGCCTTTGGACTATGTTGACGTTAGATCGAAACAGCCAAAGACTAGATTTCGAGAGCAGTCATCGAACATACTGTGAATAGACCATCGTGCACTGCCTCGCGTAGCTCCTATGGCACGGTGTTAGTTAGTTGTCAAGCACTCTTCGGATTGTGAGACGTACGGTGAGTTCCCCTTCTATTGACTTTTTGAACCTGTTGTCATCGCAGCACTCGTTGACCAGTTCATGGTTGTTGACAAACACCAGCTTTTGACCAAGAATATCAAGCCTGTAGATAGAACCTACGAAGTGGTCAGCCAAGCTTCTCTCTAGTACGACTCCTGCTAGCCGCATCCCCACTTCATGGTAAGGTTACACACCATATTTGTTTGCCAGATGCACGAAGGAACCTAGAGGGTAGTCCTGGTCGATCTCTGTCACGTGTCCTAATACGGGAATCCGGGGCGGCTCCGGGATCTCGATAACGTTGTCCGGCATGTCAACGGCTTTTCTGGAAGACCTCCGCGATAGGGTGAAAACTCGTTTCCTCTTTTCAAACTTCCGGAGACTTTCTGATGACTTAGAGCTCGAGATGGACGACATGATGGGCCGAATGAGGGAATGGTCTCCTGCAGCCTATATAATAAAGTTCCAGCGAGCACATATGTCGTAATTATGCTGATATAGAGGCCCTGTGAGTCGATTTCCATGCATAATGGCACAATTTCGACGGCCGCCGGAGTCGGTCAGGCTGACGATCCTTCCCTTCGGTACCCTCGGGGACAGGCACGTTGTGGCTGAGGGAGTCGAATCCACAGAGTATCAGGCTTGAGAGAGTCGTAAGCAGGAAAAGGCCAGCATGCTGGCCAAGGCAAGAGATTGGGAGTCGCCATATTATCATCCGCGGGGACCGCGAGTGGAGATTCTTAGTTCCTTTGTCCTGTGCACTGGCCACGGCCGGTACTCCGCGGGCCTCCGTCTCCACTCTTCACCTTTGCTACACTGCTACCCCCCTTGGCCTTGTCCAGTGAACCTGACAGTCCTGACTAGCCATGCCGTACGATGACAGTTTGACTGATATAAGCACCGTGGCTGAGTCAAATCGCAATCAAGACCTGACGACAAGGCCTTCAGGGAGCCACAAATCTGCCTAGGTTATTCCGCCCTGCGCCGCGGTCCTCGTGCTCAACATCAACGCAAAGCTCTGGAGTAGACACTGAACTTATACCACTGCCAGATCCTCTCCCGATATGAAAATTCTTCTTGAATAAACGGCAGGCAAGAGGCTGCGGGCGTCTACTCGTGCTCTGTCCGAATGGAACCCTTGCCGAGTGTCCGAGGTTCTCGTGTTTCATCAAAACTTTCATTCATTTTAGGCGTTTAACAGAGACAGACTAGCCATATTCAAGTAGCAGTTATTTTTGCTCTGAAACTTCGGTAAGAAAATTTGCTACTCGATCGGCGTTGCGTCCTGGTTCAGAACATTCGAAAACGCAGTAGACTGTAGACATTTGCTACAGAAGAGCATTAGAGCATGTAGCAATTAAAGCCGCGGCAAAACACCCACATAGCAGCCCATTACCACAACAGGGCCAGTACAACTCCTTTCCGCACGGACCTGGAGCGATTGCCGGCCGAATCGGTCTTTCCCCTCGAACTCGTCGAGGCATGCTTGTGTCGCCGCATTAATTTTGTTGACAATATAGGGTGTAGACCGGCATTTGGTGACAGGAGTCGATAACATGTAGACCCCAATTCCAAGCTGTAAGATGTCAAGAGAGCTGAATAGTCGAGTGAGTTGTCCCAGCAAAGGAAGACGGTCTCAGGCTACACTTCAACATCACAGGGTGGGGCAAAGTAAGTTTTGACTTACGCCACATCCAGCAAACCCTTTTTCAGACGATGGGTTCATTGTACCAGTCAGATTCTTCAGAACCTTATAATTCTGCGTTTTGCCACCATGAATCACCCTGCAAGAGGCCCGCCCTTGGCAGCGGATGTTCCCGTTGTGGATGACGGTCTACGGAGGTATAATAAACGAGCTGGGTGGTATCTCCAGAAGATGGGTGCCATTAGCCTTTCCCAGATGCATTATGCTTGTAACCCTGCTAGGCGAAGTAGAGGTGCTCTTTGCTCTATTATCTGATTGAGACCTGCAAGGCTCCAGTTGTATTGGAGCGATATGGCTATCAAAATATTATCAAGAAACGGTTGGGAATTAAAGCTTTTTGGAGGCATAGCATCTTGGTGATCAGTCTCTTTCACCTTGTATCCAAGTCATCATTAACTTGTGTCTTTTGACAACTCTAATGAGTCGACTGAGAGTCGTATGTGGTCTCGACATCTTTCGATGTTCTATGTATGCTGTCCCAGGCACTATTGACATACAGCAACGATACGCCATCTCTAATTGTGGATTTCCTGTCCTGGCAACTGCCATCGCAATCAGGGTCCAAGACGATTGACAAGGGATGGGTGTGAGAAGAGATTCAAATGGCTCATCTCATGATGTACCATACGCTGATACCTATCTTAAGATGATTAGATTACTTTGGTAAAATGCTTGAAGCTGGAACTTAACTCTAGGCATTGTACATCCGAGGGACCTCGATGTTTTGAAAATACGTCTTTGTCTGGTTACGTTCGATTTGACTGCCTCAAAACAACCACAGCCCTGGCCGTCAGTACATGTACTGACAGGTCATCAGACACTCACTCCTTCAAGTAAGCAACCGCGCAGTCATGAGTACTAATCGAAGTAATTTGCCCGATGGGTACTGGCTGAGTGTGTTGCGAGAAAGCATAAACCCAGGAAGAAAATACAGGTTCTCTGAGGCGTGATTTAGGTTATGTAACGCTTGATAGAGAGATGAGATTCAGTCCTCTAGTTTGATGAATACGAAGAAGGGAATTTCTTGTTCTACCCACAAATCAAAGCTTCATCTAAGGTAAAGGTCAGAAGACCATGTCTCGTGACTAAAGTCCTACACCTTTTGTTACTCTGCCAGATGAAGGGTTGAACACCTTTGCGGGCTGTCATGACCATAAACATAGAAAAGTGTCAGCTTCTTCGAAGCACAAACGACTGAACTACAAACTCAAATGTACAAATTGATATCATTTCAAAAATTCACGGAATACTTAAAAACCCAGTTCTCATTTCAAAGAAGAAAGATTTCACTCGCGTCCCTCCTCATCCTTCATTGAATTTTCGCCGTGGTTTCCATCACCCCGTCTCCATTACGAACTGATATACCATCAACGATCCACCATGCAAGTGACGTCTTCTTCACTTACGCTCTTGCTCTTTGCAGTCACGGCATCATGCCAGCAAGACATTAGCAACCAAGAGACGGATTCCCAAGGCACGACAGCAACCCACCCTTGGTCCTTCACACCTTTCATTCCTGCCCCACCTCCCCTCATCGACGCCAACTTCGAAGCCATCGGAGATGCATCTTCACCCGCCACCCCGAACCCAAGCGTCACCCCAGCCCCAGGCATCGCCACAAACTTCAAAACATCTATCGTCACACCCGCCGCCCCGACGGCCCACCACCTTAACCCCCGCCAGTGGAGAAGCACCGAAGACAAAGAAAACACCGTCATGTGCCGGTCCAGAGCCCGCTACGACGTCCGCGCCAAGCCCTTCAATCTCTGGACCCTCCACGCCGGCATCCACTACCGCTGGAGGCACAAGTTTGAAATCCCCGTCGAGCTCAACAGCAGCAGCACCGACTACGAGATCATCCCCCGCACCTACCGCGTCCACCTCGACACCAACATTCGGGGGTACGCAAAGGACGGCCTCAACTGGATCTGCGACACCATCAGGGCGAGGAACTTTGGCGAGGTCCGGCCCGACCTGGTCCGCCCGGCGCCCGGCCAGCGCATCGAGGTCAAACCCGACCCGCGCATCGAGCTCCGGCCGCCCGGACATGTCGTCTGGTGGGGCGTCTTTTACGTCAAGGCGGACGATCCCGCCTTTTACAAAATCATCAGGTCGCATGTCGTAGTCAAGATCCAGCCGTTGTTCAACAAAATCGGCGAGCCTCTCCCGAATGATTGGGTGAACCAGCATGATGACAAGCCCCTGGAACCGGTGGTGAGGAACAGGCCCTTGCCCGGCTACTATCCTGGCCCTACATTGATCTGACGTCGCGACCGAAATTATCGTAGAGGAGTCATTTCCTCGTTGCGTCTCGCCAAATAGTTTATCAGGCCAGTATAGAAGCTAGAACAGCTTGGATGACGAATATCGGGAGTCTTTCAACCTAGTAGTAAAGCCATGGCGTTCAGTCTTAGACCGTAATAGTGGAGAGGGATAGACATTAGAGCCTGGAAAGCTCACAGTAGAAGACATTCGGCGTCAGTTTTATCCTCCATAATAGTAGGATGCTAGGCCTGACGTTGAGACTTCATCCGCTGGCACTGCCAATGCCTCTTTTTGCCATTTCCTGCCTCCCCACGTCTCAGAGTTTCGAGGTCACTTTTCCCAACCTCAGCACACCACGGAGCTTATCAAAAAAGCTCTTCACAAGCATTCTGCTATGCTCTTGATCTCGTCCGAACGGGTGGGGGCTTAGCTTGGCCGCATTACCTTGGGAAGCTCGGAGGCCACCCGACTCACGTACCTGGGGGACTAGTATGGCTGGATCGTTTCCTGGCTTCTCCCTAACCCTTCCTAGAGCCGAGTTATGTCACACACCAAAATATCCACGGAATGATACGCCGTTGGTCAACTACCTCCAAACTTTTGCTCTTCTTCAAACAGGGCCATTTTCGTATAAGACATTGCGCAGAATTGTGATTGCCGAGGATACAGATAGACGCGGGCTGCTCGCGTCCCCGCGGCTCTACCACGTAGGTACGCAACAGTTGCCGCGGGTTTTGCCTTGTCACTTCGGACGGAGAGGGAATCAAGCAAGGCCATCAAATGTCAAGAGACTCCATTCGGCCCGTAGGCCAGCCTTATCAAAGTATCACGCACGCTTCCACAATCCTCTCCTCCAAAAACAAAAGCCCTCGCTCTTTATGGCGACGCGCCCCTACTCCTCCAACTGGTTCTCCTCAAGTACCTCCCTCTCCGCCCTCGTCCCCTGCCAATTCACAATCTTGACAAGAATCGGAAGCAAGACGGCCAGGATCATACCCGCGCCCAAGAACCCAGCCGTGACGCCAAAGCCGGTATGATACGCCGGCGAATCCTTACTCGGCCAGATCCGGCTCCCGTAGACGCTCGAAAAGTTGCCAAACGCATTCACCAAGGCCAGCACAATGGCGCGCTTCTCGGCCGGCAAGCTCAGGACACCGCTCGTCCAGGACAAGATCAGCGGCAGCGCGGACCAGATGCCCGCGGCGACGAAGCAGATCATGACGTAGCGCACAAGCGGCGTCTGCACGGCGGCGCACACGACGGCGCACGCGAAGCCCAGCGCCAGCGGCGCGGCCACGTGCCACCGCCGCTCCTGGTGCCTGTCGGAGCTCCAGGCGACAATATTGAGGCACACGGAGGCGACGGCGTAGATGGGCACCGTCATGTACTGCGCCTTGACGGTGTCGTAGCCCAACGTCAGGGTGATGGTCGGGATAAAGTACGAAATCGTCCCCGCGCCGACGTCGAGCATGAAGAGGACGATGAACATGTACGTCCTCGGGTCCGACACGGCCGCGACAAACGCCTTCCAGTGGGAGAGGCGCGCCTTGTTCTGCCCGCCCGAGGCGATGCCGTCGGCGATGATGCGGATGCTGGCGAGCTGGCGCTGGGCGGGCGTCAGCTGCCGCGCCGTGGACGGGTAGTCGAGCAGGACGAAAAATGCGACGAGCGCGACGCCGGCGGTGGCGACGCCCTCGACGATGAAGAGCCAGCGCCAGCCCGCGATGCCGTGCGCGTCGTGGAGGTTGGCGGTGATGGCGCCGGCGAGGAGCCCTCCAAAAGCCCCTGAGAGGACGGCGGCCGTGTAAAAGATGGCAAAGCGCTTGCCCAGCTCGGCGCGGGTGTACCAGCACGACAGCAGGAACAGGACGCCCGGGAAGAAGCCGGCCTCGATGCAGCCCAGGACGAAGCGGAAGCCGAGCAGGGCGCCGTAGGTCTTTGAGATGGACATGAGGGCGCTCAGCGCACCCCAGACCAGCATGATGCCGGGGAGGAAGATGGAGGGCCGGCTGCGGCTGAGGATCATGTTGGAGGGGACCTCGCAGATGAGGTACCCAAAGAAGAAAATCGAGAGAACCCAGGCGTACCCATCGTCGGTGAGTGAGAGGTCCTTTTGCATCCCCGCAATCTTTGCGTTTCCCTGTGTTGCGTTGAAGCCATGTCAGCGGTTCGTGCGCCTCAAAGTAGCGTTTGTGAAAAGTTTCACGGGATGCCTCGTAGTCCCTTATCGCCATGAGAGGAAAAGCGTAGCGGATAGGATTGAGGTAGACTTACGATGTTTGTGCGGTCGACGTAGTTGAGAATGTACATGATCCAAAGCATGGGCATCTAGAGTCCGTGTAAGAATCCCTTCACTCAACGGCCTGTCTGGCGAGATGCATACCAAGTAGAAGTCAATCTTTCTAACGAGCTGCTTCTCCTCCTGCGTACCAGGTACGTAGTTCCTCAACGCCTCAGCAAGCCCAGCATCCACCTCGCTGACGATGGGCGCATTCTTGTCTTCCTTCATCTCGAGAGATTGCTTGCGACCGTTCTCGAAACTCATGGTTGCGACCTCCTCGCTCATGTGTCGTTGTCGTTGTTGTGTCGTCTGGTTTTTACGTCTGCCCTGACTCGGTGCGGCTGAAGTGGCGAGGCTCCTTATCTTGCCTCACACAATCCTATGTGAGGCAAACTCTAAAGGAAACTGTAAGCGGAGCAGAACGCGACGCGGTCTCACTCGACTCAACAGGGCGACTGGGGGCGTTCTTAAGAAAGAAAGAGAAGATCTTTGATCTGGAGATGACGAAGTTGGAGAGATGTATAACCTTCTCTTCGTCCAAACGCGGTACCATTCACGGCGACGTCTGATATTTAATGTCACAAACGCGATTCATGTCTAGTGCGTTGTGTCTTGCCCGGGGTATTCCGTCTTTGCCCTCTTTCCCCCACGGGGTAGACGGTAGACCAAACTGGGGAACGACCCAAAGGAGAACTAAAGAGGGGCCGCTAGAGGTGGATGTCGAGAACCCGCTTGATGGGGTGGCAGGTGGGCTGCCTGGACTTGTCACGGACGAATGCTCCGTCGTGTGCTCGAAATCGGACAATGAACCATCGATAATGGGCGATGATGGGACAGACGAGGCGTGATTGGACTGCGTGAGTCGATGACCGGATCCGGATCCGTACCAGAGGGGGGGAGCCAACAAGCGAGTATCAGCGCGGTATTGTGTCCGGGTTCAAGTGCTGGCCAGCTAAAGGCGGCGTTCCCTCCGATTGGTAGCGGGCTTCGCCCCGTCAGGGCTTCCCCGCCTTCAGTTACGTGAAGCTTGAGATGGACATCACCAACACTGCATATCAAATGTGAAAACCCAAGGCTCAGCGTGGGCAGCTCATTAATTATGATCTCATTACGTCGATGATACTATCGTCAGCCGGGCATCTGCGAGTTCAACAAGTCCAGCATGTTGAGCGGATATTGCTCCGGGCCCATTCCAAAATTGTTCATCATCTCTCCGCTGAACATCCACTGGTTCCAATCCTGACCCATCTCCCCTTCATTCCAAATTTGAGGAATCTGTTGGCCTGGTTGACCAGGCTGGCCGGGCTGGCCGCCGGCGATGTAGTGCCTCTCCTGGGGACCTCGTTCCTTGAATTTGTCCAGCATGTTGCTCAGACCCCGTCCAATATAGTGAGCCACATGACGGGCGCAGCGATTAGTTTCTTCCAATAATTGGACGACCCGCTCGATGAGAGAGACCACATCATCGTAGCGTATGTTCAGCCTGGCAGGCTTCCACTGCGCATGAACCTTCATCAAGAACATCGCAGCATACGCAATGGTCGTCAGCAGATACAAGGGCACTCCAATGACTGCTCTCCGCATGTCGGTGTCTGTTAAGATCAATTCTAATGCGGCAGACGCGCTTGCGATAGCGAGATTGATGAAATCGCGGCGTTCATCGGACATGGCGTATTGATCAGTCGGGTTTGATGGATTCAAACCCCTGAGGCAGATGGAAAACAAAAGGAGACGGGCAAAGTGATAATGGAGGATGACGCCCTTGGCAGGGTACTTTGATATGTGTTTGTCCGGCACTTATTACGACGTTAGCTGGGGCAATTTTCTGGGGCTAGGGGTTGAATGTCCGAGTCTCTCACCTAACCGAGTTTCCCACTGAAGCTTCCATCGACCCAGGTCGGCATCGTATCTCTTTAGTGCCTCAAACTCATCTCTGGCAACTTGCCTTGATGTGTCCGGCCCAAACGTGTGGAATACCCGACTCAGAATGATAAAGACACCAACCTGACTATGCAGACGATGGTCCGCTTGTGTGATGCCTGGTAGCAAAAGGAATGCCTCGTGATGTGTGATGGTAGCGTCCTCGTTAATGACTGGGGGCCTGCCATATGCAATGCTGAAGTGGTGGTCGCAGACGTAGAGTAAGTACCAAAGTCTAGCCTTCTCAACATGTTGCGGACCCTTATTGAGAGCTTTTGCGCAAAACTGATGAAGGTTGAGCTCCGTAGCGATCCGCACAGCAAGGCCAGACACCTTCCAGCTTATGTCTGACAGCCAGAATGCGCCGATACAAAGGCCTCTTACGTCGTCGAGACTATGATAGCGGTCGAACATGGTCTGGCTAGCCAGCTCTAGAAAAGTTGGGTAGCAGATATCGAAAGCTCGGCCTTCATCTTGCTCGTGCAGTGCGGTGACAGCAAGGATGGCGGCCGTGAGCAGAGGTGAAGACATGCGCGTGGCCGTGAGGTTGTCATGGACCAGCGCAATGCCTCCCCACAAGTACGCATTGAGGGTCCCACGGAATGTGGAGAAAAGCTGCTCGGCCTCTTGGACGCTAAACTTGCCCTGGGCGATGAAGTCGGGCTCTTGGGCCCGGCTGGATGGGAGGTGGACCCGCGCCCCAGGGTCGCTCCGGATGTTCCGCAGTTTGGTCACTTCAAAGAGGCTGGCCATTGGCGCACTTACAATAGCCTGGTCTTCGCCGTTGTCTTGCGCCGTGGGCTCCGGTGAATTTTCCCGTGTCATGGCCGTAACATCGGGGGGCCGAACGGGGGACGGTCCCGTGCCGGGGCTGCTCTGTGATCCGGCCACATTCTGTGGGCTCTGGGACATGCCGACGCCTTCATGGTGGAATGGCGGCACGGACACGAGCTGCGGCATACTCAGAGCGCGCCTCACTTCCGTCATGGAGGCCTGGAGGGTCTGGAGCTGCATCTCCATCTTGGTTTTCCACTCATTCTCGCTATCGAGTAAGGTTTGGAGGCTTTTGTTGACGACACACTGCAGACCAAGGCGAGAGCATCGAGCACATTGATTCTGGCCAGGCTCGATGCCGCACTTGATCTTGCGATTCTGACATTCCTGGCCTGTCTCTCGTCATGTATCAGCGAGCAGTCCTCTGCTAGGGTAGGTCATGCTGCAAGATGCTGCAAGGGAGTGGGAGTTCAGCCCGAGGCCGAAGGTTTGAGGATAAACTCACATGCTCGTATCTTTCTCGAAATCTTGGGCAAATGAGCTTGCTGACCAGAGGCCACGCCCGAGACCGCCGCCGATGACGGGGTCTTGTCCGGGCCGTCGATTCTCGCACGTTTCATGGTCCGTAGGGCTGGATAGAAGTCCGTGGGAATTTCTGGGTCTTGGACGGGAAAGTGGGCAGAGTGGACAGCAGAGAAGGGCGGGACGATGGCCGAGGGGAGAAAGGAAGGGAAACATTCGCCTGACAGCGTGCATCTTCTTTGTTTATAAGCGGGCCGGTCTTCTTTCCGTGCGGGGTTGGGACGCCTCCACCAGCTCAAACTCAGTCCCGTCCACTCGTCCACTTGATCACCGCAAGCGCTAGGCACTTGTCCTGCTGGCAGAGCCGGCACGGGCTAGTCCTGTTTTTATCTCGTCCCATTTGCGGGTGGGAGGAATGAAGGGTGTGGAGGACACCCCATCAGACTGGAAACCACGGGCCTGCCTGCAATCCACCTCGGGTGTCCTGTCCAGAGCTTCGCTAGAGACCCCCGGCCGCCGCGGCTGGATTTCTGAACCTTGGCCGATTTGGGGGTATGCAAGGTAGGGTATAAGATGACTGGGTCAACCGTGACTCCCAGCTTAAGCCAATCTCTCGTTGATTTTCGGAAGAAAACACGCCGACGGGTCGCGTCACATTAAGTATAACTCAATCGATAATCCATGATGGTTGCGACAGACACTGAAGCGACCCGCGTCGGCTTCATTGGCCTGGGCGCCATGGGCTCCGGTATGGCGTGTAATCTGTCAAAGAAACCGTCATATCGAGTTCAGGGGCACGATGTTTACCCTCCAAGCGTACAGAAATTCGTTGCGCAGGGCGGTACGTCTGGCGAGTCTCCCAGAGAAGTGGCGAAAACCAGTGATATCCTAGTCTGTATGGCAGTCAACGCACAGCAAATCGATGACATACTTTTTAATGATCAGACGGGTGCTCTGCAAAGTGAGTTGTCCGCAAGCACCTCAACTGCGGGCATCGAATTGACCTCATTCCCGTAGCATTGCCGGCAAACGCTACCATTCTTCTCTGCTCAACGGTGCCGCCGACGTATCATGAGGCACTGGCACCCCGGATTGCGGCAACGGGCCGGCAAGATGTTCTCGTCGTAGACAGCCCCGTATCGGGTGGCACGAAGCGTGCGGCCGACGGCACGCTCAGTATCTTCGCTTCCGGGGCCCCTGCAGCACTACGACGTGCAGACCGCGTTCTGCGTGACATGTCGGAGAAGCTGTACATCATTCCGGGGGGGCCCGGTGCGGGTAGTAAGATCAAAATGGTCAATCAGCTCCTGGTGGGAACACACATTGCTGCTGCGTCGGAGGCGATGGGGTTGGCCGCAAAGGCTGGCCTGAACACCCGTGAAGTGTACAACATCATCACAAATGCCGCAGGTAATTCTTGGGCGTACGAGAATCGTGTGCCGCACATGCTAGACGGCGACTGGACGCCGTTGTCTGCCTTGAACATCTTTGTTAAGGATATGGTGAGCTGCTTCCTCAGTTCCGTCATGAATCTGTGGCTCACGATTTTGAAAAGGGCATCGTCGTCTCAACTGCGAGAGCTCTACAATTCCCGGTGCCTCTTGCGTCGGTAGCCGAGCAGTTGTACATTTCAGGAGCTGCACACGGATACGGTGCAGATGACGATTCCGGTCTCGTCAGAGTGTTCCTTCCGGGGACCCCGAATGCTGTGAAGGAGCAGGCAGGCCAGCTGAACACACAGAAGAAGTTGACTCCAAGCAGTACACCGCTGGAGATTTCCAAGATTGGAATGGTGGGGTTGGGCGCAATGGGCCAGGGTATGGCCGGGTCTCTTCTTCGAGCCGGTTTTGCCGTTCACGGCTACGATGTATACGGTCCGGCGATCGACAAGTTCGCGGCCAACGGAGGCAAGGCCTCCAAGGCCAGCAGCCCTGCAGAGGCAGCCAAGGATGCGGACATCCTGGTCCTGATGGTTCAGAACGCGGCTCAAGCTGATGATGTTCTCTTTGGCTCTGGAAAGGCAGCGGAGACTCTTCCTGATGGCGCTATCGTCATTCTCAGCTCCACCGTCCCCCCCTCATTCGTTCGAGAACTCGAGGCCAAGCTCACAAAGACCGGCAAAGGCTTGAGCCTTATTGACGCCCCTGTCAGCGGAGGCGTGGTCCGCGCCGCGAATGGTACCCTTACAGTAAACTTTCGTCTCATCCACCCAAGTTGACCCTCATAGCTGACTTTTGCTCTCAGATTATCTCTTCTGGAGACGAGGCTGTTCTCTCCAAGGTCAACAGTCCCCTACTGGCGATGACGGGAACTTCAAGCAACCTTTGTCACGTACAGGGGGGCGTTGGAGCTGCGTCTTCAGTGAAACTCATCAACCAGCTACTGGCCGGTGTTCACATCGCAGCCGCTGCCGAAGCTATGGCATTCGCCGCTCGCCTAGGCCTCGACACCAGACGCGCTTTCGAAATTCTTGGCAGCGCTGCTGCATGGAGTTGGATGTTCGAGAACAGGGTGCCACAAATGCTTGATGCCGACTGGACACCACATTCCGCCTTGGCCATTTTCGTCAAGGATCTTGGTATCGTCCTGGATGAGGCGAAGCGTCTCACTTACTTCGCCCCAATCTCGTCAGCAGCTCACAATATGTATCTCGCAGGTGCCTCCCACGGCTGGACTAAAGAGTCTGATGCTGGTGTTGTTAGGCTTTGGGAGTTGACGGGCCTTTCTGTTTCTGAAAATGCTGGTCCCAAGGCCGAGGAGAGCAGTGGCTCGGTCGCCAATATTGCCGGAAATGAAGCAGGACAGGAAGAAGGCCTGCCCGCACAGAAAACGATCGAATCACTACCGGCCGAATACTCGGGCGATGTCATCAGCTCAATTCGCAAGGTGGTCGACAATAGCGAAGTCCCGGTTCTTGTAGTCTTGGACGACGACCCAACAGGAACGCAAACTTGCCACAACATCGATGTCTTGACCGTGTGGGATGCTGCTACACTGAATGACGAGTTCAGCCTCAAACCGACCGGATTCTTCATCTTAACAAACTCTCGTGCACTGCCCTCCGCCGAGGCCAAACAGCTCATTGTGGAGATTTGCCGGAATGTCAAGACGGCGGCCGAGAAGGCCGGCAAAGCTTTTGAAATCGTCCTTCGCGGTGATTCGACACTACGTGGCCATCTTCCCCAAGAGCCTGAGGCTGCTGAAGAGGCGCTTGGCAAGTTTGATGCTTGGGTTGTCACCCCTTTCTTCTACCAAGGCGGAAGATACACGATCAACGACGTGCATTACGTCAAGGAAGGCGACGTGCTGGTTCCTGCAAGTCAAACGCCCTTCGCTCAAGACGCCACATTTGGATACAAAAACTCAAATTTGCGCAAGTATATTCTGGAGAAGTGCGGTCATCGCTTCGATGAATCGTCCTTCCTCTCGGTCACACTTGAGGATATTCGCGTCCGAGGACCCGCAGGTGTCACCAAGAAGCTCCTTTCAGTAGCACCTTGCTCAAACACAGTTGTCATCGTCAACGCTGCAGCAGAGTCGGATATGCACATCTTTGTGGCAGGACTACTCGAGGCCGAGAAACAGGGCAGAAGATATCTTTACCGCACCGGCGCTGCCTTTGTTTCGTCTCGACTAGGAATCAAGGGGATTCCGCCTTTGACCATGGCAGACCTCGGCGTTTCGATCCAGGCCGGGACCAGGCAGCCGGGTGGATTGATCGTCGCCGGCTCTTACGTTCCCAAGACGACGGCTCAATTGAAGGTGCTCAGAGATAGAAGGGGCGACAAGTTGGCAGTGATCGAACTCGACGTCGCCGGGCTCATCGAGTCTGCTGAAGCGGCTGGGGATGTTGTTACTGCAGCTGCGGCCGAGACAGCCAACAAGCTTGCAGCCGGCGAGGACGTCCTGGTCATGACGTCTCGGGAATTGATCAAGGGAGACAATGCGCTCAGCTCGCTCCAGATCGGATCCAAGGTAGCCCGGGCCTTGGTTCAACTCGTGGAGCAGATTGATGTACGTCCACGATACCTCATCGCGAAAGGCGGCATCACATCATCCGACGCGGCCACGAAGGGTTTGAAGATGAGACGGGCTCGAATCATGGGCCAAGCGGCTCCGGGTGTCCCGCTGTGGAAGTGCGATGAGGAGACCAGCCGGCATCGCGGAGTGCCGTACGTCGTTTTCCCTGGAAACGTTGGCTCTGACAGCACGCTCGCCGAGGTTGTCGAGTCGTGGTCGATTGAAAATGTTGCATAGAAAATTTACATAGAAGCAGAGCAAGCGTAGCTTATAGTAGGTGTGTATCAAGTACCGAGGTGTTGAGATATTCTGGATAGTGAATAGACAGAGAATGAAGACCCGTAAGTGTTGGTGGTGTTGCTGGAAGCAAGTGCAGCTGGGAATGTTCGGGGATAACAAATCCGACCGGGTGAGGTAATCAGACTGACGTGACAGAATCTGTACTAGCGCAGGCCCACCTCCATAATCGGGCCAGTCATTGAGCGTTCCATCCCAGGCTCCCATGGTCCACATCTGCGTCTCCAATTCCTCATGTTCAGGACTCCATCAGTGCCTTTCGAGTACTTCGCTCTTAGGTAAACTACGTTGACAAGTCTCCAAGTTATATGACTCAGCTACCACGTATCTCACTTCTGATGGCAGACAGAGATCAAGCCCTTCTCCCTTGTTAGGTGTTCTTCCCAGCGATATTGAAGCTCCCCGTATCATGACTCATCCGCCCCGGTTTTCCCACCTCAATCGATTTAGCCAGACAGCAACTCGCCTCGCAGATTCCACAAGTTGAACGGCCAATATTTTGTAATCTTCACATTAAGCTACGCTTGGGAAACCCTTAGATTCAACCGATGGATAGAAATGGCGGCCTCAGGGCTATATCTCCTGCCAACGAGGCTCCAGAGTCCCCAGAGCTCATCAAGACTGCAGAGGATCTCATCACCCGCTGCAACAGAATATGTGACGAGCTCGAACACATGCGCCTTGCCGTGGAAACGCACGCCGCCAGGGTCAACAATCACTGGCACGCCTACATCCCCGGCTTCAGCACATTTTGGCAGACCAACGCGAACCAACGCACTCGGGCAGAAACCTTGCTTCAACGATGCAAAGAACCACACGAGCCAGGTTCGGAGGCTGAGGGTTCACTGTCTCGAGACTTCAGGCTTATAGAGGGCGAACTCTCATCGTACGAGAACCACTGGTCAGCGATCAAAAAGTGTCGCTCCATCACTTGGTTCCGCTTCGCTGTCCCCTACTCCAAGCCAGATGGGCAACAAAGCTCGGTTTTCGTCAGTGCCATTGTCGATAACGGGCACGAGTGGATGAGGGTGCTCAGCACCACCGAACGGGCTCTTTTGGTCCAGATGGCTGAGGCGGACTTTCCGTGGGACAAGCCCGATGACGAGGATGACGACACCGAGCTCGATGAGGTTGTAAATGATGAAGAAACCCAGATTGAGATTCTGAAGAGTGCAAACCAGCTGTTGGCTGCCGCGCGCGAGATACATGGGGGCTATCGGCATCGTGTACGAATCGTGCTTCCCAATATCTACCGTGGTAATGTACCTGCCATAGACAGGTTCCTGAAAAAGATTGAAAGTCTCGGTGACGAGGAAGTTTCTCTTGCCTTGGAATGCGCTGAAGAGAGTCGGGCTCCGCCCCCGCCTCTCAAAATCGCGATACCAAACCTTCTCAGTCATGGAGATGCTGCAAATGCACCACCGTTGACTCCCCATCTGAATATCGATACCTCCATCTTTGTGGCTTTAACGACAGATATCTCCCACAGCCACAGCTCCCAGCGGAAGTGGCGACCAAAGATTCTGGAAGACGTAGGGGATGAAGCCGAGCATGGTCCCAGGCTCCCAAAGTCCCTTTACCCTCTCCTTCGCGGTCACACGCTTGTCTGCACCCGAGAGGCCGCAGAGACATGTCTGCGGATGGTCTACGACGCGTCGACAGAATCAGAAGTCTCCCGAATAGAGATACTACTGGGGCAAGAAACGCTCAGAGGCAAGCAGGACGACAAGATGACGTTCCTTGAGCGTGTTTTGCGACAGGACGGATGGGCCATGGCGCAAACGGACGTCGAGGCAACGGAGAGGCGACGTCGGAACCTCACTGCAGAACTGCAGAAGCTGTCTTGCCATCCAGTACCCGAAGACCTACAACTCCCCATCCGCATTGTGGAAGACTTCCGCAGGGAACACGTGACAGAAGAGGTCCGCAAGGGTACACTGCCAAAAGTCGCGCTGGCAGTAGAACCTACGCTGAACGAGACGAATTGCTCGTCTTTCCTGTACGGCTGGAAGACAAATTACACGACAATAACATGTAATCGTCATGCTGTGAGACGATTGGGCAACCTCGTCAAGAAGATGCGGTGGTCTCGAGACGCGGAGGCGGCTCCCATCATTGCCATGGACTGGGCTCGTGGTCTTGCCAAGATCCCGTTCCCAGGAGAGGTGTTGGTAGACGGTCCACTGGAGCAGGACTAGAGTGATACCTTTCTCTTTCAATCTCTATCGGCTCCTCTCATCAAGAACTGCTCTGGTGGATGTTTTGGAAAGGTTGAAGGTTACATGCCCGGCAGGGATCGAGATGCGACTGGTAATGTTCACCGCGACGATGCGCCGAGTCAATTGGGCCTACGGAGGCACCCGAGATATTCAAGTAGGTAGATGGTACTAGGCAATTTGTGGGATGTTCTCGGACGTATGCTTGCCCAAGTTGCAAAATGCCGCGGCGACTGAAAGGATCTGTCCTCAAAGGATTCGGTGATATTTGTAAGCTCTTGCGCAAGCGCAATTTGTCAGCACTAGGAACACCCACTAGACAAATGAAGATAAACGTTTTGTATAAGATCAACAAGGCTGATCCCATTCCTTGTTTTAAGATATCATCGTAACAATATCATATCTAGCAAAATGGTTACCATTCCAAACACGCAGGCCGAGGCCCTGGCTTGGCTTAATTATGTGGGTGCAAATGCCATCATCTAGAACACTGTGCTCACTCGACAGAAAGTCTCACGAAATTCACGACTCTCTACGAACCACGGACTTCGACAAGATCTACTCCAAGAATGCCCAACTCAAATTCACAAACTTTCCCATCGCCGAGGGTCTGCATGCTATCAAGCAGATTATGAACTCAGCCTTTGCACAACTGTCGTACATGAAGCATGTCACTCGCCAAGCTGGTAAGTATGAGTGCTAGACGCGGGCCTTTCCGGGTGATACTGAAATCTTCCAGATAAGGTGGACAACAGAATTTGGCTCACCGTGGACATCACCTACCGAGTCAAGGGCGACCCTGACAATGAGGACATTAACATTCCAGCTGCGGGCTTGGTCACGATTGTGACAGTGGGCGAAGAAGCTGGAAAGATTGCGCGATTTGATGTCTTTCTTGATAACACCACTGTCAGAGAAAAGATTGCCGCTTACGCAGAATTGCGATCATAGATGTGTTGGAATTTTTTCTATCATAAGGCGGAGAAAATCTCCTGAAATATTGATCAGGCTGCCAAACTATACGAAATCAAACCTCATTGGGTTGGGTTTAGTTCATGGGCCAAGAGTGCATAACATTTCCAACTTCTTCTTAATCTGGCTGATATTGACAACATGGAATGCTATTAAGACGTTTATAGCGGATGCAAAAATCTTTGATCCTGACCTGTATAGTAAGTAGAATCTCGGCCGCAACGTGAAATAATCTGCCATTGAGATTCGCTGGCATCGAGAAGAGTGCTATGAAACCATCTTTGAGGTGCCATCGGCTTTGCCAATCGGGAAGGTATGAGAGGAGATTGTTTCCTCCATCTCTTGAACCGATATAAGAGCAGATTTTGTTGACTAGGTTTCTTTGCACAAACCCTACTTATGTCGTAGACTTCACTGAACGTCCCATATAGGCGATCGTTAGATGAACACATTAATTGCCTCTCCGGCCGTTGCGAGACATTCAACCTGGTTGGCACGATAACGGCGGGCGATTCTCTGTAGTTGGATAATCATCCCCTCCTACCGCTACTGGTTCTACAGGAAGTGTTTGTCGCTCCGCAGCCAGGGTACACTGATTTACCCCAAGCTCGAGAGGCCTCAATCCGGCAAAGTCAATGGAATATGAAAGACTGTGAGGCATATGAGTGTTTACGGAAGCTTTGATGACCTAATTTACAAAAACAAAGATGGAATGCGGCACAAGGTCATAATTTCCATTTAATCCCGCGGCAGCTTTGACTATTCTTACGACTTAGAGTACACAGTAATGGGCATATGAAGTGGGTAGAAAGTGGCTTGTATTAACCTCAAGTGAATAGAGGAAGAGGTCAAATTTAAATGCTGCGTGATAGTGAGGGCCATATGACAAGCATATGGCAGACGTCTTTGTCTGTGCTGATACTAGGCCTTAGTTCGTGATAAATATTTTACATTAAGAGCAGAAGAGAAGGGAAAAGTGTATCAGTTGTTTCATAGGAGTGCATGAATTTTGAAGAAATTAACTTCCCGCACGTCAAGCTACGATATCAGATGACGATGACTAGTACTCACTTTTCGTGATGCAAAACAGGAATATGGTATCGCAAGGACTTGGCTGGAAGCGAGGACAATTTCGAGCGATTACACACCATGTAATTCTATGAGAGCTTAAGCACACCCAACCAGTGTAGTTAGGCAAGAATCTCCACGCTTTGAGGCCTGATAATGCACATTATCATTGGGAAGGGCAGAGAAGCCACGTCAGCACTGTATGATTCGTAGCCCTGTTTATAAATCAAGCCTTGATTGGTCTTGTCAAGCCTTTGATGCTATCGAAGTAACATTTATGATTGGGTCTGAAAACATGGGTTCTCTTCAAATGCACAACATATATCCTGAAGGTTGGATCACTGCCGTACCAGAATGTGTGGCAGGACCACTGATCACACTGGGGCGGCTGTACATCCTAAGTCGAGGGGCTGCTAGACCTTCAATCGCAAAGTTGATGCGAGTCCTGGTGCTTCTTGCACTTCTTTTCAGACAAATTCGAGGCTGAGTGTGGCCGTTGGGCGTTGGGCAGGAATGATGCAGCGGTGAAGAATCAAGAGGACTGAGGTCGCGCCAATCCTATGTTGACTCTTTTCCGCCTTGTATTGACAATTATTTAATGCTGACTTCTGGCCTCAAATTGAACATGACGGCCACTTAGATGAGCTACCGAAAAGATCATAACGCCATCACGCCTAAAGAAGCAGAAAGGATGTCTCTTCGCACTTCAATTCCAGATGTATGTTGTGCCTCCGTCGAGATCCTACTGTAAGCGGCAGCTACCCTTCTCATCATTTCCCAATGTCTCTCACTCTCCGTCCGAAGAATTTTGACTGGGACCGTCCGCTAGTAAGCTTTAAGTGGGCAGATTCGTCGTTCATCGACTTGTTGATCGACGTCCACGAGGCCGCTGGTACCCCTCTAGAGCTCTTCCTAGGCATTCCCGATCACTCTCCGCGCCATACCAACGAATTTCCAATCTTGAATGCAATTTGTCCGGACGACATACTTCTAGCCATTAGGGAAGAGGCAATTGTGTTCCCAGATCATGTTGTGGTCTGGCTGCACGATAGAAACCTCAATGGGGGCTCTCGTCTTTATAGCGGGGTCAAATCAGCAAGTGAGTTTCACCAACTACTGAAGCTAAAAGTAAGCCAATCCTTACACTGCTCGCATACGACGATGCTGTGGTTGAGTATTCACATAACTATGTGTGCAGCGTTTCGATCAAGATGGCCAGTGCAATGTCACGACCAGATTGATGTAAGCTCAAACTCTGTGTATTGGCAATGCCCGCATCTGTTGACTGCAAATAGGCACATTCCTAATCCTGATCAATGGACACTTGGCCCTCTGATTCTGACGGCTTCTCAGCTGCAGATTCCCGTTTATCGAGAGCTATTCATGAGACATCTGGAGGGGGATAGTCACATTAGAATGTCGTTTTCTGTAAGCCGACTTAACATTGGATCTGACACACCTAGAAGACCGCACTATTAACAATTTCCAGCCTTGTCGAAGGACTTTTGCACTCCAGTTCCATCTGCCATTCTTTGCTTGGCGTAAGTCGAAAGTATCCCGCCGAGACGTGCGATTAACACCGGATGGGCTGCCGATAAGAGAGACAACCGATGTTTCGTTCCTCTCTGCGTCTTTATCAGGAAGTACCGATGTCGAAGAAAACGCGTTTCTTTATGAGGCTCAGAGCTCACTTGCAGTTTTTGGTTGGAATCGTGCGAATTGGACAGCTTGCTCTCTCGCAGATACCTACTTCTATCCCGATGCACTGAATCCGAATAATGAGGAATTCCTAACCTACTACGAGAACGCTGAAGAAATCGAATGGGATGCGATATTAATGGCCGAACTACTGGTTGACCGCTTTTTCTTCAACGATCCGCGGGAGTACTTCCGAATGGCTCTGAGAGTCCGCGGCGAGAAGTGCAAGGATGAATGGAGGAATGTTCTCTACCACATCAAAAGCGGCATCCACAAATATGTAACGAAGTTCTCCCCATCCTTGTTGAAAATTGCAAGTTCTAATCTAATCTCCCTTTCTATTACAGCTGCGCGCTCCTCACCTTCCACGATTGCGACAAAAACAAACACTTGGTAATGCTGAAGATCAAGCAGAAGCCATAGAAAAAAGCGAGGCTTGGGTCAAGGAAGTCAACTCGATTCTGACCCGTCTCACTGGAACGTTGTCTAAAACAATCATGGCGTGGGATACCTTTTCCCTTCGGGACGCAGCGCTTATTGAGCGATCTTTTGAGCCGGAAAGCTCTCTGCATGCTGAATTCCAGCTTCACGATATTGCGGTACTGGCCGACGAATTCAAAAAGATCCAGGTCGATCTAAAAGACCTCGAAAGCTTGATTGAGAAGTTCAAAGCACAGGCAAGTATCTCCTGCTGGAAGTCTAAACTGGCAGATTTTCTGACGCTCGAGGTTCAATAGTTGAGCTTACATGTTGCCGTCGGCGGCAACAGAGCGATTATGCTCCAGCAATGGAACATCACTCTGGTAAGTGGAGCCTTAGTTCTTCATACCTTGAATGCATATGTGTACCATTCATAGAAAGGCCTCCCACTGACAAAAATTTACTTGCCACTTTCAGCTGCAGTTCGTATCACCGCTAGCTCTCGCTGGAAGTATTATGCAATCAGGCATTGTCTTCAAGCCGGCTATCCTATGTTTTACTGTCCTGACAGTAGTATTAAGCATCATAACATATGGTTTGAGACCGGCCATGACGTGGAACTCCCAGAGACACATGATCAAAGAAATCGAAAGCAGGAAGGAAAACACCAAATTGTGTGATTCAGTCGTAGAATTAGAGGCATGGAGCTCTGGGGCTCTCCAGTCCGTCTTTTTTAGGCCACCCCGAAATCGCCTGACACAAAGTCAAACACGAGAAGGACTTGTCTAGACTGACAGAAGTGCACTCGCTTGTAGGATAGCTAAGACCTGATAGAGTTCAAGTTTGAATTTAGTCTTAATACGTAAGGCGTATTCTCATTCTACATTGTTCACGCACAAGTGAACACGCATATCTTCCTCGCTTCTTGCCCTCATGCCTTTACCTTCCGTAAGGTACCGAATCATCATGGGACTTTTAGACGTTTTGCTATGAAAAGTGAAATGAAAATTTAGGGTTTAAGAGAGAATCTATGATGAGTATTCACTCAATCATCAACCCTTTCTTCAAAGTCTCAGCCCTTTCTTATTCATAGCCCGAAAAACACAAGATTAATAACTCATCAGGTTGCTCTTTTAAATCCGTCAGTATATTGAGCATCTGATGAATTTGCAAAAAGGATGTATCCATGTGCCACCGGTCGGTGTGTTAATTGTCCAGTCTGCCTTGTACCCCGAACTCGCGTGAAGTATTTTGATAATTTTCAGCGGGTAAAGAATTACAAAATACCTGATTATTGGGCCCTTCTTCAGCGTGGACTGGGATTGTTTGTCTGATATGAAAATACCACATCCCTTCCGAGTACTATGAAACGAAGTACGCTAAAATCGTGGGTGAAATATTCTCTATCATTCGCTGTCTCTTTACAGCAGGACAAAGGTGGCTGAGCAAGGCATACCCAGCCACAAGCGCTTCTTGGGCATCTGTGGTACATGCTGCGGCATATTTTAATGTAGGCTAGCACGTGGGTAGGTAAGGTATCACACAGAAACCTGTGCCTTCGATCATCTGACTTCAGCTGTACTTGGTAACAGTGCAGGCTTCGACGATGCCGTCGGATGCCCGGCTGTCAAATGCTACCCTTTTTTTCGGTTTTTCCCGTACTGGGAAATCATCAGGGGATTCGGTGGCTGGTAGATGTCTCACAATTCCGGTCTCGTAATTGTAACAGCCATCTTCTGACCCCGAAGGACTCACCCAGCCCCCTCTGGTTCATATTGAAACTGCGCTTACATAGAAAACTTCTCTTTGGCTTACCTGGCTTCGGTGACTCAACCCGAGAGATTGAACACGTATCCGGAAGCGTTCAAGCCAGAATGGTCACTATATTTGAGATGTGGTTCACGAAGGAAATCGTCTTTGAGTCTTGAAATTCTATGGAGAGCATACCAACGAGGTTTTAGCGATCAACGGTTATGCCTAAAAGCATAAAATTATGTGGTTGGCGGTTTCGTTAGGGCGGCCGTAGGATCAGTCCGACGAAATCTCTACCTTTGACATAGTCGCAAACAGCTTGCGAACGTAGAATTACTTAGTCGTAAGAAACTCTAAAATACGTCATGGTCTAATTACAATTTGTATCGATGAGGGCTGTACACGACTTTCCCTTCGTCATGCATCTCGCCGGGCAAGAGTTGCAAACGTTCGTACGCATAAGAACGGCTTGGCTGCCCGCCCGCCGCAACACAATCGGTCTAATGAAAACGAATCCCAGACAAGAATCATATACAGCTGCATATCGAGTTGGTCAGACATCAGTCCTCCAGAAACTAGAAGAGTTCGAAACACGAAAAATAATACAGTATGGAGTTTCTTGGCTAAGGCTCAGCCGGTTCGCTACCAATCGATTCTAATGAGCCAGTGTTGCTGGGGCCCCGGCCAATGAATCTCTCCATACTCTGGCAATGTGTATGCTCCCCGAAAGATTTCCAGTGGCTGTTTCTTTGCTCACCTTCGCCATTCACAGTGCTACTGTGGTCAAGGATCAATAGGTATCAGTGTGAGGATTTGTTATAATTGTAACACGCCACGATGCGCGTACTGTCAGGTCACCAGAGTCAGAACCAAATCCTGGGACGATTGTCACTCGAAAGCTTATTTTCGTAACGTCTGAATGAGATATCGGAATTCTCTGACTACGGAAGTCAACCAAACTTTGCAGGCTCAATAGTACAAGTCATTAAGGGAGCTAAGGAGAGAATCATCCTACTTTTACGAAGCATCAATAGCCACGATGCGGAACCTCCTTGAATTCACTCATTTATCTCCATGTTTAGTGATAGACTGATGTAGAACCTGAAGAACGACACTATTACACACAGCCAATCATAACATTTGACTTTATTGGTGTCGTATCACAGAAGATTCAACCGTATGGTTGACTACTTTAGGCAACGAAGGTTACGGTAGTGAGTATATAATATCTATATGAGGTGGAAGTAAGGGCTTAGCGCTGAAGGCCCGAAATCGTCCTCCAGTTTATAAGGGCCGCGGCGGTGGATCCGTTGGACCCCCTGACTCACCAGTCGAATTGGACTACTATTCCGACAGTCCTCTTGCGTACATATGCATAATGCGCATGCAAGAACCCTCTATGCCCACGTGTCGGGCACTGTTTCCATTTGGCATTGTCATTATCTTAGGTACCTACTGAATACAGCTGTGTGACTTCTGGGTTGGAAATATCTGTGTGAAAAGAGCCATCATGGAATTATTGGCTCTCTGTTCACTTTCTGGATGAGCTACTAGCCTTCTGGGAGTCCCTTGGCCCATAAGAGTACTGTCCGCCGACATCGTACTTCTAAGCCGATTTTCAGGTAATTTGCTGACCGTGTTATTATGTCCTCTTTCATGACCATGACATCAGGTTGAAATCATGTGCCAAGCCCCCTGCACAATTATCTAATTATCCATATATCGTGCCGAAGATCTTCAGGCAAGTTTGTGAATATCGCATCGCCCCCTCCTGCGTCTGACGCCACCGTCGGCCAGAAGATTCGACGTTTCAAGAATCCCTGCATGATAGATACCGATACCCTACTACTAGTGACATAGCTCTGCAGGGCATGCCACGTTTTTGGCTATGAATCTGGTACTACGATGGATGTACCTCCTTCTTCGTAACGCAATGTCATGTGAACCAGACTTCCGAGCACTGGCCGACCTCCATTGCTTCCTAATTTACTGCTCTGCTCATTTCCCCTGATTCTTTTCGAAAGAAAAGAAATCCATCCTGAGCACATAAGTAAGTATCAATACCGCGAAGCCAGATCATCTGTGTTCTCACTTGCTCCTTCCACCTGCAAATTAACATGAAGGTCAATTCTTCAAAATACTCTAAATGCACACCCGGCCACGAGTTCACTGATCAAGCACCCGATTCGTTGCAGCTTGCATGCGACTCACTCCATCAACTGAACACCGCAGCAAGCAACAAGATGACAGATCTCACCTGCAGCCAATGTCACAGTGCTTCGCCTTTTTCAGGCGCTCAAGCTACCCAATTGACTCTGGATCCAAGCACACCTTTCTGCGGGCATCACCACCTTCATGTTGTGGAGGGGTACACCGGCTACTTCCCTCCACAGGGCCCTCTAGTGGTGCAAAGGGGTCCGAGAAGAAAGCAGGTTTATCTCTGGTCTTGTGTGAGTAGCTACTGGCTAAGCCCTCTGAGATGTCTCTAAGTTGGACGTGTTGTAGTGCGCTTGCGGCCAACCCGGCATCCCGATTCGGAAGGAGTCATGCTTAGAGTGCGACTCCCCTCGTTGCGCGTACTGCCAAGTTGCAAAGGTTAGAACCTAAGCGTCGAGCTTTCTTGGGCCCAGGTTAGAAGCCATCATGATGGGCTTTGAAGGGATGGGTACTGTCATACATCATGGCATGAGCGGCAGTGAGCACAACAGCAAAGACAGTCATGGGCGCAGCTTACGGTGGCATCCCATCCAACTACTATATTTTCAACATAGTGTTACCTGCTTAGGGCCTGTTTCTGGGAAGTTCATAAACTCCTGCCATCAAATTGGAATCTTGCACATCTATGTTTTCTTGCTCTCACAACACGTTCCTTCCGAATTCCCGAGTTGTCGGGCCATCTCTCGCTCAACGAAAGGTGTATATCAGATATCTCCTTTATAGCCGTATTCCCCAACTGATCACCCGCGCGCACACACCTGGTGGTGGCAGAAGCTTCAAGGCTTGGTTGCCTTCGGCGCCTTGCTTGCCACCCAACTTTGGGCCATGTACGCATTCTTCGTTAGCACTTTCTCATTAAATCCATACGCTGCATTCAGGTCAAACACTTGTTCTCCATTCAGCGTCACCTCCCCACAGCCAGGCTTCATTTCCAAGAACTCGAACCCAATGGCCTTGGCCACTGCAACTATCTTGTCGAGCGAAAGTTTGAACGAAAGGACCGGTCCCCCACATGAGAGGTCCAATGTTGATCCAATAGCCTCCAGGCTTCAAGACTGAATGAATGGTGTCGAGGTACCTTATGACGTTGCGCGCCGTATTGATAAAGAAGTGTGTGACCACAGCATTGTACCGTACAGTCTCCGACTGGAACCGCGTAGTGAAATCACCCTCGACGAGTAGCACAGCACTGGCGTTTACTCGCCTATCAGGCAAGGACACCCTGTGAAACATGTCTGCAGTGGTCGCGTGATGTGACCATCCTTTCACAAAGGGTTGGATCGCCTTGGCAGTCGGGCGACGAAGAGCCTCAAGGTAGCGATAAGCGAGATTCATAAACATGTACCACTCGTTGCTGGTAACCTCAAAGCCTCCGAGCGCGGATATCTCGTGGCCCAGGCGGCCAGCGCCGGATCAAGAGAGAAGCACTGTGACGTCTTCCTTCTCGGAGCGATCTGGGAAAAGCGTGGCCAGCGTGTCGAGAATGCAAGGAAACGCGTCATCCCGCTCGCCACGCCCGGTACTTGACCAATCCCTGACAAAGTGCCTCAGAGCCTGGGACGTACTCACTCTATGGGCAGGCTGGCCAGCATCGTCCTTGGCTTTAGCGTGGTCCGTAAGCTCCTGGTGACTGGTTCCGCAAAACTCAAGCGCCGACTCAATAATTTTCTCGCATAGAGCCTGATTCACATCAAGCAGCTAGTCTGCCGTTTCAAACTTCTTTGAATACCGGACAGCCATGTCGAGAACATACAGAATCAACGACCAGCGGGCGTTTTGGCCCAGGGGAGAAGTTTCAGGAACCGCATGATGGCCACTAACTGCTCTCTGAGTCTTGGACACATGCTTGTACAGCCCCTTCCACCGGTTCAATTCCGCCATCTGGCGCGCCTTGTACCGTTCAAAGCCAACCAGAGTATTGAGAAGTCGGTGGCGGGGGTGGGTGATGTCCCACTTGCCGTGGGACTTGCTCATTCGCTTCATGAGACTCTTCTTCTCCTGGTCATGGCGCGGGCTTGTCTGGGATATCCTCGACGATGAGTGTGACTCTGTGGGTCTCAACAAATGATCCTTCAGGCATCTGCAGTACCTAGTCAATCACCACCATCATTCCATTTTGTTGGGCACACAAACTCTTGATCGAGACTGGCCTCTTACCGCCGCCAAGGCCTTTTCTGCGCCCAAATTATTGTCCACAACAACTCTATTGTCTGCAACCTTTCGAACACTTTTCGCCTCGGCGCTTACAGAGAGGACGCCATAGGCGAGATTCAAGGCAGCCCGTAAGGCAATATGAGACAGCCTCATTGAAAAAGCAAGCACTGCTGACCGAGTGGCGTGGGTTTAAAATTAGACCGGCTGTGATTCGTCGGAGTGAAAGAAAATGGCGTTCAGAAAACACCTGGAATCTTCCAGTCGCTTTCGAATTCGACTGGAAATTACGTGAAAACAAACGGTCGCTGTACTTCTGATTAGGTAGAGAGAAGTAAAATTCACCACCATCGTCCGAATTTGGAGGAAATTGAGCAGCTGTGCTGTCACTCTGAGTACCTTGATAGATGCCAAGAGAACAAAAATTAATGAGGCTAAGTCTGCCCAACAACGCAAAGTCGTGAGATTTCCTATGGTATCCTGCCCGCAAGATCCTATGAGTTCCCCATCAAGATCTTGCTCCATCCCTAGATCTGTAATCAGCATCTCGCTTTCATCATATCCTATTATGCGTGGCCAATAGTCCCATTCATGAGCTTCCCCCTTCGCAGTCACCGCGTCTTCCTTCAAATACTCATTCAAGCGATCGCACATCTTGCAGTTCTCCAACGGAAAGCTAGCCGCTAGATACTTGAGCTCCTCTTCCAACTTGCCCTTGAACAGCTCCGCAAACTCCTAGCCGGCATACTCGCTCATCAAGCACTCTCGCATCACACGCTCGCCCTGCCGATCGAAATTACATACCTTGGGGGACTTCTTCTTGAGCAAGTGCGTGGGAATCTGCTTCTTGTGATCAGCTCATAGAGGTTCACTGCGTGACCGACCTCGAAACACAAACCTACAAACATCATCTCCCTCCGGAGACTCAGCGAATGAGGGACTCGGAGGAGGCGAACCTGCCCACTGTTGTGCCTACTCCTCGTATTTTGGCACTGCTGCGGCCATTACCGCGAAGTATATTTGGCGCGTGGGATGTTCTTTCTGGAGGCCTCAACTACCATCTCGACTTTTTACTGCCTGGTTCGATATCGTGTCCGAGTTCCTCATCCATTATGAAGTACCTCGTGCTTCACTGCCCTTCCTGCACAACATCACAAATGTACCAAAGCAACTTGAAGGCAATGAATCACCCGGACGAACTGTATCCACAGCTTTCACCTGCGGTTGCCGTCTTATGTCAGGGGACGTCAACTAGGCAAGTTTGATTATTAGCTGGTAGAATATCTGCTTTTCTTGGGCTTAAAGGCTTAGAAGTCTATCGAAAGCGATCCAATGTTTTACACTACGCCTCGTTCATGGTTCCCCAAGGGCCGAGCTGCATTTTACAAAAAAGCGCCAGGCAAAGCAAAAGAGGGTATGTGGAACGAAACGAGCTCCATGATGTTCACAAACATCTCTCGAGGCAGCTGTGATAAACCTCAGGAGGCTTGCCTTGAATTTCTTATTACTTAGCCCTCGTTATACTTTGCTGAGCATCGAGCTCTCCTTTGAATGATTACATAATCAGAACGATGGGTCTAAATGACTGTAGCCTTCGGAAAATGCTCCGTATCCCTGATACTTCGTTTACTGTCACCTCCCATCTCCGGGCCTGTAGTTATGACTCTGTAGACTCAGAAGAATTTGTAGGTCAGGAGTTTGCCCGCTTTCGCAGCTTGGTAGATCTCACGGGCGGTCTTCTAGATGCTACGGAATCACGGCATTTTTCAGCAACGTCAGATTTCCATGAGAGAAGTAGTAGACCCGGGGCTTGACAAATTGGCTAACAATAATATCAGATTCTAACGTAAAGTGAGTGCCCGAGCCACAAATGCCGACGAAGACTTCCAAGATACAGATGGTCATGAGGGGAAGTCAACTTCTCGGGAAAATTGAGCCGGATTTTCGGGCTAACGATCAAACAGTCCCACGCCTCACCCCAAGGGACAGATGAAATTTGAGGATTCTTCCTACACCTTATAACTCTCGATTTCAATAGCTTCAAAGTCTCTATAGTAATTACAAGCTAGGATGGCTGGAGGCTAAGTCAGTGACTCCGGTTTCTGTGACATCGTGTTCTTTCGGTCATCTCGACGCTAGTCCGCAGGGTAGAGCAGCTCGTTGTCTGAGCAGTGTGGTGCTATTGCACAGGGAAAGTGAGTAAGGAGTTGGGAACAGTAAATGAGCATCAACACCAACGCGCCGCAGAGTTGATACTTTTCAAAAAACGAAATGATTGACTGGAAAGTTACGAGTGAACAGCGAACCCCGCCGTTTCTCTCTCAAACATATCATAACAAGTCTCAGGTTGCCCTCGAAAAACTACAACCCTTTGATGGCCTCCACTTGTTCCATGATTTTCCCAACATCCTTTTCTGTGCTCTCGAGATTGCTGTGTACGAGGTCTTCAACCCAGGGGCCTCGAGGGGTGAACAATGCCTCGAAAGGATCAGGCCCAATGACAATACCCATTGGCAGCATAGACATCGGATCAATCATCTGCTTCTTCAAAGTGACTGGATCAGTCGGTTGCTCGAGCCTGAACGCCCAGATGAGCCGTGCAAACAAGATCCATAGTCCTTCTCTGCCCACATGTCTACCCGGGCAAAGTCGCCTCCCGTATCCAAAGGCAGTCTTTGGCAAATCTTTACTTTCAAGCCACCTCTCAGGCCTATAATCATTGCAGTCCGCGCCATACACGTCCTTATCTCGAGTGATCGCCCACTGAGAAGGAATCACCGTAGCTCCTTTGGGGATCTTGTACCCCTTGTACTCATCTTCCTCGACGGCTGCATGGTCCATGCCAGCCGGTAGGATCGGTCGCCACCGCAACACTTCCTCAATCATGGCGTCGACGTAGGGCAGTTTCTCTCGGTCTTCGTACACGGGCAAGCGATCGTGCCCAACGATTTCGTCAATCATGGCCTGCGCTTTGAGCAGAAAGTGTGGATATGTCAACATGGCAATGACAAACCAGCAGAGAATAGCAACGCTGGTATCACCATTGGCCAGAGTCAACGCCCCCACAACCCACGCCTGCTCGGTCTCGCTCATCCCCGTGTCCAGTCTGTCGGTGCTGCTGGCAACTTGTTTGCTGAGGTTATAACCAGGTCTCTTCAAGGCGCTGCGAAAGTTCGCCAAGTGATGTGCCTCCTCTCGTTCGAAGAGACTTTTTGCGGCTCGTTTCCACGGAGAGATTGTGTATGGAAGATTCCTAAGCCAGGGGAAGGTATCATACCATGGGGGTATGGACTTCAAGACTGCTGAGGTCGGACAAATGTCGAAGAAGTCAATCTGTGCTTCATGCTCGAGGTTGCCCCTCATAAGGCGGTAGCCCCAAGCTATCACGCTCACATTGCTTGATGCCGCGCGTCGAAAATGCCAATGAGGATCCAAAGCAGCTCCCTCTTTTTCTTCGCCACTTTTCTCCCCTATCTCTGAAAGCAGATCATTGAGTAGCTGAAGCGATTCCAGCTCGATAATGGGATAGTACAACGCCGCCGAGCGAGGGCTCAGTCCTTGAACATGAAGTCGTTGATGCAGCCGGAGTTGAGCATCGTATTGTAGAAAGAGCATATTATATTTTTTACAGACGAGCTCTCCTGCGTAAGGGCTGAAAGACCTTCCCGAATAGTTGCTCGCTCGCTTGTTCAAGAGGTCATGAGCCGCCTCGACCGTAGTCAAGACGATGTGGGACTGTCTTCCCTCTCTGTAATGCACGACTGGTCCGTATTTGTACTTCCATTGGTAATGAATCATCCAGCTGAAAGGTTTCTCTGGCTTGTTGAACAGATTTCCAAGAATGGGTAGCTGCGGCGGTCCAGGAGGCAAGGGCAGGCTTTTGTTTGCATGCCGTTGTGAGGTTCGTCGAATGTGAGCAACTAGTAGGATGAAGACACCACAAGCTCCGACGAAGATTAGTGAGACCATGGACAACGGCTTGCAGACCGAAGACATATTTGTAACGGTAAGAGGCTCCATATTTGGTTGTTTGAGTTGTTACTTCGAGTACAATAAGAGTCATTTGGTCACAACGTGCACGAAATATGAAGAGACAAAGAGCGGAAAAGTTCGCGTCTAGTAGCTAGAACCTCCTTTTGAAGGCCAGGCATTAACTCTTTATGTCGTGAAACATCATATGCGTATCATAAGTACGTATGACGGAGAAATTGGCTTTTCGTGTCCAAGAGCCTTATTTCTCACCCACATTTCGTGTAACAGAATTTTGCGTAGACGACCGCATACATCACTTCACTCACTGGCACAATGGGGGTTCCCATTGGTCGCCATTTGGAGAAAGCTCGCAGGAGTTGCTTGGGTTGAGATAATGGCACAGTGGAACTATCTAATGCAAACATAACATATCCAATTGGATGGTAACAGATGAGAGTCCATCGCCACTCCCAGCCCGCAGCGTAACAGCGCATATTCGTGTTACAACAGCATCTCGGCCATCGGACCCCTTTCAGACACGGTCCGTGATTTCCCCTCCTCCAACAACATCAAAGAACGCGTCGGCCAGATATCCCCCACGGGACGTTGGCTTCCCGTACTTATCAGTAGCCATGCCGGCAATGGCGGGAGCAGCCACGTCTCGCATGTAACCGGCAATGCCTCCCTTCGTGAACTTTTCCGCAAACTGCTTGGCGTGCAGGCTCAAGCCCTGCGTGGCCCAGATTGGCTGCACCTGCCATACGATACCCATCTTGGCAATATCCGCGGGGAATGTCTCTACTTCTTCCGCCGAGTATCCGCCTTTACTAAAGTCGTATGCGCCAGTGTATCCAAAAGCGAAGAGACGGTTGGGGTAAACTTCTCTCAAGGCGGCATGGAAGTCGTGCATATCCTTCTTGTCTATGTGGTCATCATCTGTCAGCACACGTTTTGGGGCATCGTCAACCCTGTTCGTGGAACATACTCGGTTTATCTACAGCAAGTTAAAGTCAGGCAATTGGATGCTGAGAGTGTGGATGGACTTACCTTGACGGCTCCATGTAACGTCTCCTAGAGGGGCTGCGAGAATGCATCGGTCGATGACGGCCTTCGTACTCCATTGCCACATGTACTGACCAAGAGGAGTCCTTGGGAGTTCCCAGTCGAACATGATTTCTTCTCCGATGATATGCTTGGCAGCGGCTCGTCGGGCTTGCAAAGCCACAGCTGCGTCCCCAATCTCTGCAATGTAAGCGTTGTATTGATCTTCCGTCGCGACGGATTTGACGGCCTCGTCGAAGGTCATCAATCCTGCCGAGGCTTTCCACTCATCCTTTACAGTCAAATAATTCTTTCCCTCGGTCTTCCCAGCCTCCAGAGCTTGAATGAAAGAAGGGACCGGGTTGGTAGCTCCAAGAACATACGGGTGGTCTCGGGGGTCAATCACACTACCAAATGATTAGCCAAGGTTCAAAATCCAAGGGATTCTTACAGTTGCCTATCCTACCTGGTGATAAACTCGGCATGATCGCTGTCACAACGGCATAGAAGCATAGTGTCCGCTCTAGCAACCCAGAATTAGTGCATTTTTCCTCATCTGTTTTGACGCGTACTGACCCCATGATGTCAAAAGTCATTCTGACAGTTGTCAACCTGGACAAGTAGTCCGACGTAGGAACAATTGTTCGACCCTCGCCATTCGTAAACTTCTTCAAACCCATTGCGAGGTCGTCAATATGAATCATAGCAACGCCAGCTTCCACAAAGCTCCGAGTCAACTTCATACATCCGGTCAGAGTCCCGAATCCCATGTCAGCATCCGCGACGATGGGCAACATGTAGTCGATGCACTCCAACGCCTCTCGGTCGGCTTCGGAGTATCTCATACGCAGTTGGGTCTGGCGCTGGTCGTGAAAGAGTTGCGTGTTGAAGATGCGCTTCACGACGGATGGAACCAAGTCGGCAGGGTAATCTGCGTGGTCTTCGCCTGGCCAAGTTGCCTGGGATAGACCACAGAGGGCCCCAGATACATAAACGGTTTGCACTGATCGTGTACAAGTCAGCACAAAAATTGACGGCAACCCTTGAACAACTTACTCGAGTTCGCCATCTCCTTTGCAATGAGCGGCTCAGTGGTTCCAAAGGTCAACTCGTACGTGCCATTCTCATTGTGTTCGTTCAAGATGCGCCAAAGCTTCCTACCTTGGACACTAGATGGGTACTCAATCTTGAATCCAATGTTTCGTAAGGCGGCAATTGACTTTGCTGTGTATGGTCTAACATTTGTCAGTGCTTTCCACTGGTTCCCGTTCAGATCCGTGGATATCCTCTTACCGTTTGATGTGCTTCTGTCTGTCTGATTGCCACCAAGCTTCTATGCCACGTACCTCTGCTGCGAAAGCTTGGCTCTCAGACGTAATATTGTTCCACTTTGGGTACATTTTGATTCACAACAGATCTGAACAATTGTTTTTCCAGACTTTTTTGACAGCGAGAGGGGAGGCTTGCTATCTGTGGCCATCGATGGTACGACTGGGATATGGCTTCTTTTGTTTCCACTTCCATGCCACAGGATCCAGTGACTAGTATCTAGTGATATCAGCCCGCTCTCAAGATATCACGGTTAAAGATACCCTACTATCTCTTATTTCCTATCAAAATAAAGCATAAGTGAGCCTGCGATATGCCGTCCGGCGGATAAGCGATAGCGATGAGGCCATCCGTCGGCGGCATCGGTATCCTTTCGGAGTCGCTAGCCTAGCGCCCGATGTGGAATCAAATGTCGGGGCCCGCCCGATAAGACCGACGCATAGGAGGTGGAAGAGGGGGGGGATGTCCACCTGTGCATTTCAAGAAGCCAACTGACAAGACCAAGTGAGCTTTATGAGACTCATCCGCTTAACCATCTGGTTGTCTAAATTCTACATAGACTTCACAATGAGTAGCAATAATACCGCCGCAACGCTCTCGAAGCCGCCTTCGCTCATCAACCTGCAGTTGGGCTGGCCCTCGCCCCGTCTCTTCGCAGCAAGCGCTCTCTTAGACGGCGCAACACAAGTCCTGACCTCGGAATCCGAAACCGCTGCGGCGCTCATCTATGGCCCTCACATTGGCCACCCTCCCCTCCGAAAGAGCATCGCAGAGTGGCTCTCGTCCGTTTACGGCACAGAGATAGACCATGAGAGAATCTCCATCAACAACGGCGCGTCCGGCAACCTGGCCAATGTCCTGCAAAAGTTCACAGATCCCCTCTACACGCGCAAGATCTTCATGGTGGAACCGACGTACTTCTTGGCCTGCCCAATCTTTGAAGACAACGGGTTCCAGGGCAAGCTCGCAGGTGTGCCCGAGAACGGCAAAGAAGGCCTCGACGTCGCCTTTCTGCGCCGCGAGCTTGCCGCCGCCGAAACAAGAGCCGTCGAGGATGCAAATAAACTCGGCCGACCCGATATTCCCACCATCAAAGTAGGGAAAACGTACCCAAAGATCTACAAATATGTCATTTACATAGTTCCCACGTTTTCGAATCCCAGCGGAAAGACGCTTTCGCTCCCGATTCGCAAGGAACTCGTGGCCCTCGCCCGAGAGTATGACGCTCTCGTCGTATCAGACGACGTCTACGACTTTCTGAGCTGGCCCGAGGATTCATCTGCTCCAGATGACGCAGTCGGTGCCGTACCGCCAAGACTTGTCGACATAGATCGCAACATGCCCGGCTACGGTACTTGGGGAAACACCCTCAGCAACGGATCTTTCTCCAAAGTCATCGGGCCTGGTATCAGAGTCGGCTGGGCGGACGGTACGCCGGCGTTCGCCAAAGAACTAGCCGAGGTGTAAGTAACAGCTCAAATATTTCCAACACAACGGAACACAGAGGTCCAAACTAACTCCTGTGTAGAGGATCTTCGAGCTCCGGCGGCGCACCCTCTCACCTCACATCCACATTTGTCGATAAAATGCTGCGGAGCGGCAATCTGCAAGCACATATCAAGAAGACCCTCATACCTACATATCGTGAGAGGTACTACTCCCTAATGACCTCTATCCGCAGTGTCCTAGTAGCATTGGGCGTCACGGTGGAAGTCAGTAACGCTGAGAGTGCCGCAGAGGCAACGGCAGGAGGGTTCTTCACATATCTTCGGCTTCCAGAAGACCTCCCAGTGGCACGTACAGTGGCCGCTGTCGCTCTGAAAGAGAAACAACTCCGCGTCGCATTCGGACATATGTTTGTTGTCAGTGGAGATAAAGGGAGCATTCAGAGAGCAGAGTTAGAAGATGGATTTGCCAGGTGCATCAGACTGTGCTGGGCATGGCATGAGGTAGCTGAGATCAAAGAAGGTATCGACAGACTGGCTGCTACTATTGTCGATATCAGATCTAGGATAGAAGCTGGGGAGGATTTCAGTGAGCAGGTTTCTATCGGAATCAGGTAGCCACGAAAAAGAAGCATTCTGTATCGGGTCACTAAATGGACAGCCGTTGTTTACCACAGGGTCCTTTTACACACAGACACCGAGTTTTGAATCTGAATGATGGTACATAGACTTTCGCTTCGTCGGCCTCATGGGCGTTCAGGAGAAGAAGACTCCATTGGGTGATCAATACGCTACCTTAGACGCATCCTAGGCCCCCTCTGGCGTCAGCTGCTCAAGAAAGAACCCGATTGATTGATTCCAGTTACCAATTCGTTTATCCGCTGCCCTTTTTTGAGAGGGGAGAAAGACATAGCCTCGTTGTTGGAGCGCTAATAGTTGCTTGGAAGACCCATCGAAATAGTCAATTTTCTCTTCTCTGAACCAGGAACATCTGTTTCCATAGCACTTGTTTTAATTGGAGATCATGTGCGACTGTGTAGCAGTATAGTATTCATTCTATCAGCGCGACTCAATTTTAATGAAAATCGGGTAGGTTGTTACATCTCATCCGACAAGGATCGCCTCGATGAGATTGCACATGTAGATGTAATCAAGAACCACGCGGGCACCTGTGACATCTACCGCTTAAATATCCCCAAAAACATCAATCTTGCAGATCAGATGATGCTAGAAGAGTTTTGAACTGGTTCAATGGCTCCAGAAAGCTTACTCTCCATTTCCTTCTCCTTCTTGTCGCCTTCATCTTCCACAGCAGTCTCAGAGACGGGCTGTTCGCCAGCAGCACGCATTTCTTGTCGTAGCTGACGCTTGTGCAGGAAGTCTGCAATGACTAAGGAGGAGGGAAATTTCTTCTCAGCTTGTGTCCCATGCCGTACGTGGTAGTCTCAAAAAGAGGGATGGGAACTTACAAACGAGTACGACGGCAGCGAGAGCGAATGAGAGGATGGAGGGAAAGCCTCGCTCGAATTTGGGCGCCATGGTCTGTGGGAAGATGAGAATGGGGAGGAACGAATCTGTTTCGTTAGACATCGTATTTCCAGGCTGTATGAGATAAACTCACTGGTTGCGTAGAATAGCCCGTTCATGCTGGAAATAGTCAAAGCACGCTCTTCCGCGTTGCCATTATTCACCTCATTTGCCCAAGTCTGTGGCCCCCCTTCGTCAGCCTCATTGCTGAACAGTTTGTAAACACACAAACTCTACTATCAACTTACCCAAGTAACAGCCGTGACATAACCGCAAGAAACGAGGAAGAAGCCGGCGACTCGTGCAGCATCTGTTGCAGGGTACGCAGTAAGTATGGAAGAGCCGACGACTGTGGTGCCCATCTAATATTGCCCACCATCAGTGACTGAGAGTTCAACGTTTGTCAGAAAGGAGGGGTGTCACTCACCAGAGGACCAATGATCCACAAGGGTCTGTTGCCAGTCATGTCCGACATGAAGCCCCATGCAAAGTCCGTGAACATCGTGACGAGGTTGGCGCACGCCGGTATGACGTTGCGCTGGGTGACGCTGTATCCGTTCTCGCCTACAGTCGTGTCAGTTGAATGCCGTGTGAAGTAAAAGAGCTTCCAGGGCGCTTGTCTTACGCAGGTAAATGGCAAAGTAGTTGTTGGCCTGGCACGAGTTACCGTACTATTTGATGCGCAAAAAAGTGTTAGCAGGCTCCATTCCCTCACATTGGATATCTCGGATGATTGAGAGCAACTCACAAAGATGTACATCAGGCACAAGATCCACCAGCGCCAGTTCCCAAGCATGCGCTTGAGGAGCTTCACGTCCACAACGCCCGTGATCTCCGCCTTGCCCTGCTTCGCCGCGCGCTGCATCGCAATCTGCTTGTCCTCCTCGGTGATGTACCACGCAGTCGTATTGTGCGGGTAGTCAGGCAGCAGCCACCACACGGAGAGAGCCACAGGCAGAGACATGCAGCCGCAGACTATATATGTGTATCCTCACTCGTCAGCCAACTTTGATCCAAGCTTTCTCCCCCTAATACTATGCAGTGCACTTACCAATGTACATCCACCTCCACCCAGCCATCCCCAAATGCCCATTCAGAGACTTATGGATGCCCGCCTGCAGAAACCCAGACGTCGCCTGGCCAAAGAAGCCGGTAATGTGCCAAATGGCCACGCGCTTCGCCAGCTCGGGCTTGGTGTACCACGACCCGAGGAGGAAGATGATGATGGGCGAGAAGCCAGACTCAAAGAGCCCGATCATGAAGCGGAAGGCGTACATGTGGTTGCTGTTCTGGGCCGCTGCCTGCGCGAAGCTTTTCAAAGTCACAAAGAGCCATTAGCAATTCATCCCATCCTGTTTTTTTTTTTTTTGCAGAGCTTGCGGCGTACGTAAAGGCGGTCCATCCTACTTCGCAAAAGACGATGCAATAACGCGGACGGATCTTGAGGGCGATTAGGTTTGACGGAATTTGCATAATGGCAAAGGCAATGGTGTAACACACTGCATCTCGGTCAGTTCGCGTTCAATAATCGCATACGGTTACTAAGTCAAGGGTCCGGCTTACTGAGCATGTAGGTGTACTCGTTTCCTTGTATATTCAAGTCCTCCTTCATTCCGCTGACGTCTGTTACTCGAGGTTAAGCCACAATCAACCCTTGATCGCAGGGGTTGGCACACTCACAGGCGTTTGTGATGTTGCTCTGGTCAATGTATTTCATCCACTTTGTCGAATCAGCCACCGTGAACAGAAGAGAAGGAAGGATTCGGAACTCACCCAGCCAAGTGTCGCGCAAATCAAGATACCGAAATCCAGCTTCCGAACCAAAGCGCGTTCCTAATTTCACCCAGTCAGTTCCGCCTCGACTCTTTCGGCCGTCTTTGACAGCGACTTCATAGTGGGCATACCTCAGGGCTCTTTAAATGCTGATCAGCATCCCATAGATGGTACAGAATCTTCCTTCCCCAAGAGACGTTCTGCGGCGCATCCTCGTGGGTGCCGACGCCGACATCTGACGCCGTTGAGGTTGCCGAGTTGACCTCGTGGGTCTTCTTCTCTCCGTCCATGGTGAAGACGATTGGTGCTTTTGCAAAGACTGCGGACGAAAGGGTGCACCAATTATCAGACCTTTGAGTTATTCGAGAAAGGGATGAGAAAGGTGCTTGATGACGGAAGTCAGACCGAGACACACCTTGAAGTTAAGTGTCTTCTCAACTCTCTCCAGTTCGAGGCACCTCGATACCACCTCGCCACTTAACCTCCGCACCCCGGATCATGATAACCAGGAACAACCCCCAACCGATACCAGATCGGTCGGCCATTACTTCTCCCAAGATAACATACCCCGTCACGTTCAATAAGTGAACAAGAACGTAGAATTAGCATAATCGCGCGGCAGTGGGGCCATCGGCATCCTGCCCGCCCCTGTCCCGAAGATAAGCTGCAGTCACTGGCATAAATCGAGGACGCCGTCGGACAAAGCCCGATCTTCCCCCGCATTCTTATCAGCCCATGCCCCGATACCTCGTACTAACCCCGGTCACGGTCCCCGGATAACGATGAACCGCTCTGTCCGGCAAAACGGACGCTAGGAGCCGATTGTCGGGATGATGGGACCGGCGGGGTTGTGTAAGTCAGCAACGTCTTAAGGCCTGCCCAGGAGTCGCATCCGACATCGAAACCAAAAAAATGCAAAGCTACTGACGTCTCGATAACATTCTTCGACGAGATCTGGAACACCATCAAACATAGCTTCAAGTACACCCCACTCTCTCGAGGTTGACATTGCAGTATCCCAACATTCCCACGACATCCCCCATCCCCCCAAACGCGCCCCCAATGTCCCGAGCCGCAGCAGACCAGCTCGCCCTCGCGCGCGAAGCCTGCCGCCCCAACCTCGTCAAGAAGCTCATGCTCGAGAACAAGCTCGCCCACTCCTTTGGCCTCCGCGTCGCCTTCTCCACCGAGATGCCCCTCGTCGCCAAGCGCGCCGGCTACTCGGCCGTGCTCATGAACCTCGAGCACATGGCCATGAGCATGGAGACCATGAAGGACATTGCCGTCTCGTGTCTGAATGTCGGGTAAGGCCCTCCTCCTCTTCTTCTTCTTCATACCGTGGTCCCCCCTTTTTTTGTGTCAAAGAAAAAGCGAGCGGAAACGGAAAGATGAAGAGTTACAAACATCCCCCCCCCCCCTGCTCACACAGCGCAAAAGCATCACCCCTACCGTGGTCGTACCGACGTGCGCACCCGAATGGATTTCCCGCTGTCTCGACTCCGGAGCGCAAGCCATTATCGTGCCTCACGTGAACAACGTTGAGCAAGCAAAGATGTGCGTCAACGCATCAAAGTTTCCACCTCTGGTACGTGCATGTGCGCTTCTTAGTTCTTCCCCTCCTCCCTCTTCCCCATCCTAACGGCGTTTCAATGATTCGGTCTTGCGGAAGAAGCTCCAAGAATCCATGACCCTTCTCCCAATTAGCGCTTCCAGCAAAGCAAAGTGTGTTCCGGGCTTACACGGGTCGATATTGTAGGGCCACCGCTCCGTGACCATGGTCACGGCAATGACCCAGTATACAACGACACTATCTTACGCAGCCATCGCCGAGGTGGTCAACGACGAGGTTCTCATAATGCCCATGATTGAGACCAAAGAAGGAGTCGAGAACGTAGAGTAAGTCCAGTCTTGTGCAACGAGGTGAGACTCTACGAAAGTACGGCGCTGACGAGATCACAGAGCCATCGCGGCCGTGCCAGGCATCGATGCCTTGTTCATCGGCTGCGCAGACCTTTGCATGGAGCGAGTCACCCAGCTTCCTTCATAGACATGGCCTCGAGACCTAGGCTGACGTGTGATTTGTAGACTCGGTATTCCTGGACAGTACGATTCAGAGCTCTTCCACTCTACCGTGGCCAAGATTTCAGATGCAGCAGAGAAGGCGAGCGTGAACGGACGCAAGGTGTTCGTGGGACTCGGTGGGCTAGAACCTAGACCCGACCTCCTGGAGACGTTGGCGAAACGTCATGCCCCCATTCGGTAAGTATCTAATTCGCATTGCTGTCCTTTCATGTTTCGATGGTTCAATTTACTTACATGGTCGACATCAGATTTGCAATGGCAGGCCGAGATCTGGCGCTCCTACTCATGGGCATGTCAAAGCAAGCGGCGGCGATGAACGATATCTCGAGCAAACTACAATAGTCATTTTAGCCCGCCCCCTAGAAAAAGAAAAACCTAGCAAAGGAACTATGGCCACTAAAACACGACCGGTCAAATCCGAACTCCGCCGAACCAGTTCAAGGCTTCCGATTACAACGCCAGGCAACGGACATTCTCGCTCGCAATGCAAAGAGGTGAAAAGGTAGCTTTGAAGGTGAATGATGTCGTAGTTTGTAAAGGTGAAGAGTGATATGTCAGTGAGTGCGTGGCGCCAGCAAGTTACTCGTTACCCCAGGCATTTTCGGCATTTTCGGCAGTTTCGACACTTTCGATATTTCTGAGCGACGAGGGCTCAACCCGACCAGAGCCGGCGCGAAGACGGCCCCGTCGTCCCTCCCCCGTAGTGCCATATTGCGGGCTAAGGTCGCGGTAAGTCACAGGGATGTCAGATTCGTCACCACTATCGTTCGGTAACGAGGACGCCGAGACAGCAGCAGTGAGAAGGGGTCTGGTACGCTCGCGCTCTTCGATTGGGCGCTCTGAGAGATGGCTCCAGCCCTGCGCCCACCACGCGTGTCTCCAGTTGCTGGCACTTTGCATGAAGAGCAAGGTCAGGACCTATGACGGAGGGTCTGGTTAGCTTTTGAACGTCCTTGGTCTGCTATGCATGAGAACCAGACATACCTGAAGCACACCAACGACGAGAACGACGCCCAAGTCGATGGACGAATTCCGCACCGTTGCGTCCCTCCACGGGCCGACACAGGCAGTTTTGCGGCCGGTGATTTCTGCACAATGTGTATTGCCATTAAATGGCCAGCCGCGGTCCTTGACGCTGTTCAGGCCACAGCAATGAAGGCTATCCTGGATGTGCTTGATGGCCGACTCATCCTTGGCGACAAACATGCGCTGCCAGCTGGTGGACAGGGAGCAGTTGAGGCCATCGCCGGGGAGAGCGGTTTGCAGGAGGATGACGGCCACAGCGGTGGTCAAAATGCCTTGCAAGGATTGGATAATGGTTGGAAACAGCTGCTCGGTTCGGGCTGGAGAGGTGCTCGCGTTGAACAGCAGGCGCGGGTAGTAGAAAGCGTTGACAGTGCCGATGATGGGCAGCAGGATGGGAAGCAAAGACAAGAACGGGGAGATGGGAAGGGCAAGATTGGTGCTTGTGACATGAACGACGCTGTGAGATGGTTAGCACGCAAGGGTGCGGTCGGCGATGTTTGAAAACTTACATGGCCGTCGTGAGAAGCCCGATGCAGATCTGAGGAAGCACTCGTTAAATATGTGACACTCGGTGTTAGTGGATGGTGGCAGTTGGGGCTTACCAGGAGAAACACAACGCCCGGATTGACCCCCATGGTGAATTCTTGACGACGAGCAAGTGCGCAACAACACCAGATCGCTTCCGACCGTTGAAACGGATTTTTTGAACGAACAGTGTCAAAAATCGCGGGTGAGAGGGCGTCTTGCTTCACATGTGAATATATAGTAGGCGAAGGAGAGATGGAGAGCGGGAGGTGGAGGAGAAGGCGGACGGGAAGAGGAAGGGTGTGGCGCTGTTCGTCGCCTCCCAAGGGCCCCAGGGCCCAAGGGGCGGTCCCAAGGGACCCAAAGGTGCCGATCGCTGCGCTGGGGTGGGAAGCTACTTGATGCGGCCAAAATCGAGCATGCCCATTTGCGGCACTGGACAGCGTTGGCAACAAGCCAGCGCCAACAAGCACCGACGCCAGCGGGCATTCAGTCTTTCCAAAGCTTCCAAAAAGGACTTTGCCGCCTTCGTCCGACGTCATGGCTCAACCCTGCGAGAAGCTTATTCCCTCAAACTCGAGCACGCCATAGGTTGGAGGCACTTCCGCACGAGGGTCCAGTCATCTCTGGAGAGTCTGATCTTGGGAGCACCCTGGACTCCTGGAGGCCGTCTTGTAGCACCAGATGGACACACCAATGCGGGAGGCCCATCGCCAGTGAGTCAGTGTGCCAGCGAGTGTGCTGCAGACAGTCGTAGAGAGAGAGATCCATGGATGGCAGTGGTGAGTCTGTGTGGCTGCTGGACCCCGCATGCCGTGCGACCGGCGACCACATTCACAGAGGCGCAGGCCGCCCATCCCGCTGTCTCTCAATGTCGATCCAACGCTTCTGACCCCCGTGTTGATAGCGAGGTGTGTTGTCTCGACTGAATACCATGCACTCACTCATCCATCAAATGACAAGACCGAACTGATTATCTGTTGTCGTTGCCGCGCTGTCCAAACACAAGCCTCTGGCGATGTGCTGGTCGATAGATTCGACCCCAAACCCCTCTCTCTGGTGTGACGAGGCAGCAGGCTCTCCGCGCGCATCAATCAGCCTTTGAGGTAGTGGAGGGTAAGCTGATGATGACACCAGCAGCAGGGAAGCAGCTTTCGGGAAGCTGCGCATGGCCCCCATCGAGATGCCGCTATCCTTGCCGTAGTGCTCCGCGCCTTTGCGTTAGCCCTCTTGATGGTTTTTTTTTTTCCTTTTTTTTCCCAAACTGCATCGCCATGTCAACATCCCTCCGAGCTGCATTTACTTTGCCTGCCAATGATAGTGAGAAACGCTCCAAATTGTTAGCCCCATCCCATCGTTTGCGGGCGCAGGCAGGAATAGAATTGAAACATTCTCAAACATGGTCGCCCGCTCAAAGGGGTTTTCCAACATGTCGCTGGCTAGGTATCCGGCCCGATGCTCGACTCTGATGAACCTGATGCGGCCGGGAGGTGATCACCATTCATGAGGGCACAACCCACGAGGCCAGGAACTTCAACGCGAAGCCGATTCCATGTCAGCCAAATGCAACGAGGGTCTCTTGTGCGATTTGGCACAGAAGGATCGAGATCATTTCGCGAGACAGAGGGGCATAGCAAGCCAGGTATTGCAGACCAACACCAGCTTCCGCCGGCCAAATGCAACTGCCACAGTGGCCGTCCCACCCCTGACCGAAGCGGGTTCGGAACGGACATGGGTTCGGAACGGGAAAGGATCGCAAAAGGTCCGCCTGAAGTGTTCCGAATTGCTAGGTAAGGAAACCCACATGAAGGCTTTGGGTCGATGAGGTCCACGATATTCGATCAAGATTGGGCATAGGTGAGATGCCACGAGGCATATTGACTCAAGGGGTATGGGGGCGGAAACCACAACCGCGGAGTAGGTAGCTTCGACTTGCAGCATGGCTGGACCCACAAGGCTGAAGGAGTATGTCCGGATGCCGCCCGGTCCCCAAGATGCCCAGCCGGTAAAGAGTCGCCGAGGTGGAGTTTGAGTTTGGCAAGAAAGCCGGCTCGGGGGGGAATGCTGACGACGCTGCCATGAAAGAGCTGGGGTAGCACGTAATACAGTAGCATCCTTCTTCTTTGGAGACAACTGGAAAGAGAGTCCCGGGTACACTCAGATGGCCGTGGGCCATGTTTGTTGCTCAAAGCATCGAGCCGGATGGTCTGCGTCACTGTGTTGAACCCATGGAGGCCATCGTAAGTCCATGGGTGCCATCGGAAACGATCACGTATTGGCAGTGAAATCCGAAGCAAGAAGAAAGTAATCGGATGTGAGCAGTTTTTCTACTGAACACAAATCCACGCCGATGATCAACCGCTGCCGGGCAAAGGAAAAGCGCCATCCGATGGTGGTGTTCGTGTGGAGAGCTGGGACGAACACGCAAAAGCACCAGATCAAGGGAACGCTGGAGATGGAGAGACAGATTGATGGGACTTATGTAAGCTGCTCTCTAGCCAGATGGGGCAAAATAACTGAGATCTGATTTGTCGAAGCTGGCGGAGCACCCCGCCAATCTTATCTTAGCGTCCCCCACTTCATAAGGTAAGGTAGCCCCTCCATCACTCGCTCGTTGCAACAGGTGCAGCAGCAATAGCTGAGCTGACGGAAAGGAGGGGCACCAGAGAGGCACCAGCTTGCTCCTCCTGCTGCTACCTTCCGCAGCTTGCATCAGCCAAGATTGACGTCGGTCGTTTTTCCCTTCCCAAGCCGCCCACCTTGCCGCAATTCCTGTTTGCGACCGTCTCACCTCTGCCTTTAACATCGACACATACCCCGCGTTTTCAAAGGAGATCTCGAGTCAGAACAGTTATCCTACCGGAAAAGGCGATACAGTGACACAGCCGCAGATACGTCACCAGCAATGGCCTCGCTCACTTCAAAGTTCGCCAACCTCAATCCCTTCTCCAAGTCGGCGCCAGAGGACGAGGAGGAGCTTGGCGATGCGACCGACAATACCACCTTGGCCGGTGGAGGCCACGCCGCTCGCGACTCAGACCTCAAGCACCGTCTCCGCGTGAGCCGTGCCATCAAGTCCTTCCTCGTCGATCAGAAGGTCATCTCCTCCAAGGAGGCAAATATCGATTCAGAGCAGCCCACTGCCGCGTTGCAGGCCCTCGTTGACAAGCCTCACATCAGCGTGCCCCGCGAACTCACCGATAGATCCCATCCCTTGCCCGAGTATTTTATCAGTTCCAGCCACAACACCTACCTCTTGGCCCACCAGCTCTACGGGAGTTCTTCGGCAGAGGCCTATGACGAGACGCTGCGTGCTGGCGCGCGATGCGTCGAGATTGATGCCTGGGATAACCCTGACAACAAGGACGAACCCAAGGTCACCCACGGCTACACCCTTGTCTCCAACATCCCTTTCCGCACCGTCTGCGAGACCATTCGCAATGTCGTCGACCACGAAGCAAAGGACCCTCATCCGGCCGCACCAATCCTCTTGTCTCTCGAGAATCACTGTGATCCTGAAGGTCAACTGCGCCTGGCATTCATTATGAGAGAGGTATTCGGAGACCGGCTTCTCAGCCAGGCAATCAGGGAGAAGGGGCATGCCGAGCAAGACGGTCAGGCTAACCACGTCCGCCTCGAGGAACTTGGCAACAAGATTGTTGTCATTGTCGAGTACCACTTTCCTGGAGAAGCCGCCGACAACAGCTCGAGCTCGAGTGACGACGACGAAGAGGAAAAGAACGCCAAGAAAGACTACGAGGCGAAAAAGAAGGCTGCGCCCCCCTCACTGATTATCCCTGAATTGGAAGCTCTCGGCGTTTACGCCCAGTCCGTCAAGCCTGTCAACAATTCGTGGTTCGAGGAGGTTTTGCAAGATGCGCCGCATCATCACCTCATCAATGTTTCGGAGTCCGGGCTCGCATCCCACCTCCCCGCGCACAGTGACAAAATCTCGCGTCACAATGCCCACCACCTCATGCGTGTTTTCCCCAAGGGAACCCGCATCTCGTCCAAAAACCTCCATCCCGTTCCCTTCTGGGGAATAGGCGCCCAGATCTGCGCTCTCAATTGGCAGACTTTTGGAGCATCAATGCAACTCAACGAGGCTCTCTTCAGTGGCTCCGAGGGTTTCATTTTGAAGCCCGCCGAGCTCCGGTCCGGTGGCTCGGGCCACCTCGGCAGCGGAAGCAAGCGGAAGCTCCGCCTGCACGTCGGCGGCGCCACCGACATCCCCGTGCCGTCCGATCGCGACGAGGACGAGACGATCAAGCCCTACCTCACCTGCACACTCGTGCATCCCCATGATTTAGAGATGAAGCCCCCGAAGAGGAAGACGGCCGGCTACAAACAGCACAAGCTAACGGGCTTCTTGCACAAGGGAGAGAACCCGCCTCCGACTGAACCCCTGTGGGACGAGGTCCTGGAGTGGGAGTACCAGGACAACGAAATGGTATTCTTGCGCATGCTCATCAAGAGTGACGACAGCTTCGCCAAAAATCCAATCTTTGCTGTCGGCGCGGTGAGATTGCTCTACACTATTCCGGGCTGGGTCTTTATTCGTATGCTCGATCTCAAGGGAAGAGAAACCAAGTGCTCCATCCTCGTCAAATTCGAGGTAATAGACGCGTAAAAGCAGCTACACACATGCTAAAAGCTTCAGGTAGCTCTTCATATTTCATTAATATACCACTCTTGTACTTGTTCGGTCATTATAGGAATTAGTGTGCCCTTGAGCCCGTTGCGTTCGTGGACACCCATTCTCAATCTAAGATATGCTTATTCAGAACCCCTGTCTATCCTCACGCATGGAGCCGCAAGAAATACCCTCAACAGCAGTCCGACCTTCCCATCGTGGACTGGTCGACATCCTCTAATTACATGTAGTCCTCACTGAAGGGGCGAAAAGGACTTTCGTCTTGTTGCTCTCGCGTGCTTCTGTTGCACCAAATCTTATCCGCTCACAACCAGCTTTTATGCCCATCCTCGGGCAAAGAATGTTTTCGAATCATTTCTTCTCCGTCTCTCCGCCAAGTCGTTGATTCACCAATCCACCCAGCTCATCTTGAGGATACCCTACGGAGCCGGACCTCTCGCCGGCGCCCTCATCATCTTGGCCCAAGCACAAAGCGTCGCCCGCGCCCGCGCGACATGCAACAGGAGCGGCGGCGCCTGGCAAGACCTTGCCCCAATCCCGATCCTCCCAAACCAAGAACATACAGCGCAATAAATACCCCAACCCTCGTCGTCCTTGGCGGTATCACAGGATCCACACAAGCCGCCGCCTAGAACCACACCGAAACCGTGACGTTCTACGACGTCCGCATAAACACCTGGACCTATGCTTGTCGCCCTACACCACTCCAATGCCGCAAGGGCGGACGGGAAGATCTGCCTCCTTGGCGGCCTCACCGACATCTTTGACTAAAAACGGCACCTGGCGAGATATCCCCGTGGGTCTACGACCCCGCAAAGGACCCCGGGACGCTGATAGCTCCCTTTTCTACGGGAACGGAACGCAGCAGCACGGCCGTGGGCGTGTCTAGAAAGAGAATCTATCTCGCGGGCTTCCTGCGAGGCATGAAGACCGTCACCAGCGGAATCATCGCCACGATCGCCGACTTTTCCGCATACGACACGGCGACAGACACCTAGAATCCGCTCCCTTAGCCGCGAGACCACGCCGGCGGCGCCGTGATGGGAAACAAGTTCTACGTCGTCGGCTGGAGGCACACCGGGCGCCTTCTCGTCAGTAACTCAGTCCACGTAATTGATCTAACAGACCTCGAGACCGGCTGGACGATGATGGCCACAATGTTGACGGGCTGAGCGGGTCACGGGGCGACGGCTCTCGACGGGCATAGCTACACGTCCGGAGAGGAGGGAAACCTGGCGGCGGAGTCGGGGTTGTCGGGGTTGTTTGAGCAGACGGAGGTTTTTGTTTCGGACACGGGGACTTTGATGACTTTGTGACCGATGAGTCATCCGCGGCATAATTCTGCTGCTGTTGCGGTTGTTGGTGAGATCATGACTCTCGGTGGAGTGGTTGCTTGGGGCTCCAGCCCGGTTAACGTGACGGATATATTCCGCCCGTGATAGTAGCCTTTATCTGTACCTGGACAGTGGTATAATGGGCAGCTGAACTATCTAGCAGGATTGGATGGAGTTTACTTCACATGTTGTGAGCACCTACTTCCGGCTATCATTCTGGAGAGGGACATCACCTATCATACTTGCTTTCAGTACACGATTCCACGCACAGAAATTCAGCACGAACACTCTCAGAACCTAGCATAAATAAGGAGCCTTGCAGAAAAAAGGACGACAATGTTCCAGAGTCAGGCGAACGTGACACTCGACGATTGCTATTATACACACGACAGCTCCCCTAACGTGGAAACTACCAATAAGCATCGTCCTTCCTCACCACGCACGACCATGATCCTCAAAGAACCCCACTGAATAGACATTCGCGACAAAGACAACACGCGGGAAGCTTCACTCGGCTCCTGTCACGAGTGAGTTTACCCGCCGCCCGCCCCGCCATCCCTCCCCGTCGGGTAGGGGAGACAGCCCGAGGCAAGTGGAAGTATCCGGGTGACAAAAAGTTGATCAACATGAGGAGGATGAGGGCTCTCTTGGGTATACCCCTGTGCTGGCAACCTGGTTGCTGGCTGCGAAATTGCCGTTCCAGGTTCATCGCTCTCGTAACTCTTTCCTCGGCCATCCGAAAATCTAGATAAAACTGGCTGACGTTCACCAACATTCGCCTCCCCATTCTCAAAAGTCCGTCTCGTACACATTTATCAGCTTAACAAGTACGGCTGTGTACAATTGGTCAAAGTTGACGATATTATAAATCTTTCGGATCTCAGGATCTCAGGATCTCAGGACACGCGTTGCATCCGAGTGTATCTCCTTTCCGCCCTCTGCTTCCGCCGCCGTGGCCTGGTTCTACACCTCCCGAATGGCCTCCTAGTCATAAACCCCCCGTACCGGCGGGAACCGGCACGCGGCCCTCAAAAGTCTATCGCCGTTCAGAATCCGACCTCACGGGCCCAGCCTTTTGGGACAGTGCCCGGGGAAAAAGCCCTACCAGATGAGGAAAAGAGACCCTTTGGTTTGGGGGGAGGGGGGGACTTGAAGTAACGCAAGAGCCAACGAGGGCCTCGCCCATGTTACCGGAAAAGAAGAGGGGAGGGAGAGACTGGAGGAACGGCCGCTTTGCGAGCAGTTTGAAAAACGTTGGGACGATTCGTCAGACGCCTCGGCGGTTTTTTCTTACCCCGAACGCCCCAAACTCCCGTTTCTACGCAACTGGTTCGTGCCCTGTCGTAGGACGGCGCCGAGTCGGCGAAATCGCTGAGTATTCGATTCTCGAGCAAATCCACAGCCAAGATCCTCTAAAGAGTGATGCAAGGTTTTCGAATCCACGACAAAGAATGGTGATGATATTCCCAGTCTTCTGACATGGACAACAGTTCTAGATTGCGTAGTTATCTGAAAGACAACAGTTCATTCCGCATTTTGCTATGCACAATTTGTCGGGTGCTGTTTGGTTTAGCAAATGGTAATTATAGTCAACATCACATCAAACAACATGACGAGATAATAAGTGGGAAGTGAATGCAGACATTGATCCGTCTGCCCATTCCAATTCATCCTGCTGCTGCTAGAATGTAAATTTTGTACGCTTCGTTATTATCATCATCAAAAGTTGACGCCCGCATCCTGCGTCCTATACGTCCTCGTGACCCTCGGTTCCCACTTCATTTTATTCTGCCTCTCGAGCTCCTGCTGCCTCTCCACCTCGAGCTCGTCAATCTGCGCAAAGTTTTGCCTCTTGCGGAACGGCCACCTGCCCTTGCGGTAGAGGATACCGAGGATGAGCCCGATGATGAGCACGCCGCCGACGGAGCCCAGCGCGATGGGCAGCGCCGGCATCAGATGCACGTTGCTGCCGCTCGAGGTCTCTGCCTGGCTCGGCGAGGCGATGCCGCCGCTGCTGCGGTGACCGCCCGAGCTCGGTGTCGGTGTCGGTGTCGGTGTGGGGTTGAGGAGGAGGGGGGTGGTTTCTGGTATCACTGGGGGCGGCGGCGGCGGGATGAAGGATGGTGTTGGCGAGGGCGTCTGCTCGCCCGGCGCGGAGATTGGTATCACGGCCGGCACTGATGTCGGTGAGGGGATTGGTGGCGGGTCTGATAGTGATGGTGTGGGTGTTGATGTTGCGTTTGTGGTGTATGATACGGTGATGAATGTGGTGAGGGGGCGAGGGGAGCTTGAAGGGGGTGGTGGTGGTGGCGGTGATGGTGGTAGTGATGGTGGTAGTGATGGTGTTGGTGTTGGTGTTTGTGAGGGCGTCTGCGAAGGCGTGGGTGTGTTTTGCCTTATTGGGGCTGATGAAGATGGTGATCTGGCAGGCGGTGATGATGATGGCGTCGCCTTTATTGAGGGTGTCGGTGTTGTTTGTGCCCTCGTCGCTCCGCTCGGTGTGTTTTGTGTTCCTGTTCCCGCCCCCGTCTGCCCTCCGAGGACTGGTCCAAGGCGTGGCTCGGTCGAGACGCCGGGGGAGATACTGGCGTCGGGTTGAACACCAGCCATGATGAAATAGTCGAGTCGCAAATAGGAAATGATTATCGCTTCGTAGTTTGTGGTATATGTTTGCTATGTGCGGCCGTCGAGCATGTCGTTGCGTCGTAGATGTCCAGTGTTTTGTTGTAAGTTGGTGAGTTCCTCCTATCTTGAAGAGAAAGTCATCTGCGAATACCCTCGTCACCGGTTCGATTGGACAGGTTTGATAGATTTCCGAGCTTGGAACAAGTTCAATGTCCAAGGATAACCGGGTAGACGTCAGGCGATGGCGTGAGGAGAACGTATTTTCCGATGTAAGTCGATCCAGCGGCTCAACAATCGCCCTCTCTAGTCTCTTTTTTCCTCGCCAAGGCTTGGAACCTGTCAACTTCAAGGTCGGTTCAAACAACACAAATTAAACGATCCATAAACATCCTACAACGTCAGTCCCAAAATATAAAAATTGAAGCCAAGACACAAGCACCCTAGAAAAGAGGGCTGGGACAGGAATCTTTAAACAGAGATGTCGGTGGCCACGTACCCCTTCCCTCTCACACCTACTCAGCTTTCCCTGAGAGGTACATGTTCCCTTTCCCTCCGCTCTCCCTCGGTCGGTCAAGAATCTCTCACTCCCATCATCCGAGAAACCTTACTGTGAGAGTTTTGGCTGACGTGACGCAGAGTCGGGACAGTGCTCGAGGGAGGAACTCACACTCTCTCTGCGTGGGTTAACGACTGAGATGGGCCAGAAGGGCAGGGATACCAGGGACTTCCAGGGGCCGCGACCGTCTCACAATGGTATTGATCTCTGCACGCCATTTGGAGGCTCAAGCGCGGCTCCGATGCACAGTCGCTCACCAGCCAGCACTAGCTAGGCTCTCCTCGAGTTATCCCGCCCGACACTAGTTACAATTAACCCGGAAGATGTAATGTGGTCTTCGGTAGTCACGTCTTAGTCTCACTCTTATTCCCTCCCCTCCATCCCCCCCCCCCCCCCCCCCCCCCCCCCACCCCCCCCCCCGCCCCCCCCCCCTGCGGCGCCACGCCCCCCCCCCGCCCCCCCCCCCCCCCCCCCTGCCCCCCAAATGCGCCCCAGTGCGCCCCAGGTTTGGGCCAGATGCCCGGCTTCTGGTTCACCGTCGAGTCAATGAGTCCCCAGCATTTGCTTCATCAATTCAAGCAGGCCATTGCTTCAGCTCTTGCTTGCAAGCCTAGAAAGCGAGCTCTCATGC